AATTGCAGTTAATTTTTAATTCTATGTTAGAAATCGACTTTTTTATTGTATGATATCCATTTCCTGTAAAAATAACTTAATCACCAGTAAATTCAACTGAAAACATAGGCCTAGGTAAACCTCTATATTCAAGTTTCGAAGAAAATCTTATAAAATTGCAGAGAATAGGCGAAAATACTTTTGTAAAAGATTTCAGCATTCGAACTTTTCTATGGTAATTTGTAGTATATCCTGCCCCCCCTATAAATTGATATTGATTTAATTTTACAATCTTTTATCTAATATTTTGTACCAACACCATTGTTATCTATAACTACTAACCATTGTAATATATATGTATTCAGAAAATCCATACCGGAAAATGGATAAAACTCTACTCGATCTGCTTGATTAGGATCGTATACATTAGAATCATAATTTGAAAGCGCTAAAATTGTGTTAGATTAAATGAAGGCTTCATCAATTCCTAAAATAATTTAAAATCCAATAGAGGTTAAATTTTCTGATTTTCCAGGAGAATAGGGGGAATATATTGAAACTATATTAGGAGGTGTTAAAATAACCTATTATAAAATGAAATTTTACTGATAATTAAACCTCTGTAGACCCTTTCTAACTAAAACTTGTAAGTGTAACGAAAGAAGTATCACAATTTGCGTTTGCATAATAATAACTGAGGTTCTAAGGCGGAATCAAATTAAACTAACTGATAACTTATATTCTTTGATCATCAACTGCAAACCACCTTATTTTGAACCTATAGCCTTTCTCATATTCACAGTACAATCGCATAGCAAAGTCTATGATCTTCAATTATACACTTACTTGTTAATGTAATGTCTGTAATGCTAAAATTGAAACCAGAATCATTATAATTTTTACCCCAATGCATCTCTATCTTCTCATGAGTGATAAACACTTGCGGAATATTTGCAAATGAGTCTGAGAATGTTATTGTTGCATCATATATTGATCCTTTACTACAATTAAAATCTGGTACAACATCCTTGTTCCAATCTAGATAATAGTTACTATCATATTTTATTGTTGCCAGCCCTATTGGGAATATCAAAAATGTAATAATCAACATAATAAAATAATAAATTGAAAAACTAATTAAACAATGTTTTAATAGAGCTTATTTAAGAAAGATAAATATAAAAATGGATGATATTCAGTTTTACAACATAGATTAAAAGCAAATTGTAAATAATGCAGTATAATGATGTTGAAAGATAAAGTAATTAAAATAAACAGAATAATAATAAAAAAAGGGTTGTCAACACGAGGACTTCCCAAGCGGTCCCCCACCTTAGTACTAACCTTGCCTTAAGCCGCTTAACTTCGGAGTTCGAATGGGATCCGGTGCTTTAGACTTAGTATGGCCGACAACCATTATTACAATACAATTCCTTATTTATAACTCGTTGATTAGTGAGTTAATAAACTTTTATTTTTAATTATCACCTTATTTAATAAAATACTAAATTGCAAAAATTAAGATAATTTGATTGTCTTAAGTCTTATAAAAATTATATTAAAATTTATATAAGTTAACAAATATTATTATCTAAATTTGATCCAAAAGTCAGGCTATATTAGTCCTATTCAACTTATTTTCGTTTTAAGAATGACTTCATAGATTTATTTTTTCGTTCTTTGAAATAGATAGGGGGTCTCTTTTATTATATAAAATCTCTTAAGAAAAACACTTATACATAGTTTAGATTATATCTTACTAGAAGAATTCTAATAGATTTTTATATACTTGTATACATTAGAATTATGTTAAAGGCTTACCCGTGTAAACAAAGCATATGGATATCCTATCTAACTTTTTGTATACAATTTTTTATTTATTTTTAAAGCTTCAGCCAAATTGATTGTGGATTCTAATCATTTTATACACCCCATTATTTAGTTTACGATAAAGTTCTCTATCCTAAATAGGAGTATTGATTCTAATTAGAAAAAACCAAAATTCTATGTCATTATTACAATTGCAATTCTTAAAATTTTTATGCTATATTTAATTAAAATTATTTATAAAAAATGAAATATTGTTGTCTAAATTGATCATAACTTTTTTTGAAGATAGTAACACAAGGTGTTTATATCATGCTTCATAAGATATTCGCTATTGACCCATCTATTTTTTGGAACAATACCTAAAATAGAATTAGATGATAGTATTACCATTGGGTCTCTTTTGCCACAATAGATAATACATTTTATGTCCTTTATCCTTTACTTGTACAGCTTGGCCAATCTTATCCAATAGATCTCCAAACTCAAATCCGCCTTCACATTGTAATTTGATTTCAGTGTTTTTCTGGGATTATTCTGATGTGGATTCTTAAATGATTTCAGAATCCTGCTATTAATTAGGTTACAAAGTCTTTTCATTCTATTAATTAGTAGTAATTAACTAGACTAATTCATCTTGTTATTTCTTCATTAGATCTATTTCTGACTTTAATTGATCTACCTAATTTTGTAATATTTTTATTTGTTCTTATTGGTGTTAATGCTAATTCTATTTGGATTTGCTGGGCACTCCAATAAAATCCTCTAATTGAGGTGGTTCATCATTTTGGATATGATAAAAATTCGATCCATTATTTTTAACATTTTCTTCAAATTGGTGCAAAAATTAAGTTAAATTTGGTATCTTGTCTGGTTTCTCCCAGGTGCAATCTCTGTTATTATAGCCTTGCCATTTGACAAGATAATATTTCTAGCCATTGTATTATTTATAATCAAGTATCTACTCTATAAAATACAATCCTCTCTTTTTTCTGGACATCAATAAATTGGTATTTTTAAATTAATTTTCAATTTATATATATATTAATATGTAAATACTCAGATCATAAGGCTTTTATGATTAGATCACTAAAAAAATTAGTTTAAATATTTGTGAGTAATAAAAGTATTATATAATTCATTAATTTCTTGAATAAATATTTGGTAATAAAGTTGGATTGTTGTGATGTCTTTGCATTCTTACATATTCATCGATTTCTAATGACATTTCTTCAGATTTCAACTTGTATCCTTCAAAATCCTCATCAATAAAATTGAAGTTTGGAGACGCAAGCTATTACTATTTGACTTAGCTCAATCGCTAAACCTGAGGAAACACAAATCGTTATCTCGCTACATGATCAGAAATTGACAAACCCCTGAGTTCCTTTGGCTTTTAATCCTTGCTTCTTTTGCTTACCTTAGCATTGGGATTGTTCAGAGGACTAGCATTGTTTTCAAGTAATTGATTTACTGATACATTTAGAGGGACTGAATTCTTTTTTTTTTGTAGCGCAATACTTCCAACTACTCTTTATTAATTGCTTAGTAATCCTGGAGATTATAATTGACTTGGAGATTATTATAAAAAGTGATTGTATCTATGTTTGGATATAGATAACTTCTTCTTTCCACTCTTCACAGGTGATGAAATGAATGCATTTCTCAGTAAATTGTCCCTATCCAAATACTCATCATACATCAATTCCTATACTATTTTTTGAACTGATCTATTTTAGAAATTATGGGGCAATTAAAAAGTCATAATATATATTTAATAAATCAATTTCTTTTCTTATTGAGAAGTAATATGATGTTTGTTATATTGAATTTGGTTTTATAATCTTGGAATTCTACCATTTTATCGATCTCAAATAATGAATCAAGATCCTAAAAACAATTCTGCTGTTATGGGCTGCTAGCAATTATTGAACGTTTAATGATATTATCTGGACTAGTTAGATTTCGTAAGAAAGTGCTACTAATTATAGGTTCCGTCAACTTATCCGATATAATATCAGCCTATAAAATCTCCTTGTATAAATATTTTGTAGACGGTTGTTTAGTGAGTTGATCCACTCCAATATTGGCACTGCTGATATGTTCACTTGAGTTATCAGAGAAAGCTTCGAAACTATCAGAACTCTATTCAAATACATTGTTGTTACTCGTACCTTAATAGGTAATCTAATTCATATTTTATGATCTTACCTACTAAAATATTGCAGATCTTGACTTTTTGGTCACCTTCCGATTATATCGAGGGTCTCTTTCCTGATAGATCTAATCATAATTGAATCTCCTCTTAATATTGAAAGAGGAACAGTTAAAGGTAGGATGAAATGAATCACAAAAATAACATCTAAAATTCAACTTAGATGTATCATTGTTAAATATTATGTCATCTTTTATCATCTGAAAAACTTCCTATATTATTATTGCAATGATACCCTTTCTTTCGATTGCTGCAAAATACTAATAAGAATTTGTTTCTCAATGAAAAAATACAGCACCTCTTTGGAATCGGTTTGCTCTAATTTTACTCTCCCTTGCTATTGATTGTTGATGATTTCAGTCAAACTTAATTCTATAACTTTTTGGCTTAATAACTTAATGTGAAATCCCATAAATTCCGCATAAATGTTGCCATTAAGGATTATATATAACCCATCGATCTCCGTACTGCAGATCGATTTATAACTTATAAGATAATCACATTTAAAGACTGGCTCTAAATCAAGGATCCATTTTGACTTATTAAATTTAAAGTGCTCGAGGATAAAAATTTAATTTTTGATAACTCTTGTTTGATCAGTTTCTGTTTCAGATAATTTGAAACCTTATTGATTCTTGACTCCTACTAAATTGTTTGATCTTCCTCCAGGATTTCAAAAATTTTTGAGTAATGAATTATAATCAGCTTGCATCTGAAACATATGAGCTATGATTGAAGATAAAGTCGGAATGAGTCTAATAATTATTGATGTTTGGATTTTTCACTGGTACCCATTAATAGACACTTTAGTATGTATAAAATCAACCCTGCATTAAAAGTAACATTCAATATCATTAACAATTCATTTTCGACCTCCATTTCTTCAACTTTCAATAATGATATGAAAAATGCTCTATAAATGGCTTCTTAATATGAAATAAATTCCTAGTTCCTCTCCTGATATTCTATTCTCCACATACTACCAAATAGATGAAGTGAAAAATAGATACACGTTAGGATTTTGAAATATTGTTACTGTCTATGAATGATAAATGTAAAAATATACTCATAATTCAAGAAAGTAAGCAATTTACCAAAATATTTTGATTATTTTAAAATTTCCAACAAACAAGTAAATTGACAAGATCCCAAATGCTAATGAGTTTTCCATGATAGAACAAATTGTATAAACTACCAGATTTATAACCTATACAACAGGTAGTTACCTCATCTAATGTTTTAGACTCTAGGAGTACAGTTTAAGTAAAAGTGAGACTATTTCAAACGAGATAATCAAAATAGTAATTGCCACTTTTAATTGTGTTGATTTATATCTTTATAATTACAATGATCTTACTTATATTCTTCAAAATAAATGGATGGTAAAATAAATGATAGGACTAGTAAAATTGATTTTATTAAATCAGAAAAAATAAATTTTGCTATCCAAAAATTTTCATTTCTCAATAGTTATTAGTCCCCGTCATTTTGTTTACAATTTTATTGCAATTCGGATAATTTTATTAGATTTTCAGGAATTTCATTCTTTTCACTCTCAGTATCACTGTATTTTCCTATCGAATGTTAGATCATTCGATCCGTTCCTTATTGCAATTTGTAATGGCTGGCATTGCAGGATTAAAATGAGGGCCAATTCATTGAAACATCATTTGAAGGATATTTAAGTGGTTTATTCCTTTCTAAAGAAATAATATTGTTCATTTCTTGTTTTAAGTATAATATAATTACTCTGGATTATTCTCAAGAATTCCAAATTAAATAATTATTAATCATATAGATATTTAATAAACCAATACATATGGCGAATTCTTTTATGTCAATTTTTGGCTCTGTTAATCGAAAAATAGTTTTTGTAAATAAACCATTTATTAAAAAATATTACATTTGTTGTTGAAATTATATTTAAAATCAATTTTAACAAAATAATCAACTTAGAATTATTAGATTATCTAAATATTGATAAGTACAAAAGTATTAAATTCATATTTTTATAATTTATTCGTTTCTAACTTCATAATGTGCTAAAAAAAGATAATTTTATCACATCATCAAAAGTTTTGATGTTGAAAACATATTTAGTAAAAATCATGTTGCAAGACGCTTACGATTTAGGTTAATAAAAATTAATATATCCTTAAGATAAGAAAATAGCATTAAATTTTAGATCATTTTATTGTGAATATAACAATATTCATAAATCAAAATGAAAAATTTAGAATAAGAAAATGAAAAACTTCGAAAGGCTATAAAAGATAAAAAGCAACAAATATCTGAAGCAAATACGACGATACTACAATATCAAAATAGTATTGAAGAATATGATCAAGAAAAATAAACAATTATACAGGATATAAATGAGTTAATCAATAAAAAAGATAAAAATTTTGATAAGAGAATTAAGGGAATTATAGAAAGACTTCCTTGCTAGATAGAACAGAAAAGTTTATAATATTTGACAAAATCTATTATAAATAAAGGATTGAATGTGTTGAATGATCTGAATATTGCCTATAAGAATGCCTACAAAGAAGAATACAATAAGTCTTAAGATGCAAAACCCTAACCCTTAATAGAATCATATTTTATAATTATACTTAAGCATAAGGATATTACGGATCTGTAGAAAGAGGAGACAATATTGAAGCCGAAGTTTTTATATCAACTATGCAATTCAGGGTGGACATCAAAAGAAAGAGAAAGCTGGGTTGACTACTAAAAGGATATAATAACTCATTTCGATAATAATTATGTTGTTGTAGAAAGACTAGATGATATTTCAAAAATATAGAATTTAATTACTAAGTATAAAATCAAAAATAATTTAGGTGTCTAAATAAATAAGATGTGTTATAAGAAAACTCTTTTATTTTTAATCTCCAAGGTTCATCATTTGATGAGTAGGTGCCAAAAAATATTGAATTGTTAGCAAGTGTTAACCCAAACAAATAATTGTTCGCCTTTGTCTAGGGTGTTGATGATTATATTACAAGTTTTTCAGATGAAGGGTTTTCTTATTGGCCGTGTAAAAAGTACTATTGTTTTTTGACATATTTTCCAATCCCTGAAATATTTGATCAACTTTTAAAATTCGCATCCAGTATTTAAGTTTTATATCATATTTAGACTTAATTTAAGCATCTAGATTGGAGGCAATTATAAAATATTAAGACTATATAAATTAAAGATTGTAAATGACATTAGAGGAGAAAAATGAATATAACTAAAAAATATATTAGGATATAGATGCAGTTAATATTCATTATGTATTTACAAATTTTAATTTTAGAGAGTAGAAAGTATTATGGAAGAGTGTATCAAATTATTAATGGGCTAATATCTCGATTTTGATAAACCAAGCATAAATGTGGACTTGTAAAGTAAGTTACCTAATACCTTCAATGTTACACAAAAAACACTAATTTATTCCTTACCAATCTAATAAAGGAATATGAATATTCCTGAAAACCTTAAACAAATAAGGTATGAAATAGTAAAAAATAATAACATTAAATATGCTCATGTTGTGCAACAGATCTTCAACTTTGATACCTTTATTAAAATCTTTCAGGAGATCTTAAAAGAAGGAAATATTGTATTCTACTGCCAAAATCTCTATATTTTAACCTCTGTTTGTTACTTCTTTCATTAAATAATTTATCCCTTCATATGGTTTGATGCAGCAATATACTATTCAAATCGAGAGAAATTAAACATATTGGTTGAAAAAGGTAGGTTTATAATAGGAATTAATACAACTTTTTATAATAATAAAGCAAACTAAAAAATAATTGAATCTAAAAATTTGATGATTGTAGATTTAAAAATCAAATAGGAAAAAGAGGGCTTCAAAGTTTAGCCGATCATACACTAAAATAAGCCTGGCAACATTGGGTTTTCAGTATTGACAAGGCAATTTTTTTAAATCAAATAACTTTTGAAAGATGAAAATGTTCCAGCTTCTATTTTCTAATATTGTATCGATGCAAATCAAGCCGCTAAATGTAGAGATTTCTTAGAATGCATGATGAAATTGATTTAGAATTGGTTGATTGACAGAATTGTGCCAGATGCAGATCCCGATTTTACAATGGGCGGGTGGAATGATGGATTTATAAAATAAGTGGTTAAAAATAGGCTTAAGGATGATAAAGATATAGACTTTATTTTGGAATATATTTACATTTCCAATTATTTTTAAAAGTATTTGAAATCGAAATACAATTATAATGATCCTAATTGAATATTAAAAATAATTAATATAAATATTAATAATGAATTCTGAAAAAGATTTCCAATATGACATCCATGATGTATAAAATATTAAAACTGCCTTTTTGGATTTATAACAGGAAGAGAGCACTGGATTTAAATTGGGATTAGGAGCTGCTATTTTCTCTTACTTTGCATTAAGAAGATTTACATATTTAAGGACAGGACCAAGGTATTGATATTGATTGCACTATTTAAGATTCGTCGGATCAATGATCTTTGGCTCTTAAGTATATGGCTTCTACACCCATAGATCTAGAGCATATTATGATTATGTGGCTCAATAAGTAAATTTGCATGCATCCGAAGCAATTAATCAATGCCTTGGACATTGACTATACGATCATTTATCAATATAAAATACAAAATAACATATCTATTGTATCCTGAATCATAATAAAAACTCAAAGTCAGAATTCTTTATTCCATCTCCAAAATAAGCATATCCAAATGTATAGTCATTGTTATAAGTGACATAGCCTGGCCAAATCAAATTCCTTAATGTTATCTGATTCTCATAATAAATAGAATTACATTTCTTTGTGTTGAATCTGCTTGCAAAGACCATTATTGATTAGGAGTGTCATCCACTAAAGAGTCCAAGAAATCTTCCCTATACAGAGCCTCATCACGAGCTTTATGATACAATTTCAATTCTACCTATTAAGTCCTGCTTATCCTTCCTTGTGGGAACTCTAAAATGTTAATAATTTTTTAATTCAGCTTTCACTCCCTTAAATGCCTTTCTGATTAATTCGTGAGTAGGTGTCAAACGGTAGGATCCCACAGGTATTGATGCACAATTGAATTCAACCTACTAAACAACATAAGACAGTCTTTCTAATTCTGAAAAGTGTTTAGCTGGCAGTTACGCAGGGATGTCCAGAGAATCCTCAAAATTGATCTCCTCTTCTGTCTTGAACACAATATGTTCATGCTAACCTGTAAAGGGCTCTCTTAAGTTGTCTGCTCTTGATGCATATTCTTCGTTATATTTTGGTAACTCAGCAAAGTGATAATTATTCGAACTAAATACATTCATCTCTAATTGCATACCTCCAATAGAATTTTTTTAATGGGAACTCGTATTACCCTTTATATTGAATTCCCATCGCTATATAATAGTCTTTTTCTACTCCTTCCACTCTTCCCCAAAACAATACTTCATCAAATGTATAATGCTCTTGAATCTTTAGAATTGCCAATTTTAGTTTTATTCTACCCTTAATATTTCAACCTATACCTTTCTTCCATATTCAAAGTCTACCCTATCTATTAAATGAATTTCAAGTCATTAAAGGAGATATCCATTAAAATAAATAATAAAATATTATATAATATATTTAGTTTGTGAGAGCTTCAAGTGTTTTTAAGATAGCCTCTATGATGAATGATTAGTCATATCTTAGTTATCACACGGACTCATTAAGGAATGATTATATTGTATAGATTAAATTTGAGATATTTAGATTTGTTTTAATTACCGAAAAAGATTTGTATTAATAATTAATATGGCCACCAAAAGAAAGTATTTAAGGAATGTAGTTGATAACTAAAAGCCTGAAGAGAACGTCATCAGAGTGACAAATCGTGTCTAATCATCAAACTATGTTAGAAGAGCTTTGTGGCTATTCTAAGGGACTCGTAAAGAAAATCAACCACCTGCCTTCGATACTGTAATTATAACTGCTATTGATAACGCTATTACAAAGGCGATTATTATATCTGAAGTTGTAAGAAGAAGAATAGCTGGCTTATACTAAATTAATACCATTAAATAGGTTGAAATCAATGAAGTTTATGAACCACTGGAGGAAGGACTAGTGACTGTTAATGTTTCTAGAAAATTAGCATCTTTCTAGATTAAATTAACTAAGACACCAACTGAACAAGAAAGAAAAGAACCAGGATTTCATGTAATGAATTAAAAATTATAATAAAGGAACTTTTACCACCTGATCAAATTTAAACAACTAGACCTGAAAGATAAAGATCTCCAAGAGGAAATAGAAGCAAATCAGATAACAGAAGAAATTACAGCAATAGAAGAGATGATAGAGATGACAATAGAGTTAATAGAAGAGATAATAGAAGAGATAATAGAGATGATAATAGAAGAGATAATAGAGATGATAGAAGAGACAAAAGAGGTGATAGAAGAGATAACAGAGATAATAGAAGAGATAATAGAGATAACAGAGATAACAGAGATGATAGAAGAGATAACAGAGATAACAGAGATGATAGAAGAGATAATAGAGATAACAGGGATAACAGAGGTAACAGAGATAATAGAGATAACAGAGATAATAGAGACAATAGAGATCATAGAGATAACAGAGACAATAGAGACAATAGAGATCATAGAGATAATAGAGAGAAGAGAGATAATAGAGATAATAGAGAAAGAGATAACAAAGAAGGTGGCCAACAAAAAACAAGGGGTGGGGTTAAATAATAATAATGAGTTCATTAAAAAGATATAGCAGAATCACAGTCTCATCATTTCTCCCTTTCTCCTTTATTAACATTTAAACTAAATGTTTTAAATTACTTTCTCCTATTATATCTTAGAGTCTTAAAAATATATAAAATGTATTAACATATGTGTTAATATATAATATCTCAAATACCTTTCTCTTTTTCTTTGGTTTCCTATTCTGACTTAATTTTGTCAATTAATTCATGAAATCTTTTTATTTTTTCAATATAGTCAAAGTAATCTCCTTTCTACCTCTTAAAGTTCACGCATATAATATTCTTCCTGGTTTCTAATTGTGCTATTTCAGCTTTCAGAATTGTTGGTGTTTCACTTTCAATTATTAACTATAATAATCTAAGAATACTTACACTAAACTCATATTTTTCTGATTCTTTCTAGATTTTTAAATTATATTCATTATCCTCTAATTATTTTTTTAGCAAATCCATGAATAAATTTGGATTTATACTGATTAAATAACTATCAGATCTTATTAAATCAACCTAAAATTATATTAAAAAAAAATACAGGTATTAATTTTATAGAAATATTCTAAATTTACTCTATCTCCTAATTTTCTTATTCATCTGAATCTGATCTAAACTACCCCAATCCTCCTTATACTAAAAATCACTATTATTATACATATTGATTTATCATTGCTGATAATATTTTTCCCTTTATTAATTTAGCGAGTTAAGGTTTCTTTTATAATGCATTATTCAATCTTTTTTTACTTTGAAGAAAACTCTCTAACCATCTCTTCTGTGAATTCAGAATTACACTAAGTCCATGGGTGATTATAAACTTCACTTAAGGAGAGTCTATTTTTTGGACTATCTGTCAACATTCCTTGTATAAGGTCCCTAATGTAAATAGTTAAAATGATAAAAAACTTAAAGTCATCAGTGAAAGCAACATTTTGATTATCGATTTACATTAGTTTCCAGATTGCTTGGGGTGCAGTTTGAAATCCTGAAAAATTTGGATTTGTCTTCTCAGTGTTGGAGAATATAGGTCTTCCAACCATCAATATAAACAAGATCATTCCTAGTGCAAATATATCTTTGCTTTATTCATAATTGTTGTTCTCCTTAGCCCATGATGGAGACTCAAAAGCTATATACTGTTTAAGATTGTTTTTACAATATTTTTTTTTTCTTATCTAATTCAGTCCTAACTCTCCAATTTTAATGGTTTTAGCATCAGTAAAAAAAATGACTTCTGCTGTCAACTCTCCATGATATATTCCTTACTTATGAATTGAGATCAATCCTTTAAATTATTAGTTTTATTACCATCAACAAGTTATTTAAAATAGTGTCTGGCTTGTGCTTCATGAAATTTTCCTGTTTAGAATAAGTATTCAAACAGTTCCCCTCCCTTTGGATATTCATATATAACACATGATCTAGACATTGTGGTGCTATTTTTTTTCTTATTGTCATTATATAAACTATACTGTGTAGATTCCTTCATTTCTAATTTATATGATCTTAAGAATGGAAGGATGCTCTAAGTTTTGGATAATTTATAATTGTTAAAGTTAATCTCTCAAGCTGACATCGAAAAAATTGAGCAAAAAGTATTGCCCTTGATTATTTTTCCCTATTTTCACTTTGTACTATTAATGATAGTCATCCTTGTACCTCCTTGCAACCAAAATAATGTTAAATCTCAAATTCATCATATTTTGCTTTTGTTTACATTAGTTGTTTAAACAAAAATTATAAAATCAATAAAATTCTTTTCTTATTTCCCTCGCTTAATATCAAAAAATATATAATAAACTTTATATCGTCTCAATAGTTACAATGATGAATAATAAATTTAGAATTTATATTTTTAGTATTAAACATATATATAGGATTGTTAATTGATATAAATCAAGTTTCTAGTAATTAAATTTTAGACTAAGGAACAAAACGAAAAATTAAGAGTTTTTAGACAGTTCTCAATAATATTGAATAAATTCTCTATAAGCAAATATTTTTTGCTATAAAGTACTTAATTTAAATAATTTTTATCCTCGATCTTTCGGTTTCATGCAAAGACTATATAATTTTGAGGATGGTAGTGTATATGAGGGATAATGGTCGAATAATAAATAGAATGGGCAAGGTAAATAGATCTATCCTGACAGCAGTTCTTATGATGGGAATTGGAGTAATGGCATGAAGAATGGGAAAGGAATTTACAATTTTTCTGATGGTAGTTAGTATTCTGGAATGTGGAAGGATGATCAAAAGCATGGTTTAGGGAAATATAAATATAAAGATGGGAGTTATTACGATGGAGAATGGCAAAAGAATGTTTAACAAGGAGATGGAAAGTTTGTCAATGTTGATAATAGCCAATATGAAGGGTAATGGGTTAACGGAAAGAAACATGGGCATGGCAGATACTATTATGTTGATGGAAGCTTTTATGAAGGAAAATGGGAAAATGGTTAAAAGAATGGATTGGGAAAGATGTAATATAAAAATGGAAGTTTTTATAAAGGATTATGGAAGAATGATCAAAAGAACGGAAAAGGAATCTATAAATAATTAGATCGAAGTTGTTATGAAGGGGAGTGGTTGAATAATAAGTAAAATGGTTTTGGTAAACAAACTTATTAAGATGGGAGTATTTATGAGGGGGATTGGATTGATGCTTAGAAAAATGGGAATGGCAAATATAAATATCCTGATGGTAGTTACTATAATGGATAATGGAAGGATGGGTTCAAGCATGGGTTTGGAAAATATAAATTTACTGATGGCAGTTCATATGAAGGTGAATGGGTAAATAACGTACAACACGGATAAGGAGTCTTCATATAGCAAGGAGTATTTTAAAAAGGCATTTGGTTTAATGGAATGTTAACCGATATTATTAGTTGTGTTACATCTAGAAATAGCATAGAACTTTGATATTAAATAAATTAAATGCGCCTGCTCTGTATTCATTTTTAATATCAATTATTTTGTAATCTTTATTTATTTTCAAAATTGTAATTGTTTTTATAAATGCTGGACTTGGTTATCAATATCTTTCTCAAAGTGTTTTAGAGATTACTCAATATATTAATTTTCTGCCACAATTCTGCTATATTCACTTTAGAATTACTAATTCAATTGTTTCAGATTGTCTATTTACTCTATTTTGTCTATATATTTACAGTTTGATAATTTTCAAGAGCAGCATCTTAATCTTATGATTTCTTGGTCGCATCTCTTTGAGATTTGTATAATTCTAACAAAGGAATTCCTAGAACACATGAATACACAAATATATCTGCAAATAAATCAGAACCTACATTTATTCAAATATTACCTTTAGTTAAGGCTGCTTCATCAGTCAAAGGTTTAAAAAACATTTCTTAACTTTTTATTCCAATAGATTTTCGATTTAAAAAAGTCTCAAAATTATGGTATTTGTTTCCTAGGAACACAAAGCTAGTTTTTATAAGACTTGGCTTTCTTGATCTATGCTTATTCAATGCGTATCTCTTAATTTAATTCGACAAAGGTCTTGAGAATGTACGAATCAATAAAGAAGCTAATTTTTATATTGGAATCATTTAGTATTTTTAATAACATAATTTTCATAAATAAATTTTAAATCATATTATAATATATCATTATTCAAAAGAGAAAAAACTATTCATATACAAATATGAGTTATCAATACTTATTTCTTAACTTTAATTGTAGTAATTATAATATTATTTAATAGGGAATATAAATAAGGAATTGTATTGTAATAATGGTTGTCGGCCATACTAAGTCTAAAGCACCGGATCCCATTCGAACTCCGAAGTTAAGCGACTTAAGGCGAGGTTAGTACTAACGTGGGGGACCGCTTGGGAAGTCCTCGTGTTGACAACCCTTTTTTTATTATTATTTTGCTTATTTTAATTAAATTATCTTTAAACATCATTAAACTGCATTATTTACAATTTGCTTTTATCAATGTGTAAAACTGAATATCATCCATTTTTTAAAATTATCTTTCTTAAATAAGCTCATTTAAACATTGTTTAATTAGTGTATAAATTTATTATTTTATTATGTTGATTATTACATTTCTGATATTCTCAATAGGGCTGGCAACAATAAAATATGATAGTAACTATTATAATTAATGGAATTATAATGTTTAATCTGAATTTGTTTGTTGGGGAGGAGCCAGATTTGACGCAACAATAACATTCGCAGACACGTTTGCAAATATTCCCCAAGTTTTTATCACCCATGAGTTGATAGATATGGATTATAGATAGTTTATTACTTCTGGTTTCAATCTTAGCATTACAGACATTACATTAACAAGTAAGTGTAAAATTTTTAATTATAGACTTTGTTATGCATTTGTACTGTGAATATGAGAGAGGATATAGATTCAAAATAAGGTGGTTTGCGGTTGATGATCAAAGAATATAAGTTATCAGTTAGTTTAATTTGATTCCGCTTAAGAACCTAAGTTATTATTATGCAAACGTAAATTGTGATACTTATTTCATTACAATTACAAGTTTTAGTTAGATAGGGCCTACAGATGTTTAATTATCCGTAAAATTTAATTTTATAATAGGTTATTTTCACACCTCCTAATATAGTTTCCATACTTTCCCCCTATTCTCCTGGAAAATCAGAAAATTTAATCTCTCTTGGATTTTAAATTATTTTAGGAATTGATGAAGCCTTCATTTAATCTAACACGATTTTAGCGCTTTCAAATTATGATTCTAATATATACGATCCTAATCAAGCAGATCGAGTAGAGTTTTATCCATTTTCCGGAATGGCATATGTCAATGATCATTTGTTGTAATGGGTAGTAGTTATAGATAACAATGGTGTTGGTACAAAATATTAGATAAAAGATTGTAAAATTAAATCAATATCAATTTATAGGGGGGGCAGGATATACTACAAATTACCATAGAAAAGTTCGAATGCTGAAATCTTTTACAAAAGTCTTTTCGCCTATTCTCTGCAATTTTATAAGATTTTCTTCGAAACTTGAATATAGAGGTTTACCTAGGCCTATGTTTTCAGTTGAATTTACTGGTGATTAAGTTATTTTTACAGGAAATGGATATCATACAATAAAAAAGTCGATTTCTAACATAGAATTAAAAATTAACTGCAATTGTATCACTGGTAAAAAGATTAAAAGTAAATTGTTTAAATGTCAGAATTGTCCTGTAAATTAAAATAATTATTAATTTGAACACTCTTGTTATGGAGCCATTAATTTATTATTTATTAATGCTCGATTTATAACTTAAACTACAGCCATTTAAGAATTATAAATTGATATTACAGCTACAAGTTGTAAAATTACTTAATTAATCTACCATTAACAAAAATAAACCTATGTAATTGTTGATATATAAATCATTGATAGTTGAATAAAAATATATGATTTAAATTAGGAATAACAATAATTTTTAATTTATACTGCATCATTGTTGTGCCTTTTTTACCTTCAAATAATTATAACATACAATTATTCTTAAATCTATAATATTCAAAATTTATTATGATCATATGAGCACATCATTGTTTTACAAAAATAACACTTAAAACAACATATTATGTTGGAATGTTCATTTTATTTTATTTGAGAGTTTATCAATAATTCAGAATTAAATTGGTTTTTTTCTAGAAAACCAAATTCTTAAAATCTCCTATATTTTTATTGTAGTAATTATAATATTATTTAATAGGGAATATAAATAAGGAATTGTATTGTAATAATGGTTGTCGGCCATACTAAGTCTAAAGCACCGGATCCCATTCGAACTCCGAAGTTAAGCGACTTAAGGCTAGGTTAGTACTAACGTGGGGGACCGCTTGGGAAGTCCTCGTGTTGACAACCCTTTTTTATTATTGCTCTAATAAATGGGATAATCATATTATTCAAAATTTTTAATATAAATTTATATTCAAATTATAAATTTAATAGTTTCATTAAATATTTGATAATAAAATATTAACCAAAATTTATTTTAAAAATTAATCAATAATTTAATTTCAATAATAAATAATCATTTTGATAAATGGAGAACCTATTACTATTCTGTTTGATCATCTATTCCAAGTATTCATTTCTTGGCAGATCTCTAATCCTCATCAAAATATCATAGTCATCAAGTTAAGAGAGAAGATCATACTCATAATCATCGATGTCATTCGAATTCTATAAAGAAAATCTTGAATAATTCATTATTATGTCATCAGCTAATTTTTATTCATCAGTGCGACCATCATACGGCAAGCAGTGTTGTAAGACACATTAGATATCTTCTTAATCATGTACGAAATTATTTTCATAATCTTTGATTTTAGTGAAAATACAAATTTAGGAGGCATAACCATTCGTAAGGTCTCCAGATTTGTGTTGACCCACTCCCTCATAGATTGTTGAATAACGATATTTTGAAGCAAGAGCAGATGTCCATTCTAAAAATTCCTATTATGAAAACTCGAATTTGTGATCTGGGTGCCTCAAGACAAACTTGGGGTTAAGCTATTTAAAATAGACATTGAAGTCAGAATTTGGAGTTGTAATGATAATTCTTTGAGGATTCAAATATCCAAATACATTTTCACATAAGTCATCCAGTTATTCTAATTGCAAATGTTCTACCACCTCTATAAGTGTGATTAACTATATTTCGTATAATGAACAATACTTCAAAATTCATCTATTTGAGTTGTTTGTATTTCTTTAGAGCATTTCCATGGAACAATTTAATCCAACATTCTGATTTTCTATTTGATCTTAGACAGTCTTAGATCTGATCGTATACTATGTTATCACTTCGATTAAAATGAAATTTTACCAAGCTTCTTTGAGAACTTCGAGATCTATGTCCAATCCAGCGATGAAATTGAAATCTAAGGAATGAGCTAATCTTTAAATAAATTTGCCATCATTGCATCCGATATCTAATGTTCTTTCCTTCTCTATATATTTATCCAGTTGTTGATGCCTTCTTTCCCATAGTCTCATCCCCATATTGTCATAAAAAATATCATTTTCATAAGCTTTAATTTCCATTACTCCACTATTTAGTTAAGTTTATTTTAATAATAATTCCTGTAATTTATTATCTGAACTATTAATGAGAAAAACCAAATCTCATTAGATTGAAATCCAATTTATCATTGTAATAATAAGGAGTAAAACAAGAATAAACAATGTTCTTTTATTAGTAATGAACTGCTAACACACATAATTAAATATCAATCAAATAAATCAAACGGGATAAATAATCCATAATAGGCAGCCAAAGTTCCACTCAGTACTTAATCCTTATTTAAATTAAACTAATTATTGATTAAAGATAGATACTCTTCCAGATTGAATTTATTTCAAGACATTCATCAATAACAATGTGTATGGCATCAAGACTATTAAACTAAGTATCATTGGAACAAAAATGATAGCAAAAGGCAAGACACATAGGAACTCACAAAATAAGACCTCTATAAAATTTAACGTGAAAATTACTTTAAAATCTGAATTCCTTGTTTTCTATTAGGATATATATTAACAAAATAATGGTAACTATGAAATTAGCGAATAATGGGATCACTATGAATATGCCAACGATAAAAGAACCTAAATTTATTTGTATTATTAAAATACTTGGCAAATCGCTATTAGGACCTGAAGAAGAGGCTCTTAAGATAAAAAAGAAAATTAAGGTATATGCAAAGATAGATCCAAAGTAAAATAGAAGTGCTAATCCTGACTAATTAATGTATTATGATTTATTTACTTATCTAAATCTTTCCATTGATCCCAATTTTACTAAAACAATCAATAAAATAACACTTGCAGAAATGCAATAAGGATATGAACTTCGGTGTTCATAAAATAATTTTGAAAACGACACTTACATCACAAATAAGAATAAGACAAATAAGAAGGTCCATAATGTGAACATTCCCAAAATGCTGCTTAAAAAGAACTTTTAAGTTAAGAAATCTTAGTCTTTCAATAATTTGGAGTAGACCGGTTGAAGTGGCTAATCGAGGTTGTAATAATTTGGTTGATTATTATTGATTTATTATGAATATGGGAGTATGACTTATTGATACTGTTGAAAATTAGGATTCTGTTGTGGCAAAACTGGTATGTATTTAATGTCTTCTTGGGTATTCTAGAATAATTAGGGCTGTGCATGGTCCCTCTATTCAGGAGATTGAATATCAAATTATGGATATTTAACTTATTACATAAATTTATAATGAAACAATAACAATTCAAGTATAATAATAATTTTTGATCGCTGTTAACACAATGCAGAATGCTTTCTATACAGCTTTCTTATTATTATTTTATACTAGTGATATATAATAAAATCATGCTTTGCCTTAAGTGAAAATTTTGACAAATTCTTCAAAGCTAAATCTCAGCATCTTAGTCTCTTTAATAAATAAGAAAGCGTCATAGCCGCATGATTATCCCTCCATCAATAGATATGGATAAGCCAAGAGTAAGTTAGCTTTGGATATCAACAGTTTGTTTGGTTGAGGTTCTCGATTCAGTAAACATTTAAAGATTGTTAAGAAATTAATAGTTTATCTCCTGGTTATTTTGTAATCCATTTGAATTTTGTCAATATTTACATTCTTCATAAAATATCTACCCTTAAAATTCGTTTTTAATTGAAAAGGACTACTAACTGAGGATATTTCTATGCTTCGAGATGAGGGTATGAACAAATTGGAGCATTCAACTTGCTCTTAGATTTATTATTGCAAATCCTCAGGATTGGTGATATTTTCCTATAAGATTTATTTTTCAATGGATTGTCTTGTCCTCGTTTTGATGTTTAATCTAATTAATTTATTTTATTTTTAGGAATAGTTAGATTTGCCATTCATCTCCTTATTCAATTGTTCAAAGATCTGCACTTTGGTTTTCTGCTTTTCAGTGTCCAACATAGCAAAGGCTGTATCGATCTCATGATCATCCAGATCAATTTTGGGTTGTACATTTTGTATGTATGGTAGTTTGTTAATATTCATGGTAAAGTATTATTTTATTGTGCTTTTGTTATTAAAAAAGAAGTCAAAGATTTGAGAGGAGTTTTAGAATTATGAGATATCTTGATATAGTGAGTCGAGTAAGTTCATTTGAAAGGAACCATTAAATTAATTGTAATGAGCAATCATTTTCCAGAAATCAAAACTGTTATTTATATAAAATACTTTCTAATTTGGCAAGTGAAAATTTTTAATCTGAGTGCCATCTAGAGTCCAAATTTTTGGAGTGGATTTTAAATTCAAAAGGGTTTTAAGATGCATGGATTGTTCAATAAAATCTGAAATGAGCTCATTTTCATTGTCAATTTTTGAATACAGTGGAATGTAATACTTAAATACTTTGAAATTGTTAATAATGAAAACTTCTTAAAAACCTTGTTTCTTGTTAATTCCTTTATCAATTATTTTGTGTCTCACATATTTGATCAATCTCTCTGATTTCCATTGATCCTAGTAGGATAATTTATGGAAATAATTTGATTTATTGGATTCTGTTACTTGTCTTCTTGGGGTATGAAAAACGGTGGGGGAATTGGCAATGTTGTTTTACTCAACTTGGAAGGATGTAGCAATTTTCAAACGAGGAACGCTGTTAAATCTTTTATTCATTTATTAAATAATTAATATATTATTTTAAGTGCATATGATAATTAGAAACCTAAGGGGTTGTTGTTATTAAATGCATAGAATTGTTGTAAAAATAATTTATCGACCAATTATGATCAACATCCATTAATTATTTATAAATTAGAGAATAATAATATTAATATCATTATAATATCATATAGATCATATTTAATCAATTATTATGTTATTCTTGCTAAAGAATAGATTTTCTTTTAGAATTTTCCTCAACGATTTATTTGACCTGACTCTTCTTTCTCATTTAATCTCGTTTAACAAACTCATCTACTTTACGAAATTATACCCAAGCCTTGCCTTCCATCAGATTGTCCAACTACATCTTTAAATGATTGAGTGTACCTCTTCAAAAATCTCTTTGTCCGAATATCCACTCTTCTTGACTATTTCCCAGAAGGCCATCCACTCATCCTCAGTAATCTGGCCACTTTTATCAAAATCAACTGCATTAAACAATGCTTGAGTATTCACTTTGGCAAAATTGGTTTTCCAAAACTTTTGAGTTTCATCCTTGTCAATAGAACCAGAATTATTGACATCAATTTTCTTGAAAATCTCTAATGCCTTTTATCTTAATTGAGGCGACAAACCTTAAGATTGTTTTTGAGCTCCACAACCCATTATAATAATTAATTAAGTAATGGAATTCTTTGTAATTCTTACCCTCCTGTTCTTGGTGATAGGTGCCTCCTTGTACTTGTTAGTCTGCGTAGATCCCAACTCCCCAGGATTGCTGGGGATGATGAACAGATTCGTATTCAACACCATCCCAGCGATATTCAAGTAAATTCAAGAGTATTACCTAGGAAAATATTGGGAGAACGCATCTTCAAAGTATTTTCAAGAGGAATAGATTATTTCTTCTATTCAAACCATCCCCTAGTTTAAATATTCTATGTATTGGTCGCAGTGGGAGGCTATTTGGTTTATCTGTACTTTGGATTTCTTGAATTATTCAATAACAACCCTTTAGTATCCCACCTCGACACAGCAATCGGATCAACAATGGCACTCTTTTGTTTCTACTCCTTCTTTCAAGCATGTCGATACAAACCAGGAATAATAAATAAGGAGAACAACAAAGAGTATGTCAATTAATACAAGGAGTACTATGACAATGTGGTGTATTTGAAAGAGAATCATTGCAAAACGTGCAACATCATCAAACCAGCAAGAAGCAAACATTGCCGAGTGTGCAATGTGTGTGTTAGTCGCTTTGACCATCACTGTGTATGGATCAGATAATGTGTTGGGTAAAAGAATTACAAGTACTTTGTCAAATTCATCATCACCCATGCCATCCTCTGTGATTATGGAGCTTATTTGGGTTTCCGTTGCTTATGGGGAATCATCATAAAAGAGAAACTCCTAGAAGCACAATTCAGGTAATTTATTGATGTTCAATGTAGAGATCCTGTGACAAAGTAGAGATTGTAAGCCACTTGGGGAATCATAGCACAATATTTGTTCTACAAAAACACCATGTACATTTTCATTGTCATTCTGTGTATCGTAATGGGCATTGCATTGACATGCTTTGCTCTTTACCATCTCTATATGATTGGATAGGATACCACTACTAATGAAAGAATGAAGAGAAGTGATTTCTTGAATTTCTTTGATGAAGAGACTGAACGTTTAGAAAAGCAACTTAAAGATGCACAAACTCCAGAGGATATTAAGTAGGCGACTACTAAATTGGAATAAGTCAAACAATGTCAATAAAAGATCATCACAACCAAATCTATAGGAATTTGGAGGGGATTGAAAAGTGTGTTTAATGAACCAGATGATTTGGATTAGAACCCTAAAGTTAAAAATAAAAAAAGATGATGAATTAATAATGTGTGTGTTCTAAGCATTCAATTACATATTTTTTATTGATGTCCTTGAGTGTGGAGATTCAAAAATATTTTTAATTTAGTCTTTTAGTAATCTTAATTGAAAATGAAAATAGTTGAGAATCTCTCATTAATTTTAATGAAGTTTTCATCTATAGAGTTTATAGTCAGCAAATTTGTTCACACTTTTAATATCAAATCTAATTATGCAATGTAATTTATTCTAATTAATTATTTCATTTTTAAATAAATATAATAATATTAAACATAAAATACAATGCTGCTCTAGCCTATAAAAATAAATTAATGTAGTCAACATCTTGATTATTGAATTAATTATAATAAATTATTTTTAATAATAAAATGATTCTACTACCATGATAGTATTGGAGACCATATTATACGTACCTTAATTATCATGAATAATGAAATTGATTGCATTGTAATATTAATAAGTGATGAAAGAGTGACCATTTTTATATGATCTTAAGACACTGTAATAAATTATTTGGTGTAAGATATTACTTTAATCTATAAGAGTTAAATATATTATAATTTAATTACATTAATTATAGATTTTATTTTTATTAAATAATTATTTATTTATGGGTTGTTCTATTCCATTTGTTTACAATACTTCAGTTGATACCAATTAATCGTTTTCATTTGATGATCTCTTGGAAAGTGAAGTATCTTTAGATTAAATTCACGATGAAATCGCATTCTTAAGAATAAATGTGGAAAAATAAAAATAGATCTATCCTGAGGACTATAGAACTGAAGTAACACCGTTGGCTAATTCCAATTACATTCAATTGATACCTATAAGTAAATCAGATACTAAATCTAAGAGGCCTTGTTTAAAACAATAATTGACAACGCTACCGGCACCACTCACTTAAGATGTAAATCCTAAGAGAGTTCATTTTGTTGAAATTTAATCGAAACAAACAAATTAGTGCAGGGGAGGAAGGAAGAAAAGTAAGAACAAACGTTAGAGAAAGTCCGAAGAAATTCAGGAGCATATCAACTTAGATGACATATTTTGATCTTAATTGTCCCTATATTTATTCTTAGTACATAAAATATATACATATCATAACAATTAGTACAGTTTGTCAATTTGAACTTCGAATGAGTTGTCTTCATTGAGCAATGAGGGTAATACATGATTTTTCTACTCTTGGTCTATCAAGTTGGTCACTGTCACAACTTGTATCCGTTCTTCATCAATTTTAAAGATTTCAACATATGAAACCTTTTTACCTAGGTTTTCTCAATTTTAATACATAATAATTCGTTTTTCTTTAAATATGTCAAGTATTCCTTCGAAGTATCTTTCACGAACTCCACTGTGAAAGACACTTTGCTCTCACTTTTTTCCTTGATGGAAAACTTACTAAAAAATACAAAAGTTTGGAATGAGGATTTAATGCTCCAAACAGAAGTCTCCAAGGCTATGAAATTGTTTTCGTCTATAGTCTCGAAGATTTCAAACTTCTTGAATGAATTTCTCCACTATTTCTATTCAGTAAATAGTTTGTAAACTTTCTCAATTGATGAGCATTTGAGGATGTAAGAGTTCTTGATGATCTATCCTTGTAAATGAAGTAGAGTGCAATTTCTATACTCTAAACCAAATAGATTGTATGATTACATTTGACGAGTTTCCATTCATAGTTTAGATTCAATATTTTGATCAAAAAATCTGAAGTGTTGTCATCTTCCAGTAGAATCATGTCTTTGGAAGAGAACTTCCTTATGGTTTCTTGTGTGGTGGCAGGAGTGATGTTTTCATCAGAGGAATCCAAAGTTTTGTTGCTTTCTAGAGTTTACTTTTGGGATTTGTAGGTTTAATAAATTGCTAATACTTCGTCATCTTCAATTAGGAATTTGATGATTCGTTGATCCAATAAGGGGTTGCCTTCCAAATAGCGATAGAGCAAGAGCAGAGCATTCTTATAACACTTGTTTTATTGGTTATCTTTGATGTGATTTTGGAGTTTCATTTGTTTGATTTGTTTCATGTTCAATTCTGAGAAGGCTTTGAGGGTGACTTCGGCGACTTGGGTTAGTAAGAGATTTAATTACATGGATTGTACTCGAATTCCAGCAATTTACTTAAGAAAGAAAGTAGGCAATTACATTGTATATGAGAATCTGAATCACTCGATACCATTTGGGTCAATCCAAGGATGTCCTTGTCCTTGTCTCCAACAAATAAGTACTGTATGATGTTGTACGATAAATATTGGAGTTTGCCATACAAATAGTTTTCGAGTTAGCTGGGTGTAATAGAATTAAATGGGGATACTGTATAATTTTGACTCTGTCTTCTTTGTGACTGTTGAGTTTGTGAAGGTAGCAGATCACAGCCTTTTCAATGTCGTTGGTTGGCTGATGCTTCTACAGTTCTGGTTCGAGGAGAGAGTCCAAATTAAATTGATCGCTGCTGAGACCGTGCAATTTGATATTGTCAAATCCCCTTCTCAAAAATTGTTGAAGGATTTCAATGAACTCCAAAAATTCGACAGGTTTCAATTGATCTAGGGAGGATAGTATGGTTTATAAAAATTCTTATAATTTAGTCCATAGTTTTACTTTGCAATGATTTTCTTCTTTCTTGGACCACCTCACTTTTATTGGATTTAAACAACTTTTTCTGGGGAAACTCAAAAAATTCGAATTTAGGTTTTAACTAGAATAGCCGAATTAGATACTTATTCGTAGAGCTGAAGAAATTACTTGTACCTTCGTTGAATTTGGTAGTCGAAGTAGTCTGTGGTGATTTTGATCACGTAGTGGACTATGTGTTTTTTGTGGAGTGAGAAATTGTCCTTTTCTTTGGTGATGGAAACTATTTCGATGTTCTTAATGACCTGATGGGTAAAAATCAACTCATATACACTCTTTTCAATTTTATAATAATATTTTTTTACCTCATCCTGGAGTTGGCTAGTAACCGAATGAACTCTCTTCAACGACAGGGGAGAAGCCTTCTACTAGGGATCTTGATCTTGAAACGAATATTGTCGTTTGGGAAGCATGCCAATTAGTTTAGAATTACAATTAATATCTAAAAATACTCAATCTGATTGGTATTATATATACTGCTATTAATTGAATAAATAATATGCAATTTAATAATGTGCATATTATTATAAAAATAGCCGTTCAACTTGGCTTCCGATCTGTCTTAACCGACCCAATTACTCACCTTCAACAGCCCATCGTCGTTGAAATCAGGTTCTACGAATAAATGTACGAATAAATTTAATTCCAATTTGTATGCAATTGCAATTCAATATATTTTAATAATAATATTGATGTTTTTTGCCTTGAAAGATTTACATAAATGTTTTAAGAGTAATTCGTCATTTAGTACTATTTAAAACATATATCAATCATCAAATTTTTGTAATATTTTAAAAAAAAAAAATGCTAACAACTGAGGTTAGTGCCACGTCTAACCAAAATCAAACAAAAGATCCTTCAGAACTTGTTTTAGAGGTTCGTTTTTAATTTAATAATTTATCAAAGTTTACTCATCCATGGACCGATCATGATGAAGAACAACTCAAACAATTGTTCCTTATTCATTAGGGCAATTGGAAATCTATCAGCCTACAATTGAATGGCCCAACTCCCTTAGAATGCATGATGAAATGGCAGAGGCTACATCCTGATCAAGTATATTGGATCTCTTAATTTAAGACTCTCGCAAGACAATTATGGTCACCAGAGGAAGACGAATAATTAAGGGACCTAGTGCAAAAGTACGGAAAAAAATGGAGTAAGATATGCACAGTGATGAATTGGAGAACTGGAAAACAAGTCAGAGAACGGTATCTAAACCAATTGCAAGGCCACATTAACAGTGAGAAATGGACAGAGTAGGAAGACAGGATGATTTTAAAATTGTACAAAAAGTATGGAACGAAATGGAGTTACATATCCAGTTTCCTTAATGGCAGACCCGTATAAATCAATTGTCAATATTTTTACATAGGAAAACATGGTAAAAAATCGGTTTTATGCCAATTTGAAAAGAAGATTCCAATCTGATCTGGAGAATTCAGAAGAAGACCAATGTCAGGACTCTCAGGATTCCTTCAATGTTACCAAATACAAGAAGAAGAAGAAGCTCAAACCCTGTAGATTCATCAGCGATTCCATTCAGATCAAGAAATCTTAGCTCCAAAATGTGAGATCTGAAATCTTCAAACGAATCACCAGGTCCAAGAACAGGGATCCCTTGCAAGATCAAATTAAGGAAGAGAATGTTCAGGACCCCCTTAATTTAAACGAAGAGCCAGTCAATCAAAAGCAGGAATAAGACAACCATTTGATTTCACACTAAAAAGTAGGTGTAAAAGAAGAAATGGCATCTAATGTAGATTAGATACCGTGCAATCCTCATATGTTATTCGAATATTAATCAAGATTTTAAGCTCTATAATAACTTGACTAAGGAACAATAGAGCTTGGATTAAATTAATACTAACAATAATAATTATTATAATCATAATAATTATTATATTGCTATCCAAAACTAAATGACACTCAAATCAATTTCTAATTGTGTTAGAAATGTAGTAAATGCGAGAATACAATCGACTAAACTCAGTTGTATTCTTTTCAAGATATTAATCAATTGTTTAAATTGTTTTAGTATCAAATGTTTATGCAAAATCAACCTTTGCTGAATTAAAAGGCGGAAGTTGATATGTCATAAATTGGGAATCAATAACAATAGCAATATAAAAGCCATATATTGCAGTGACATTTCATTATTGGAACACAAGGACCAATGAAAATGTTAAACATATATCATCCATTACAAAACCCCAACATTCATCCTAATTACATCAATCTTACATTAAAGTATCTCTTATTATTGAATCCCTGACTCTCTCATTCGAACGTCTGAATCCCCCTTGAAAAATAAGGGAAAAAAAATAAAATCAATAAAATCTACTCGTATGTCTTGTATTAATAAATAATATAAGAATTTTAAAGCCATTTCTAATAATTTCACAAATTAATTAAATTTCCAATTTGCTCTTAATATGATATTTTTTTAAACATACATTCTGAATTGTATCCATGATTCTTCTTGTTCTCGACCACAAGATCGAATAGAGTATATAGTATATATGACTCTTTAATTTGATTTTGACGATTTGAGGAAGAACCATCTGAATAATGAATGTATAAATAATGTTTAAAAAATATACTCATATCGAAGTCTGAGTTGGTTTGGGGTGTAAGGTTTTTGAATTCACGAATTCGCCAGCGATTTTTGTGACTACTCGAAAACTTACACTTTCCTTGGTTATGGTTCTGTACAAACATCTTTTTGTCGAATCGATGCCTTATGAATTTTTGATCATATTATTTCGGTGGTAAAGGAAAATGGATTTTGCAGCTGAATACTTGATATTCAGTTGGGAGGCTGCCTAAAAATAGAATGAAGAGTTTACGTGTTTTATTTTGAAGCCTTTGCGACAAATCAAGTGAATTAGGGTCTGTTTGATGTCGGAAGACAACTTATGATATGAGGTTTTGGGTTTTTTGGAACCTTATTTCATAATGAATCTTCTTCGAGAGTGCGAATCGAATAAAATTAATTCTGAATAATTCAATTTCATAATAATGATTCCTTTTTTAAAATCTTGAAATTCATTATTTTTTATTGAGGCTAGTGAAACAGGAATTAATTTCGAATATTATTAGTTACATAATTAATGTCATAAAAGTAAAGGCCAAAGTAGTTGGACCCCATCAAACGGGTGAAGGAAACAGGCCCGTTCGACTCGGGAAGCCCCTTGTCCTTCATAAACTCGATGTGGTAACAGCAACCATCAGAAGCCAAAAGGAAGCAGCAGAAGAAAGTTACTTAAATTTAAAAAAAGCTGGAATACGATATCCAGGAGGCTCTAAAACAAACCGATTACGATGAAAGTTCATTTTCAAAATAAACATAGGAAACATCCTGCACAGAGCGTGTCTTGATTAGCAAATCAAACAGATCAAAGACATAATTGAAGATTTGGTCGCTAAGAAGGACGATGTCGCTCTCCAGGAATGCCTAGTAAAGTAAGACAAATTTCACTGCTAACCCTTGTTGTTGTGTTGCATTAAGCCGAAAACCTTGGAATCCGATTAGATTAGAATGTTGTGCATTCAATTTTTATTGAACCCTTGCAAAGAGAAACCACATATCAAGGCAGATGTGAATTGCTTCAATCCAAGAACATTGTGGACTTGCTTGCATTGGGCAGCATACTATGGTGACAAGGATAGTGTGGAAGTCCTACTCGAAAATAACATCCATGTTTTCTTGCCAGATTACAAGGGACAATACGCAGTGGATTTGGCAGGTAAGAATAAGTACGAGGAGGTGGTGACTCTAATCATAATGCGGAGTATTGAAATATTGGATTATCTGAAATATGGAAGTTAATAAAAGTACAAGGCTTACATTGAGAGTCTCACTCCAGACCTTCTGAAACACTTGAATAACCCATTGTTTTTATGCAAATTGATATATTGGTCAGCCTTGTATGAGGTGGACAGCAAGAACTCAACCTTATTGTAATTCAAAAGAGCCTATTCCTTTTTCCCATTGTAAATGTAATTTCATCTATGTTTAGTAAGTCTTTGAAAATGAAGACTGCCTTGCATGCAGCATGTTAGAGTCACAAAGGCAATGAAGATTTTTTGAATGAAGCATTCCGTGTTTTTGAGGAGACCATGTTTGGATTCAGCAATGACGATTTGACTAAGATCATTCCTCAGAAGAAGCCAACACTTCAAATGAACAGTGTATTTGTGTTTTCTGAGGAGGATCTTAAGAAATACAGGGACGATTTTCAGAAGGAAGTCTTGCTATTGGCAGAGTGGGAGAAGGAAGTGTTGAATAAACTGAAGATAATCAAGAATTACACTTAATAAAAGTAGAGGTAGAAATACTATAACGATTTTTATGCGATCTATGTGAATCAGTAAGATGCTTACGGTAATTCACCTTTGCATGTTGCATCCATAAAGGCATTTCAAAAAGGAATCAACATTTTGATGGAGAAATAGGCTAATATGGAATTGGAGAACAATGAAGTATTTAAAGCAAGGGAATTGACACAAGATGAGAATGTTCTGGTGTTGTACAAAGATAAATTGCAGAGCATCACAAGTGAAGCCATATTAAATGAACTGAATCAAACAATAATCCAGTAGTTGATGGGCATATTTAAGAAGGATGCTTACGATGATCAATTGCGTTTGCGAAATGCTTTGGCTCCTTGTAAGTCATAGTTATAATATTCTTAGTGTCCAAGAACGGGGATTCTCATTACTATAAATTGATCACAGAACTTAACTCATACTCGTAGAATCTGTTTGTGCCAGATTTTATTATTCGTGCGAGTATCAAAGCAGAGAATCTGAATTCAGACACTTTGGAGACAGCCCCAGCCTTCTTTGACTTGAAGGATTAGGACTGTGCTGAGTTGATAAGATTGAACTTTTACATATCGTTGTTGTTGAATGCGAATTTCGAAGTGTATCTAATGAAATCGCAATTCCAACAGGGATTCTATTACATAATGTTGCAGCACAACGAGAAGAACTTGGAGGATCAAGCTGACTTGATGAATCTATAGATGAAGTTGATGGATTCTTACGATTTGGAAGAGTTTGAGAAGGTGTTCTAGAATCTATATGAACCCTTCCGATCGAGACAGAAACAGCAAATCATAGAGAAGCATTTGACTCAAATTAAAGACTTGAATGAGTAGATCAATTCTGGGATCATAGAGGCATACTATAGAATGCATAAGACAGGAGGTATCAATAAGATAAAGGAGAGATGGTTGGTGAACAACAAGTGGTATCTCCCAACTCCAATAAATCAGATATCTGAGTATTTGATGGAGGGTGAGAATCAGAATTTCAGTTCGATTACAATATTGAGATTGTATTTCGGTGAGAAGATCTCCTTTTACTTCGCCTGGAAATCCTACATTACTTGTGCGTTGATGGTGTTGGCAATTCCTGGAGCAGCAATCCAAATATACATTTTGGTCACAGGTGATTACTTCCCATCGATACTTCCATTTTGGGTTTGTTATGTTTGTTTATGGTCAACATTGCAGGTCGAATTTTGGAAGCGGAAAACCTCAGAAATCACGACAAGATGGGGATGCTTGGATTTGTTAGATTCCAAAGACAAGGGTGAAGTGCGTAGAGGATTCCAAGGTTACGAGGAAATCTATCAAGTGACTGGAGAGTTGACTAAGCATCAAAAGAAAACTGAGACATTTCTCAAGGTGGTTTTGTCAGTGTTGGTGGTGTTGATCTTTTTGACACTCTGTGTGTTGATATTCGTTGGAGTGAACCTCATGGTCAAGAGATTTGAAGGGTAAATAATTATAACCACTGGACTCAATATCATTTAGGGAGTCGGAATATTCATCCTCAATTTGGTGTACAATCACATAGTCATGTTTTTTGCCCAATATGAAAATCACAAGTATCAGGAAGACTACGAGTAATCCATCATCTACAAGAACTCAGCATTCACCTTGTTGAATTCCTATCTCTGTATTTTCTATGCTGCCTTTGTGAACAACAAAAGTTTTCTGGATCTGTTTATCTAATTAGTACCGGTCTTAATTACGAAGCAAGTGTAATTCGCAGCCCTTAAGGTGTTACTGCCTAGAGTACAGTACGATTACTATGAGAAGTAATACTTCAAATAGCAATAACTGAATATACAGAGACAAGGGCAATTGAATAGAAACAAGGAGGGGTTTAAGGACAAGGTGGAGACGCTGTATGAAGCAATCTTCAAAGAGAAGAAGTACACGATAGAGACTTGTAAAAGGGCAGTGTTGAAAATCCATGAGAAGGGGAAGCCACCCACATTGGAGATGAATTTGGATGCAGATCAAGTGGAGTTGAATAATTTAAAGTTGAATTACGAAGGAACTCTGGGGTATTTCATGGAGGGAATCATTGATTTGGGTTATATCACATTGTTTGCCGCAGCCTTCCCAATTGGGCCAGCGATTGCAGTGGTGGCTAATGTGGCTGAGATCAGGACCAAATTGATATCGTTTCTGGAAGTCTACAAAAGACCTGAGTGTTAGAGATGTGCTGGTATTGGAGATTGGTTGAACATTATGTAATGGATGGGAATGGGTTGTGTATTCTCGAATTTTGCTTTGTTGTACGTGAAATATAAGGTAGAGACAGTTGGAGTGATCTACGGGTACAATGGGTCGGATCAGGATATTACTATTTGGTTGTTCTTCTTGACTATTGCGATCATACTGATCATCAAGTTAGCATTTCAGTGGTTGATTCCAGATAAACCGTAATGGGTGTTGAATGAATTGCAGAACATCTAGGAGAAACAACATGTGAATACTGGGCAGAGAGAGGCATTGAAGAAAACAAAGGTGGAGATCCAGAAGAAGCAGGATAGGTTGAATTAGAGAAAGAAAGAGTATCTAGAGGCCAAGTAGAATTGCACTTAGAAGATGTAGGCTAAAATCAGCACAAAAATAGAGAAGGAAACCAAGATCGAGAGATTTCAAAAATAGGAGGAATCAGAAAAGTTGTTGGCCAAATAGGGAGTCATTCAGAAGGTAACGGAAATAGAGATTAAACCGGAAATGGTCACTCAGATAAGAATAGGGTTGTTGAGGCAGAAGTTCATTGAGATCCAACATTTCCTGCTTTAATAGAGAATCAGACAGATAGATCAAGCCAGGACCAGAAACATTTTCCTTTGTTAGGAATGCTCATTAGTGGAGGCAGTGTTTGATTGTGAGGATTGCGATGAAAGTCAATGTTAAGAATGTTTTCGTAAAGTGCATACGAAAATGAAGAACATCACCACTCATGAGGTGATGTTGTTGAAATCTGCAAAATATTATGACCATGAATTGTTGAGTCGATTGCAAGTGAAGCGAAAGGTCAAAGTGGACAACAAGAGTAACTTACAAGTGAAGTTAAACCAATAATAACAGTAGGAGGGGGAATTTAAACCGAAGAGATGGCAGAAATTACAAAACTTCTGTTTTCCAACCACTACTTCTTCCTTGGCCTACAATTCATTACCCACTATATTCAACTATTTGAAGCGTGAGTATTTGGACAATTTGAATTTGGACAGAATAGAATTAAATAGTTTTTATAGATTCAGGAGAGAATAGGAGAAATTCATCATGTACGAAAGTGAGAATATCAATAAGATCTTGGAGATGGAGGAGTTAAATTTAGAAGAGAAGTTGTGGTTGAATAGAATTGGGTTTCTATGTTTTAAGAAGAATGCCAAATTAGAATACTTCTGTGAATTGGTTAGGAAATTGCAGAATAGCAATATAGAGAGTAAGTTAAAATTGGTGTTGGATCTGGCAGATGTGGACAACGATGAGTTAATTACAAAGCATGAAATCGAAGCTATTTTTGTGCCCTCCATTGTCCAAGATTGTGAAGGGAAATTCTCACTTTAATCTACCATTGAAAACATATTCAACAAACCATTGAGTAAACAAAAGGCGATGGAAGTTCTATTGAATTAGATTAATTCAGATGAATAATTTAAGGAGTTCTTCCAACAACTAACTCAATGCGAATGAATTAATATATATATAAATATTGATATACTATATAAAAATGAATAAGTTGTAATAATATACGGATGTCTATTCGTTTGAACCTGATTTGGATCAAGTTTTGATCGAAATAATACCAGACATGATTGAGTCAGTGGCTGATCTCAACGAAACCTAGATTCAAGATAGATTGGCCACAAAGAGGGTGAGTTCAAAAACTAAGACTGTTACTTTCAATGGAATGTTGTTGATTTTGTTGATCTTCTTGGTTCTAACAATAGTGAGATGGTTAATGAACAAAATTGATGTGAGATTGTTGAAATACATGCTGAAGTAATTTGAGATAATCATACAATTTTAGAGACTCAGCATTGATGTTGCCAATGGTTTTCATCATCTTGGTGTTCAACTACTTGTTGAGCAGCTCTGTAAAGCAGAATTTGAACATCTATGGAGTCCTCTATTATGTGGATCTGGATAAGTTCTTGATGCAAATAGTGACCTTCATCATTGTATGGTTCGGAGTAGGCATAGTCTTCACCTTCTTGTGGCAACATCAGAGTGCTATCAATGATGAGTTCGAGCAATTGGATGCTGAATAAACGCATAGGCTCTACGAGAACATGTACTTGTACAACGATTCAAACACCTACATAATACAGGAGAAGGTGCAGTACCATTCAATCAGATAGCAATTCATACAACCCACTGACATTCCAGTGATAAATCCCAGGATTTTGAGGAAGGATTTCAACTTTGCTCAGTACTTGAACCTGAACCAACGTAAAATCTATACATAAATCTTAAGAATCAACTCGTTCAGCATCATCCCAATTATCCTCTGCATGTTTCTTACATATGTGTTCTCCTCTATCATCATCACTGTTCTCTTGCTCCTGTATTATTGGGTGTAAAAATCAAACCTCTATTAAATCTACACTAAGATTGATGCTCCATATTAATACAATCCTACGCCATTGTAATATCGTGGGATTCAAGCACCACCTTACATCAATTTACCATTGCAAAAGAACAAGTCCAGATTAAAGTAGGTTATTGGATCACCACAATTCAATTTAAGATTACTTCACTCCTTCATCTTCATCTAAATATTTTGGTTTGCTTGGCTATTCTATGCTCATCGAGTCAATAATTCAATCCTCGAACACACTTGGTTATCAATTTTCGTATCCATCGCCTCAGTCAATGTGACAATCCTGACTCCCATGATCGTTAAGGTGTTGACTTACACTCATTTAATAGCAGACCCATATAAAGTTTGCGTTGAATTGCAATACAATAGACAGTCATTGTTGGAGAAGGTATCACATTATCTTCGATTTTGTAATCGTAAGGAAGATGAATAGCACAGTCATAATGATGTAAATCAATAAGATGAAGTTAAGGAGCAAGAATAGGAGTAGGATCAAGAATAAGATTAAAATCAAGAGAAAGATCAGTACTCTCTGACTGTTGGGTAGTAATAACTTATTAAATATGCATTCACATGTCTTATCAATAATGAAAAAGAAAAGTATGTGAAGTAAGCTGTAGAACAATATAAAAAGTAATTGATCGAGAATCCCAATCTATTGCAAGTGCCAATCGATTCAGAAGAGGAAGAGGATTTAGAACTGGAGTTGGATGAGCAATCGGGATCATAGGAGGAGGATCAGGAAGATTAATCGCAAAATAGACAACAATAACAGAATGCGAATCAACAACAAGGATAACCCAAAGATATCAATGAGGCCTTGAAAGAATACGAACAGAAGATCGTGGCCAAGTTAACAGAGAGCAGCAGCATTAATGTTAACCAATTGAATGATCTGAAGAAGTATGTGGATTGCAATTTACCTCTCTGGTACATGGTCCTGATGGTGGACAAGTATTTCAAATTGAACAACCCTCTCGTGGATACCATCAGGTATAATGATCTCTGCAATTACTCTGGGTTCAATCAATACGTTCTTGAGACGGGAGACATGTACCCGCAGTAGATTGAAGTTATGACACTTACACAATTGAAGGAGTACCTCATGAGTTTCTTCACTGAGTAGGAGGCGGAGGAGGTGACGATGGAGTACAGCTTTTAGGAATAGATGGTGAATTTTGAATAGTTTTACTAATTCATTGAGAATAACATTGTTTTGTTCCCAAAGTGAATTATAACATATGATACATTATTATTATATATTATAACAATATCTGATGATTATTTAAATTATAACTTTGATGACAACCAATCAATATTAGTTGCTCATTTATGATGACGATTTCGTGCAGTTATATTCTTCAATTATCAAGGTAGGAACCCCATTCAGGACGAATCCTCCCTTGAATATCTCATGACCATTTGTCTCCAGCAATCCAATGCTACCCAGGACAAGAAACCCTGCTATTAGAAGCAGACCTTCACCAAAGACGAAGACAAGGAGATCCTCAAGTACGTAATGTAATACGGGCCAAATTTTAATAAGATTGTCAAATATTTCCCTGGCAAAACCATGAATATGATCAAGAATCGTTATTATAAGAAACTTCGATATCTGAAATCGGAATTGGATGTTGACAATGAATTCGACTCCATGAGCAACAATACTAAAATTAAAAAAAGTCATTGAAATTTTTACTTTTTATATTAATAAATTCAATTATATAAATATATATATTTAATTTGTTGTAAATTTTAACTATGTCCAGAAACACAATTAAAAAGACAGTCAAAAAAATCAAAAAGCCCAAACCCACCAACACCAAACAAAACAACAAATAAAAAATCGTTGATGATGAATCAATCGATTCAGAATACTTGGATGAATTGGAAAATCAAAAGCCCCAATAAATTTCAGATAGAAGTGACAGTGAAATTGATGAAACCGAAGACAATAGAAGATTGAGATTGGCTAAATAAATATTGTAACAAACCAAACAAGAATTGAAATCCAAAAACGATGACTTTTTTCAAGATCATCATGACATTCACATGAATGATGAAGACAAAAGATTAAATGTAGCCCTACTAGAGAAAGTAACTCATCAACCTAATCTTAGTTTGCTGAAAAACACACCATCTATCAATCATAAATCCAAAAATTCGATCGTCAATTCAATCGAGAAATCTACAAAGGTCATCTTCGAGCCATCACTTGCACTTAAGTGGATGAATTCGCTTAACACATGTATTCCTGTTCCAAAGATTCGAGCATCATCAAATGTAATTCACAATCAATTAAGTTTTCAGGGGACCTAGAAACCAAGAAGAAGGAATTCATCTAGAGAGAAGTAGGTAAACACGGAGATGGCCATTACGATGAAGTCCTTTCCATTTCCCTCAATTTCGATGGCAAAATCTTGGCTAGTGCTGGCAAGGATCACTCCATCAAATTGTGGGATACTACATCCAATAAATTGATCGAAACACTCAAACATCATAAAGCTCCCATTTATGGCGTGAAATTCGGATACAACTCCAATAATCTATGCAGTATCTCTTGCGATAGAACCTTCATCCAATGGGACGCAGCCTAACGAGCTTATATTGACACATTGTAATATTTACAAGTAATTTATAAGTTTTGGACATAGCACAGAAGCAAATGACATCGATTGCTTTAATGCTGATGACTTCTTGAGTTTGCGGCTATGATAGATAAATGATTCAATGGAAAACTAAGTCAGGTGGACAACTTCTATACAGTGGACACGAATAATCCATCGATTGCATCAGGGCTATAACTCTGGACACCTTTGCTACTGGTTCAGTCGATGCCAATGTCAATTTGTGGAATGTCAAAAAAAGGAAGCCTCTATTTGAACTCCACAAACCTCATGGCGACAGATGGATAACTGCGCTGGTAATTGTTTTTATCCATGTGTAGGGAACCGTTTACAATAGTGACCTTCTGGTTTCGGGATCCTATGATGACAATCTGAACATCTACAAGGTCACGAACAAGGACATTACAAAAGTCAGGTCTTTGCAGAGTGTAAGAATTTTTAGAAATAATTTAGTTTGGAATCGTTAATCACATCAATGTGTTTGATAATAAGATCCTCACTGTTGAGAGTCAGGAACATCGTTTGGGGAGGTGGGTTACTTCAACGAAAAGCAAAAATTTAATTGTGTTGTATTTATGATTAATTATTTTCTTATATATATATAAGTTTTAATAAGTTTAATGAACAATAGCTAAAAATCATCGTTAATTACACAACATTAAATTTACACTCATTACATTTTCATAAACCTAAATTTTATGAAATTATTTGTTTTCACTTCTTTGCCTATTCTGCTTTGCATAAATGTGGCTTTTGTTTAACGGATTTTCCATTTCAAATTTCACTTTTCATTTATTTAAATTAATATACGATGTCTCTCAATTCTTAAGACGGATCATTCCTTATTGTCTTTTTATTTTATTTTATATTTACATACCAGATCTTTTCAATGACTAAAAATGCTGAAAAGCAATTTAACTATCGAGCCTATGTGAAAGTTTCGGCTAAGCAAAAGCTCTAGTTAATAGCTCTAGTATTTGGGGAAGAATGGAAGATTAAGAAAGTACTTATTCTTACTACCAGTTAGGCAGCTTCGTTCCTCTTTATAAACTACGCCTCAGCCAAAAGTATCATTTTAAAACACAGAAAAAACTCGATACTCAAAAAAATGCCTTTGATTCCCGAGGTCAGGAGGTGCCATTACAAAACAATGAAAAATGGGAATCATAATTACAACATCCTGTGTCTGAAAGGAGGAATATTTCAAAACCTATTAGAAAATCTCTCTCAGAAATGAAGTCCCTATATATATGTATTTAATTTTCATATATCATTTTGTTCTTCTCTCCACATTCTAAGAAATAATTTGGAATTCTTTATTTAGAACAAAAAATTCAGTTTACTTTAGACCTCCCCTCCTCAAATCTCGATTAGTAGTAACTCTAAATACCCTTCAAATAAGCTTTAATGTCTTCATTTTTAGTATTAACCACTTAAGCGAGCCACAATTATTGTTTAAATTGTTTGCAGAGGCATCCCCTCAAAACACATCGGATGTTTGGATGCCGTCCCAAACTGCATAAAATTACCTTTTTTTCAACAAAAACCATTTTCCTAAGGCACTTTTCTCAGGCACGTTGTTACATAATTTCACAATTTTAAACTAATTAGTCCTTTAGTCGATCCCATTTGCAAAACTTCAAACCACCCTATTGCTGCGATTTTTGGAGGCTGTCTATCTGAAATTTTGAAGTTTACCATTATTATTCAAAAGGGAATGTTGGCAATCATCGGGGGGAATACAATAATTTAATATAAACTAATAAAGGTTCAATCCTAATAACATTCTTTTTTTTGTAAGAAAAAGAATATTACTCTTCTACCATGAGGAGACAAATAAATTCCAAAGTACAAATTTAGTGTTATTTGTAATCACACAGGTGAAGTTAGCTTTGAATGGATAAATTTAGAAAAGGTTACTTTTTCTATTTTCCTTGATTCATTAATTTTAGTTTGATTCAGAACAATCACAATCTCCATAAATTGATCACACTCAATTTTACACTAGATTACTGCTTAAAAGGCCTTGAAAAGTTGGGTTGAAATATTTATGATCATCTCGTAATTATCTCAGGATTTGTTTAGGAAATACTCACTATGTAGTTTGAGTGCTCGCACTTAATGGAGTCTCTTTGGAATGCGTCAGCACGATTTCGGGTTACATTCAACAAAATTGTAAATAAATGTGGTAACTAAGAATAATTGTAAATTATTAAATAGAGCAAACAAATAATATTAAACATGTAGTAAATCTTTAATTAATAAATTATGTGTTTATCAAATATGAAATATCTTGTTTACAAATTATATATATATAACCAGGGATAATCCTTTGATTATATTAATTTAAATAGTAATCAGGCAGATGGAGGCTAAGGTTAATAAAGTCCGCGCCTATTGCAAAGTCTCAAAGTCTAAATAAGAGGAGCTCCTAAATCTCGTTTACAAAGACGAATGCAGAATCAATTATGTAGAGATATCCATTCATTGTTTAGGCTGCTGATTTGTTAAATATCAATTATGCCACTGCCAAAAACATAGTACTAAAGTTCAAGAAAACTCACCTTTTGAGAAAGTCTGGCAATATCTCCGAATCCAAGAGATGCAATTATAAATTAATTGGAGAATCGAAGGACCAAACAAATTCAGTAAACACAAAAGGGGGATTGGTGGCTGAAGGCCTAAAGAAATTTGTCTAGAAATTTTGATTTTTTAATTATAATTTTATAAACCTCAATATCATACGAATGGAAATAATGCTATTTATAATGAACACATGTGAGATTGGGGATAAGAAACTAGAATATTTTGGGAATGATCAAATCAGAATGATTATTAAATATAATAATAAAATAATTAAACCATATTACTGATTAATTTTGGATTATTCACTCCTTAAATTGATTGGATAGGAATTCTAACTTGCTTTTAATCTCTGAAAATTAAGGAGGTCTAAATACTAACTCATTATCCTTGTATTCAACGTAGGATGTCAGCAATTTGATTGCCACGTCCTTGCTCTTCATGATTAATTCTTAGTACTAAAAATTACAAGAGAATGCATTACTTATTACTTAGGGATTTCAATCATCTTTTTTTCAAAGTCTTCCAGATTCCAACAAATTAACATGAGTCGTTTCGATTTGTATTCGCCAGACAATACAATGAATTGCTGGTCGCTGCAAAGATTGTCAATGTAAAGAGAAGCCGAAGTTGATAATTGGCCATGTTGGTCTTTCCATTACTTAAGAGTTTATTTGTAATCTCTGAAATTGATTAATCGTTTCCTATTTCTGAATTGATGTTGTATAGGTCGTATTCCCTTTTCAAGAAATAGAATGCAATTTTAGTAATGGTGTCTTTGAATGTCCTTTTTGTCAATGGCAAGGAATATAAATTTATCTTTGACAATCAGAGTCCTTTTACTCAATTCATTGGCTATTACTTTCCTGTCCTTTTGATGGGTTAGCTGTTATGCATCTTCACTTGACAATTCCCATTCAATATTAAAGGTGCCATCATTATCTCTATCCTTTTTATCCAGGGACATGGCAGCAACTTAAAAGAGGGACTCAAAATGATTTTCAACAGCATCAGCAGGGTCATCCTATATTTTGGTGACTCTTTTTTCTAGTACACTAATTTTCATTAAGAACTTCTGCTTTCCAAAATATACTATCTTTTTGGCTAATATGATTTGGCTATCAGGTTTGAATTTACTTTGAACTTGGTCTTGAACTTCTATTTTTCCAGTTTCCACTTAAATCAAAGAAGGATTAATCTTCTAGACATTAATTAGGACATTTCCTTATTTATCCACTTTAACAGCATCAATAATTGAGTCACTTATGGTTTTCATTGCTATCTTATCATCCTAATGCAAATAAGGGTACAGTTTCTTAAAATCACTCAATTCAACCGAAATTTGGACAGTGTTCTACAATTCCTAAACAACCGATTTCTATTTGACTTGACCTGTATAAACGACATTGTAAATGGTTTCAGAGTAAAATTCAGATTGAGTTTATTAATAGTGATTGACAATTTCATTCTTTTCAGCCCTTTAAATTTCTAATCTTAATCCAGGACTCTTACTATCGCTTATTTCCTTAGGTTATTCAATTTCTTAAACAGTTTTGAATTGATTGCTCTCAAACTAGAGCAAATCGTCTTTGATGAAAACTAGGTTGAGAATATACTCCGCTATCTTATTGGATCCAATATTGACCATCTCGGTGGAATCTAAGATGTGGATTCCTCTGTATCTATTGCGTTTGTTGTGGTATGAAATCAGATCAACGGTGATTTGAGTTTCATATCCTTAGAGAAGTTTGTACATGTTAACAATATAGTACTCATCCTGGATTACTTTGAAACTCCTATTGAATTTCTTACCGATCTACCTCACAAGTGACTTATCCGTACATTAAACTTTGAGATTGTAGATCTGCATATCTTTTCTTGTTTTGTAATGCACTTAGAGTTTGGTGATAGCTTGAATCATACTGTAAAATTGAGTATCATTCTTTTTCTTCTATTAGATATCCTTCAATTCAGTAACTTTGAATTCATTTTCAAAAGAAATTTCGAAGGGAGTCTCCACTCTAATGACACGAATGATATATTCAATTAGAGGTTTATACATCTACTCATAATAATTTTGCAGATGCACTCCTTTGTTTTCAATCCACTTGTCTTTGACATTGGCAAACTCTTTTTGATCGAGTGTTTAATCAAGCAGATTCAAAAAGTAGACTTTCTTTACTTTAGTATCGACTATGTTACCATTGCCATCAATTTCATTCAATTAATGAAATACAATCTTGATTTGATATTGAGTCAAGAAGAACATAATTTTTATATATTTATTGTCCTTCTGGATGTAACGATGCATCAAAAAGATATTTTTCTCACTTCTCTTTCTGTACTGCATGTAATACTTAAATTGTGACTTTATTTTGAGGGCTCTCTGAATTCTGAGAGCAAATAAATCCTTGAATATTTTGCTTAGGGAGGGTTTGATCCTTAAGAAATCTGTTGAATGATTTTCATAGATAACTAAATTGTCATCCAGGTAGTTCATGAGGGGAGTCAAGATCTTGCAGATCTTTTGAGGAGGACTATTCTTAAACACCTTCATCAGTCGATTATTCTCAAAATCCCTTGCAGGTATTATGTGAGTCTTAAACATTTCTGGAAAGTCATCGTAATACACAGTGAATATTAATTATTGATCACTCAAATTAATCAAGTATTCGTGAATTCTATCCATGCATCTCTTTGATCTCAACACTACTGCCTAATACTTATTCTCAATCAAATTCTCATACATAGACTTACTCTTATTCAAATTGATAAAGACATCCACCAAATTGTAGATCTCCCCTTCCACATTCTCCATATTGGGCTTACGATGCTGTCTTGCCTTCCATATCTCCTACTCTATCAACAATTATTCCTGGGCTCTGAAATCACTTACAAAATTCAATGCTCCATCATCTATTTGCAGATACTTAACAACACTCTGACTCAAATTCTACTTCAAGAACTCCATCTCCACTTCCCCGTTTAAAACACTGAGAATATCAATATTGCATCCCAAACTCACATTCAATTCCGTCTTCCCTTCCACTTCCAATTGATTAGTCTACTTGTTGAATATGATTCTCACTAGAATTCTTTGTGAACTCACCACACAATACTCTTAAAACATTAAGATGCGAGATTCCTTCTCCTTCTGAATTCTTCTATTCTCTTCATCCTTGATTTGCTGTTCCTTCAATTTCCTCTCCTATTCCTCCTCTGCTTTCCTCTACTCCCTTTGATCATATTCATCTTTTCTCAATTACAAGAAATCCAAATTGTATTGTCCCTCTTCCAATCCTCCATATCCATAATCACTGATGTATTTGAACTCACGAACATAGTTAGAAATAGACTCCTAATCATAGCATTTAACATCAGTTTAATTCATCAGACCATTGTAGTAACCACGTCTCCAACTTGAATAATTACTTCTTATAAACAAAGTGGCCAAATACTGATTGCTTCTCTTCTTATTCTTCATCTACTTCGGCTTAACCTTCTCCAAGATATTGATATCAGTCTCAACATTCGAGTCTTGAATCCATGCTTTTCTCATATGCGAATTCCACAATTTTCTAGCCTGCAAGGTATCATCCTTCTTCTCTGAAGTTTTAGATTGATCATAATCCTATTCATTAAGTAACATCCCCTACACCTCCATCAGATTTCTCACATCAAATCTTAAAGATCCCTTAATCTACAGCACTTTACCAATCGTCATCATTCTCTACCCGATCATTGTCAATTCACCAACAGACATCTCACTATACAATGGCTATTTGTATGGATGGATGTAATCAGAAGGGAACTTATGTTCCAAAGACCTAACATCTATACTAATCGATTATTCATTTGTGACCTAATCGACTATCAACGAGAAATTCATAAAGAATGCTCTGGCAGGAGACTCCCCAGACACAACTACTTTCTTTACTAGACTGGTGCATTTGACTTCATTCTTGTAAAACTAGAACTACCTTGTGTTCTTCTTGATCATGTATTCCTTTTAACACAAGTGTTGTCTGATAGACTTTTGAATCACCCTCACACAACTCTCGATTTGAGAGAAGGAGAATTGCTTCTTCTTTTGTGTTGCCTCCATCTCTTTGTGAATCCAATACTACCCCTCTTCTGTGTAGGTTAGAGTGTCCCCCTGGATTTAGTAAATATCAAAGAAGTTCTCTCTGCATGGATATCCCAATTATTTAGTAATCAATGGACTGATTTTGAATTTATTCGTTATTTGCCATTTACGATCGTAGATCACCTTGCCAAATATCTCATCCTTATCATTGATAAAGACTTGACAATACCCTGACTTGAAACTCAGTCCAAACTACCCTTTGATGTGTCTTCTCCTATTCACTTTGAATCTCATCGTGTTTATTGCATTTCTTGCTTTAAATTAACTTTATAAGAATGTAATCAATTGCAAATGATTACCAATTTTGTGCATAACCTCCAGTTTTTATTTCTATTACTCCTAAATCACTTGGTACATGTCACTATAAGCAAAGTCTGTGAAACCTGCAATCTGCAAATTATTTTATTCATCCATATACACTAAATCCTCAAACTGTATCTTTGTCAAGTATTTCACAACGTGAATTCTGTCCAGCTTCAAGTTATAAGAGTGCTCAGCGATCGAAATAAAGGATTGGCTGGTCTTGCAACAATATTGAATCACTTAAAGATGAGCTTGATTCGGCTCAATTTCAGCCTACAACGCATCCTAAAACTCGACTATACGAGCAAACATATAGAAGAAGTCCTTCTCGTTGATCTCAATTATGAAGGGTTTTAACAGTGCCCTATCACATTTCTTCTTGGCATATGCCTACAATTTAAACTAAAACTTCTACTCATTCCAAGTCAATTGGAACAAAAACAATTTATTTTAAATCTTATCAGAAACCTACTTAACATGGAATGTAATTAATCTCTTTCTGATTAGATTCTCTGATTTTTATGATTGATTTACAAACCTTTTGATTGCAATACACTTTCTAATGTGTCTTTGTATGAGAATTGCACTCAAAAATTATTTTTTAGGAAAAATCGTTCTTCTCTTGATGTCCAACAGTTGATACGCTATCTCTCTGAATTTTCTCTAAATCCTCAAACCTCTAAACCACTTCTGAATCTTCCTTATGAGTTCCTCCAATCTCTCCTAAAGTCTCCTTCGCTTTTCTTCCCTCCTCAAAATTTCTAATTTCTTTTAAGCTGCCTTCCTTCTCCAATGATTCTGTAATTTGACAATCGCTTGAATTGGATACACGATCTAATCCTTGGTTTTTTTGATTTCAAAAACTCTAGCTTCAAATTTCAATTGCAACTCACTCATCAGAAATTTGATCCTCAGTTCCTTTGATTTCTTCTCTTCAATCACTGATATTTGATTGGTCTACGCGATCTATTAATCGTGGTTTTCCTCTTCGGAACTGCTCCAATCAAACTTTTCGTTCTTTTGCTCAGTCTTTTCTTCGACCACAGATTTCTCTTCCTTTTCCTCCTTGGGTTCATTGACTTTGTTTTTCTTGATCACGAAGGTTTTCTTTTTGGGCTGCTGTTATTGTGGTGATAGCAGTTATTGTTATAATTTCTATTCATCCAATGCATCGCTCAATTATTTTATGGACTACTTTTGAGGGTTCCCTCTGAAATAGAACGTTTTCAATTTCGGTTCACTTTTTACAAATGATAATGGTTTTGGCGATGCTAGCACTATTTTCCTAGGTGTTTTTTCTGTAACTTGCATCGTCTCTTATCCAGCCTTCTTATATGCCATCACTTAGTAGCGTTACACATCCTTGCTACTGTTAAAGTTTTTGTATACATGAGTAAAGTGTGTCTTGTAATGTCCTCTGCCCATTAGAGAATCAATATTGGAAGTTCGGATTTCCCAGAGCTTTCCTGTAATCTCAAGGCGAAATTGCAAATCCTGTCCATTATACCCTTAAAATCAAAAAGGGGACTATCATAACCGTGTTAGACCTTCATACGTTCGATATCTAAATAATGAAAATCAAATGATTAAACATTCTTTGAACTTCGACAAAGCAGGAATCACTTAAAGACCAGACAACAGTCGATCAGCTTCCTCATACAGTCTCTGATTGACTTGATCCGACTTTTTCAGAGTAGTGGCACTTGAAACTCTCAATAATCTACTCATATTTTATATAAATATTTTATAAATGTAATCATGAAAATGGCATTTGATAACTTGCATTATACGGTGTGTTTGGATAATTTGGAGGTACTTGCTATTACTGCTAGAAAGGCATCTAACCAAAAGGACCTTATTACTAGGACTATCCAAAAGGACCAGATTGAGGTTCTCCTTACGATCCAAACGGTCCTTATGGCTATCCAAATGGAACCTATTATTAAGGTTGACCGAATGGAGTCTACGATTGCTATGGTTAACCATATGGGACCTGCGATTATTGTGGTTAACCAAATGGAACCTATGATTATGATTGTTGTGGCTAGCCAAACGGTCCTGAAGATCCAAAAGGCCCAGCTTAGGTACCAGTCCTAGATTAATTGCCAGGTTGTTATTAATTGAAATTGGATTAGGGTTAGAATGGAATCTAGGAGGATTAAGCAAGTTGTGGCTAAAAGAGTCCTTGAGCTTGAATCGATTATTGGAAGCGACTGAGTGTTTGTTTAGCTTGGATATTAAATATAATGTCTTCTTGTTCTCTATTTTTAATTTTGATTTCATCTTATAGTTTTTTGGCTTCAATAAAATTAAGATCTCCTTCTCTCTCCCAAACATAGACAAGTATGGGATGCTCATCTCCAAAACCAGCAACTGCAATCATGTGATAGCCTTAGTTCCAAGCCACGTCAGCTACTGGACCAATCACACTAAATTAAAATAAATCGGTGGGTAAGGTTTGTGTTAGATTACTCCAGAGATGGGGTTTACCATCTTCACTCCCTGATAGAACGTAATCTCCCTTTGGACTGGAGACACTTCGACAGGCTATTTTGACAGATTGAGACCCAAAGAAACGATTGTTGACTGTGCCATATATCACTTCATGATCATGAAACTTGCCATCTCCAGACTTAAAATCAACAATTCTAAGGCAGTTATCTCTAGTGTGAATTAAGAGATCTTGGCATTCTGGAGGCATCAATTATATTGAATTAATTGCATTCCCACTAATTTCTTGAATCACTATCAAACTTAATCTCCTGGCTATATAACTACCACCAGAGAGATTGATGTCAAAAAAGTGAATATTTCCCAAGGAATCTCCAACATACAAACATTTGACACCATCATACACTATGCAATTGGGATGTCTGTGATTGCCCAGATTATCAAATTGATCAAAGGAGATGCCATCATATGAAATAATTTCCTACTGAATGGGTTCATCAATTATTTGTAATGATTGATTAGACTCAAATTGCCATATACGCATTCTGCTATCGAAACAACATGTGGCCACCACTGGCATCTTGTTATCCATCAAAAACAAACCAGCATAAACAAAAGAGGGATGTTGGAGTTAACAGATTTACAGCAAGTCCGAATCTTCTTCATTCACTATATCTCCTGAATGTTGAGGTACACTCCAGACTTTGGCTGTGTAATCACTTGACACCGTAATTAAATATTGTGAATTCGATGAGAATTGCAACTCATGAATGATATTCCTATGACCTTTATATGTTGCAAAATGTTAACCGGTCTCTACATCAAATAATTTTATTATAGTTTTTGAATTCCTATAAGTACATGCACAAGCCAAGTAATTCCCAAATTTATTGAAGGTCAGTCTATAGCATCCCAAAGGAGCACTGGCGAATTTATAAGCTATTTTATCTGGAATGTGATCTTCCTTATCTCCAAGGTAACGACGTCTTCTTAAATTGATCTTCTCTTAATCAGTGATCTCCTCCACTCTCTACTCAATCACCTTCTCCATCACCACAGAGTGTTTCACCTTCTCCTTTGCCTCTTCATCTCCTCTCTCCACCTCAAATACACTGGTGCTTTGACTCTTCCCGTATATCTCGATGAATTAGGGCTTGGCTTCAGTTCCCAAATACACATTCAAAACTGCATCATACTCAACTTTATCAAGCCAAAGGAAATCAAAATACACCAATGGAATTGATTCTCTTCTGCTGACTGATTTCAATTTACTCGTATCAAACAAATACTTGTACAACTGTATCTTACTTATGCCCAAATGCAATCTGCATAACCCATTAGGTCTTGCATATCCCCAAGCAATTCTATAGAAGTTATCTGAATCCAAGAACTCACTATTGTGCTACTATAAATAAATAGGATGAAAATCTAGAAGTTCAAACAAAATTATCGTATCTGACTTATAGAACTCATCAGCTGGAATATTAATCAGTATTTCCTCATTCCACTATGCTCTACTATTGGTTGCCATACGCATATCGCAGAAATTCGTAGAAAAAGCAGTTAGCAACTCTAACTCACATGTAACTCTCTCCCTCTCTCCATCCACGATGTTCGTTATGCAATTGCTTTCATAATTGTACACGGCATTCGTGAACTCTCTTGGTTAATTGTCCTCATTTTTTGGCTTATACAAATAGCATCCATTTTTGATATTGATCACATGCATCCTTATGAATGGATGCTGAATGTTCGTATCCATCTGTAATTAGGATGTCCCAATTATCTTCACTACCACAGTCTACACTATCAGTGAAATATAATACTCTATCGGGTGTAATCTGGGCTTTATCTTTCTCACTCATTGAAAATGGGTTCACAATTTATTCATATTCTAGCTTATTCAATAGATCCACGAAAGTGCGTCTAGGCGGATCGCAATGGAGCAGTCTATTGATTCTGGCTCCGATTCGGTCTCCCAAAGAGAAACAATTATAAATCAGATCATCATTCATAAAGTTGGTGTATGTCATTCCACTGTCATGATTGGGTGCAGGTTACAATTTCTATGATCGTAAATACTCAAACAATTACTTCTTCTTCATCCATTTCCTATGCTTCTTGCTGATCGAAATTTGAATTTGCAAAGTCAACCTTCTTCTCTGCTGGCTATGACAGTTGCTAATACCCTCCAAAAGGCATTTCACCTTCTCCAACTCTCTTTTGCTATAAGGCTGAAATAATAATTGTCAAAATCTACGTGGCAATTATCTAGGAATATTTGAACGTGACATAGTTATAAATATTAATTTTATTTATTTTATTATTCTCTCATTTTGCATTATACCCAACTATAATTTCATTTATTTTACTTAATTTGAATTTATATTAAATAATTATATACATATATGAAGGAGGCTCATAGGGATTCTTGTAAATATCATTATTAAAACAATATATTATATGATAATTATGCTTATATATAGTAAACAACCATTGACATTAACATGTATTTTAATTCAATATGTATTTCATCCAAAATATTGTTCCTAATTTTTTAAGCTATTTACTATGTTCTAAGAATTCTTATTAAAATTACATAATTAACACTCTTCCCCTCATGTTCATAAATTGCAAATTCAATTGAATCTAATATATAACTCTTTTATATAGCTTTGAAATAATATGCAATTTATATTGAATTTTTATTATCATCAGTTATTCTGTCAAATTCAATTATTTATATACATAGACTATACCCGATAAATAATATCTATTGTATATAATAATTAATAGTTTAAAGAATATTGAGAATTAATCCATATTAAGTAAATTTCTTTAATTTGTTTAAAACTCAGCCTTTTAACCATCATATAACATCATAACTAAAATAGGCTTAATTTATTAAAAACTGGTAATAATTGTATTATTTCTAAATTTTACTAAAATTAAAATTATTGCAATGAAATTATAATGTTTAAGAATAGAAGCAATTTAGAATCGTAATAGCATTTCTTTTCAAGCAACTAGTATATTTCTAAATTTAGATACTAAATTTAGATAATTTATTATATTTAGTTCATAATACTTTTTGTTTAACTAATTTAACAATTGGAAGATTACAAGCACTTCTAAGTACATATATATGTATTAATGAAATTCTTTATGTTTTATTTAAATTATTTGTGAAAAATAATGTCAAACTAATCTGCCTGCATAGATTCCACCTTCAATTCCAACATGATTGGATCCTCTTAAGATTTTGAATAATCCATTTTCTCCCCATCCTTCATTCCAGGAGTTGACTACTAACCAATATGGAACGTTTTTCTCGACACCCCAACCAATAATTTTGACAGCATGTCCTCCCAAATTAGCTCCAGCGACATTTTGATATACTCCAGATTTGTAAGTCAAAAAGTCTTCATAGACGGTGAATGATGCCTAGAATGAAAGATGTTAATACTTCTACTGGACCGAATGTCATGATTTCGTTTTAGATTTGCTCCACCTTTGATGAGACTGAATAAGAGTCAATGGATCTGATCTTGTCTGAGTCATAGTTTCTTCCAGATTGAGCAGTGCAGGACTTAACACAGGCGGGTGTTGGTTATGAATCTCCGCATGGTCCATACTTGCCATCATCAACATGATGATCACATGGAGGGAAGGTATATGGTCTACACCAGGAATTGTCACCGAAAAGATCACCTGTGACGAGTCCCTTGTTCTTGAAGTAGTTCCAAGCACCACTTGGGAATCCACCATTGCATCCCATTCCGCAAGTGATTCCACAGCAAGTTAACAAGTCTTCGGTTGAGATTCTGGTTTGCTTTCCAGTGGCAATGCACAATCTGTCACTCATGGCTTCAGCAGCTCCAAAGGCCCAACATGAGCCACATGTAGATTAATCTCTGACCTCCTTGATGGATTCACAATTAGGCCATTGTTGTCTGGCGTCGAAACTCTCTGGGATTTCTAAATTCTCGAATTGAACTGTTGACTCTGGTAATTTCATAAAATCTGGTTCATCCAAGAATGTTCCCATCTGAGTTTTCAATGTGGCTTCATTGAATTATTCCCATCTCTAATTGTGTCCTGAAACCCAAGTTGATTGTTGAGAGTTGACAAAATCATAAAAAGTTTAAGATTGGAATCTCAAACCCAACGCTGACGTAATTAATGTAATGATAAACATTCACTATTATTAATATTATTTTGTAGAATAAATTGGGTGCGAACTTAAAAGGCACTTCATCTCATCACTAACATTAATTCTGCAGAAGGATCCCTACAATTTGTAAGCACGACTAATTTCTGAATTATTTTATGATTTAATTATAGAAATGTGTTTAACTTGATAATCCAACTAATTAATCTCAAATTATTGGTGATATTCAGGATATGGTGATGAATTAAGGTGAAATTCAATGTCAACATAAGATGTAAGTAATTAGCTGGAGATCATTTATTAAATTTGCTTATTATATTATTAAATTATATTTGAGCACTGTAAAATGTTCAGAGGTTGTCAATTTCTTCAATTACCTTACGGCTATTTTTCAAAAATTGATTAAAATTAAAGAGAAAAGAAATATAAAATTAATCAAACAACGCACATTTGCGAAACAAAACTTCTGAAGGAAACCAAAAGCACTACGGAAATTGGTAAACAATTTGATAGCATCCTGAATCTCTACAAAATTTAATTTATTGTAATAAATACAGATGATTGTTAATTTGATAGATTGATTTTATAGACTCATATAAGGTTTTATTGTTAGAGCGATTCATATTTGTAACTTGGATTGGCTGAGAAAATTTATGGTAAATGTTATAAAACTTTGTTTGATTCTGATAAAAATCCTAGATTTTTAATTTCTGAAGGGTTATTCACAATAAATCTTGTAAAGTAAGAGTACATCTTGGATGGAGAGGGGATCGAGTATTGTGGTAAGTCGGAATTTATTAAGAATTAAGGAGTGTTTATTTAGGGTGTATTCTAAGAGCCAAGAAGGGAGAGGAAGGCAGCTTTCCAATCCTTAGAAGAAGATTTTTAACCAAGGAAGAGGTCTATCATTATAAGTGATGAAAGTAATGAGATAATCAGAAGTAAATCTTTTGATTATGATAATAAAATGCTTAAGGGAATTTAATAGGTCAATCAAATTCAAATCCAATACAACTAGTAACTACGGGAACAGGATTTCAATATATTACTCAGAAATTCAAAGGAATGGTTGACTTCTAGTTTGCTGAATTCAGTTGTTGAATATTTTAATTGGAAGAGTGAAATAAAAGTAAATTAGTTGCCCCTGAAGGAGAGACTGAAAATACCGAGGGTCTTGTTCATCCCCAGTGATGTGACGACTTCGTTCGGAGAGTATGAGGACAAAACCACTTACATGAAAAAAGCGAAGGGATTATTATAAACATAGTTGCTATACTACAAGGAACTCAATTATGAGATGAAGCAGGTTTATGCTAAGATAGGTTTTCCAGTCAATGTCAATAATGCTCATTGGGTGTTCCTATTGTTTGATTTAAGAAAAGAGTAGATACTGTTGTATGATTCTCTGTCATCTACGTCAATTAAGAAGTGCAGGCCAAGTGCGTTGACTAAGGCTATTGGGAGCTTTCTGAATTTGAATGTTGGGGAGTGCAAAATCGTGAACTATGTTAAGTAGAGGGATAGTTATTCTTGCGGATATTTTGTTTCTTCGTTTATGGAATTTGAATACAAATTGTAGTTTAAACAAAATTACAAGTATTGTTATGATTAAAATAAAATGAAAACCAAAATTAGAAAGATATTGAAGTAAGCTTGATTGTTTGTATATTATATTTATTAATTGCTTGTTGTGAGTCTCCGCTATTCTCCAGGCATAGTAGTTAACAACATTGTTTTAAAAATGATTGAACTATAAAAATGATATATTAAAATTAAAGTTTTAGTCCATTTATAAATTAGTTTGATGGGAATAACCTGCAGCAAATCGAAAAAGGGACAAGAAGCCTTAATCTAAAACTAAATTAAAATGGCAGTTCAAGAAGATGAGATTCTCAATTAAGTTGAATATAATTAGGCACTCAGCGAAGATCAAGAAGATTCCAACCAGGAATAAATCTAAAAACCTGACCTCCCTTTAATGAATAGTAGCTCAAAAAAGGCTGCTAGTCGATCTGATGAGGAGGAGGGCGAGAAATAAAAAAAAAAGACAGGTAAGAAAAAACCGGCCCAAAGAAGAGATGATAATTATTTGAAAATCATCGAGTACTCAGATCTAAAAATACAAGCCTATATTCTTTCATCAAAGGAGGAAGACATAACAACATCTTACGAGTTGACAATAACATTTTCATACTAAGATTATCAGTATAGTGTTAACTGTAAAGCTGTAATTCTTTGTGAACCCAAATAACCCTTTACTTTAAGTCCAATTAAATTCGAAGATGCTATAAGTAACAGTTAATTTCCCCCCTTCTTCCTTGTCGACACTTATTTCAATGTGGACTTATAGTTAAACTCGAACTTATAGTCTTTCAATTAATTGCTAGAGGTAAAACGGAATACATAAGCTGAGAAGAAAGATGAAGACAGTCCCCATCAATTTACTAAGAGACAGAGCAAGATAGCAAATACTTAGGTATTGAATGGGGCACCGACTAAGCCAAAGAGGAGGAAGAAACGAGAAGCAGCTGAAATGATGGAATTGATCCATGTATTTGATTTCGAGTGCTCTCCTCGTTTGAATCAAATCTTGGTGTCTCTTATGATTCAACAATACAGCCATAAAATCACCAAATACTTAATCACCATTAATGACGTTTACTTTATCTTTAATGAGAAACCCTCTCTTGACAAGTAGGAAGTTCATAGAATCCTCATTTTTTATGAACATTTCGATTATAGTCTGTCAGAACTGAGTGAATATCTACATACTCAGAAACTGCAATTGTCTCACATCTGTCATCTCTAGCTCTCATTAAATTTACTGTAAATCTTGTATTACACCTATACGTCTTATCTCTACAGATTGAATATTACGTTGAATACAGTGTTCTGGGTCAGCAAGGTCAAGAAATTCAAGTTGTAAACCTTTGGGAGAATATAGAATTTATTGGATTTGGATGGTAAGGATTTTTATTAGAAATTTAAAACGGCTAATGAGGGCAAAATCAATGTATTTTATAGAGATTTTGATAGAGACTTTGGAGCTGTCTTAGACATCATAGCCTACTTTAAGGATTTAAGTAAGGAGATATCCTAAATCAAGAAGATGAGAAGGAAGAGAAAGAACTTGCCTGAAGGAGAGACCTATTATAGCAAGTACATCATTATGTATGACGAACTCTTCGCAGATAATGTCGATTCCTTATTTTTGGGGTTGGTAAGATTGAAATTCTTTGATAACAATTCATTTGATTAGATACTTGAGGAGATAAAATCAATCATAGTGACTATAGACAAATTGATAAAGCAAGAGACTGCAAAAATTGAATCAGATAAATTGGAAAAAGAATAAGAAATATAAGAATAATAGCAGTAGGCATCATAACATGTGATTGAAGTGAAATTAGAGGATGACGAGGATGAGGAAGAACTACATAAATTGCAGTCATTTAATTTCGCCTTGGAGAGAAAAAAGAAAAAGGACTTGACTCAAGAACAGTACTTGTATTACTAGATGATTTACTCATCTCTCTTCTATAACTAAAATTTTAATATGGTGTGTGATTAATTTTTGGAGATTACTAAGAATCAAACATTGATAGCTTATGCTCAACTTCATTACTCTATTTGGAGAAAGCTAAGTTCAGTGGTTAAGGAGGGATACAGTTTGGAATAGTAGACAACATTACTTTCGATCTCTAAGAATGTGACATAACTGACTTTGTCGTAGGATTCATTTCATTACTATCTTTTGTTAGAGTTGATCACTAAGATTAGAGATAAACCATTCAATATCATAAATCATTTGAAAGCCTTGGTGTAGGAGTAAAACTTTAAGCGAAAACGGCAAGTGAAGCCAAAACTGAGTAGAAATCAAAAGTTCAATGGGATAATTGAAATGCGTAAAGCAATCTTCTTAGATTTGTTCTTTATTGATCATTACGTCAGTGATCATCAATATCACAAGGCAATTTATTTGATGCAATTTGATTTGTCGTCTTAATTGAAATTCAACCTGAAAAACTATATGCTCTATACTCAGTCGCTCTTTTTGAATGGATTGTTGTGCGAAAAGACTCTCTAGTCAGTATCAGCAATGCTGAATTTGGAAATCTCAAAATTGTTGTACGATTAGTTCTTTCCCAATACAAAGATCGTTTACATTGAGGATGAGACTCAACGGTAAGTGACAAAGGAGTAGATGGACAGTGCAAAATAATACACTTCAAAAATTATTCATTATGATAATCAAGCATGTGAGAATATGAATGTGCTTGATTTTCATTTGGGAAAGGTGTATTTCTCAATTCATGATAAGGAGAACGCGTTGAAATGTTTAAGGAAGGTAAAAAAAGCCAGACAAAAGAAATTTGATATTTTATCTGATGAAGTCATCGAAGTGATCATTGAAATATTGCGAATATTGGTGGAACAGGATGATAGTGGGGCAGCGGCAGAAATCTGTTATGAGTATCAATAGAAATTCAAGGAACAATACAAAAAAAATGCCTTTTTTAAATCAAGGTACATTGCTCGTTTATAATTGATCATGGGAGCAATATTCGAATAAAATGGGATGTTGTTGAGTTCGTTGAGGTACTTCTAAAAGGCCAATAAAACATTCAATTAATCGAGGTCCAATTCTTACATCTTGCAGATTCATATTAGAATGAGGATAATGAAGTTGATATCGGCCATTAAGAACAAGGCACTCTCACTAAACTCAATCAATAAAGGACAGACGAAGCAATTCAATTACTAGACAGGATACATGTCAGAAACTGTGAAGCCTTACTTTAACAATTAGTTTCTGAGACAAGCAATAGAGGAGAAGTAGGCTTAAGTCAATTAAGTCATTTTTAACAATTTGCTTAAGATATATTCATTATTTCGCCACCAAGAGTACGATAAGGTGTAAGACAAATTAAATAGGTTGCACAATGTGCTCAAAAAGAGGAAGGTCGATGAATGTTATGGATATACTCTGCAGAAAATAGGAATCTATAATGCAACTCATAGTAGTTATGTTTAAGCAATCAATTATTTGAAACTGGCTACTGAAATCCACGAAAGATTCCTGATATTCCCTTTGAAGGAAATAAGACAGTTACGATGTCAAATTCTGATCCTTCATTGTTGGATCCAGTTGGAGAAGAAGAAGGAGTACCAAGATCAATTGAATTACATAGATTCATTAGTCACATCAATCAATGAGATGCTTTCTTGGAGTAATATCCCATATAAACCTATAACGAACAAGTTCACAGTTTTGTCATTGAAACTTGGCAAACAAATTATATATCAATTAGATGAGATGAGTCAAATAATCGAGAAATTCCAAAAGACCAGATATAAACTAATTGAACATCTGTCAAATCCATCTAAGTTGAAGTCAGTGGCAGCCAAGTACTTAAAGCACCTTATCAAAGCCACTGAGAAGGAGCAAATTAAAAAAAAAAGTCATAGTGATTCCAGGTAATCCTGTCTATTTGGTCTGTTGAGTCGACAGAATGTGAGACCCAAAAAAGTGGCAGCGATTGTTGCACAAAACAAATCTAACACTTAAACTGAATTCGAGTATTAGGAAACTCAAAAGTAAGGAATTTATATTAATATCCCCTTAGATCAACCAATACAAGGAGAAGCAATCTAAAACACAGAGAAAATACGAGTTTTTAGTTTACATCCGAGAAATCTCACTAAATCATTCAGTAATTGGAAGGTGCATAAACACAGAAATCCTAATTCTTGGAGGATAATTTGGAAACGGAAAGAAATGGCAATTTGCACATTTCGTATAATATCAAGGAGAACACCAATACAAAGTGCAGTACTGGTATGCCGTCGATGGCTTAATTGAATATGACACCAATCAGTGAAATGTCCAAATTATCACAGAAATCGCCAAAGTAAAAGGGAAACAAAGATTAAAAGAAACTTAAAATTAACCCATTTTAAAAGATTACTCGAAAATGAACTAATATTTTATAATATATATTTCCTATATAATGTCATGAATCGATTGTCCAAAGTCAAAATTAAATGATCAGAGAGGATTTTCAGTTAGAAAAGATATTGATTTCGAAGATTTTTAAAAAGTCTTTATAAAATGTCATATTATTTAATATTTCAATATATAAATAAATTTAAAAACCGTAAAATGGGAGCCTGCTTTGCGAAAAAAGCTGACAGAGAAGCTGGGATAAAGTAACAGATCGAAAAAACTATTATCGAATAACAGAAACTTAAAGAAGAGGAGGAGGAAATCCAGTTCAATTAAGGAAATAAGGACTACTCAACTAAGCGATCAATGCATGCAGTTTAAACCACTATGTACACGAATCAGGAGAAACAAGATGAGGGAATGACTGAGATAATTTAAGAAGAAGAAAAACAAACAGAAAAACCTGCTAAGAAGGCCAAGTCTAAACCTACCAAAGACGATATCAATTATTACAAGAAATATGAGCATGTCTTGCATTTGAAGGCAATCATTGTAGAGCTGGTTAAGAATCAGGTCAGTCATTACTATTCCTTGATGATGAGAGTAGATTATAAGGATTATATTGGAGAAGTGAAAATGAATGGGATCTTAATTACCTAGAGCGACTTTCATCATTTCAACATACTCCCCCAAAAATTCAGTGATGCAAATCAATACTCAAGGTTCTCTACTTTCTTCTCCAATGACAATTATTTTAATGCAGATAAGGATAGCGTTAACAATTTTAATGCATTTGAAAAACTCTTACCAGTGGAAAGATTAGTAAGAATGAGGTAGGCAGAAAAGAGATTTCGCAGGAAGTAGACTATTTTTGCAGAAAAAGAATCTCCATCCCCAGTTAAGAATAAATTGGAATTCATTGATTCTAAACAGTAAGAAATGCTGGAAGTCATCACAATTGTGGACATTGAAGAATAAGAGAGATTCTAATGTCTCTTATTCCATATTCTAGTACAATAACAATTTCCAGAGCTCAACCATTACCTAGTTTTCATACAGAATACTACCTTTCTCTTTGATAGACCCCCGTAGTTTGATGCTCCAAATATCTATCGAATTGCATTATTCTATGATAGATTGGATTTTTCATTGAAGGATTTGCAAGCAGTCCTAACTAAGGAAAATAAAGAACTATCACCTCATTTGCATAGAAAACTAGCACTCAATTTACTTCAGATAATACATAATTGCTATTCAAGATATATTTTTCGACTTAATTTTACACTTTCCACTATCTTTTATTGTGCAAAGAGTAGAGTGTTTAAATTGGAATCCTTTGGTAGGTTGAAGAGTATGATTCCCTTCCATAACAATCAAGATATGTTATTGAAGAGTGTCGAAGAGAAAAAGATTACAGCTTTTAGAAAAGCGTTAAAAAGAGATTTATTCGCCGTTTGTGATTTGATTATTTACTTTAAAAGAATTGAGTAGACCCCTTTAAGATCAATACAAGCATTGAGAAAAAAGTTCTTAAAGGTTATAGATGGAGGGAATGATACTTAGGAATAGAATGATAGTTACATACACATGGCAGAGGAGCGGTTTAGTCATAATTCGGATCAGTATTTATTTGAATTTGTGAAAATGGTTCTCTTTACAACAAAAATTGATTCAACAGAAAAAATAATGCAAAATCTTCTATCCATAATTGAATCTTTGTCAAAGCAAATATCTAGTTATGAATTCAAATTAGAATTTCAAGAGGATGATAAACACAAACAAGCTGAGAGTCCCAAAAAGAATGAACAAGTTGATGTTATCAATTTGGAGGAGATCAATTTAAGTCAATCTGATTTATCTAATGAAGAAAACACTAATGAAAATTATTTGTAATCTTTTGATATCGATTTCTAAAAATAATACCAGAGTCTTGCAAAAAATAAGGAGCAATTAAGCGAAGCAGAATCAATCTATAAAGATATTCTGTATCAATCACTCTTTTATCATAATGAAATTTACTTGGATGAATTAAATAAAAAATTAAATGTTTAGAGTCTAAACAAATTGCAACAAACTTAGATTATTGTTTTAAATGCCTTTAGTAAAATCAAGATGATGAAAGACGATTCATGGGAAGTCAAGTCTCAACAATTATCACAATTCGTGGAAGAAGCCATCCTTATCATGAATAGTATCAATGAAGATAGTTATGATAACTTTCACATTTCAATGTTGTTTCAAATATTATCCATTTCGTAAAGGAAACCTTTAGTTATCTTAAATTAGTTGTAGAGATGCATGACAAAGTAACTAGAATTGAAATTGAAGTTAAACAACAAATTTAGAGGGAAAAATGCCCCAAAAGGGTTGATTGAACAAAAGAAGTATGTCATGGTGTAAACTATGTATGCTCAATCCTATTTGAATTCCAATCATTACTTTGAAGCCATTACAAAAATCTAGAAAATAGTCGGTTTTTAGTTGAAGAACTTTACCACTACTTCTCTATTATATGGATATTCATTGATGATCAGTGGAGAAATTGCTAGATTGAGCTCTCAACCTTTATCAGCAATGCTTAACTTAGAGATGAGTTTAGCCATTTATAATTAGTATTTCCCAGAATCCATCATATAAGCAACTTCAATAGAGGAGAATAATTAATAAGGAAAATTAAAAAAAGAGACTGATATTTTATAGGATGTTACAGTATAATTGTAAGAAAGAAAGTTTGAAAATCTATCTACTAGTAATTTGGCCAAAGTGGAATTTCTACTTGGGATGAGTTACTTTGACTCTCAAGATTAAGAAAATGCTTTGAAAAGATTGAGAAGAGCATAGAAATTAATGATGCGATCTTATGGCATTTTTGCGGATGAAGTTATTTCGTTGGTTTTATATCAACTCAACATTTATGTGTTGCAGGATGATGTTGGTTCTGTCATGAAAATTGCAATCAAATATTCATCAGAAATGAGTAAACAATACAAATTGGGTAAATAATTCAAAAGGAAATGCATTGCTAAATTGTAGTTTATTATTGGGTGTATATTTCAATTTTGTGGATCCTATTTGAGTGCCTTGAGATTTATAGAGAGGTCAAATAGAACTTTGTCTAATGCTAAGCTCAACAATTTTGTAATTTAATCGCATTACCAAGCTAAAAAGATGATTATTATCGAATAGGTTAAAAAGGCCTTTCGTAAAATTAAATGTAAGCAATCATTAAGAGGTTAAATGGATTTGAATTCATTTTAGAGTCTACATGAAGTATTAGGTTCAGCATTTTAAAATTAGTTCTTCTGCTAACCTATCAAATATCATGCCTCTGTTCTCTTCAAAAAGTACAGTAAATACATCTTGTAAGTCCAAGGGTTGATTAGGATTGGTGAGAACGATAAAGCCATCCATCAAATCGAAGAGTTATTAAAGCTAGCATCAAAAGTCAAAAAGGATGAACTTTATGCCTATTTGAAGGATAAATTAGTCTTAATTACGATAGAGTCTACTTAAGCAAAAGATTAAATCTAGAACGTTTAGAGACTGATTGAAATTCATGATAGGTATTTGTAATTCCCATATAAACAAATATACAAATTGAGATCTCTTATTATTTTGATAAGCCTATTTGCAATGACAAGGGATCTTAAAAAATTTAATGAAACCTAATCTTAAATAGATGACTTCATTTAAGAAATTTATTAAATATTTAATTGGTAAGTAGCTGCTCCTACTGATCATACTGTAAATTAAGCCAAATTTGAAAGGTTGAAGAATAGAAACAAAGTAAATCTACTGTTTCAAATTCAATAAATCATGGATTTAATTTAATATTTTTATACAATCAGAAAGAAGTTATTTAATTCATTTGACAATTAATAACAATTAAAAGAAGTTGGATCATAAGTTTTAAAGCGATTAACTGGATAACCAAAGCCTATTTTCTTGAAATATTTTGACAGGAAATAAGAATGCTTATATGGTGTATAATCCTAAATCAAAATTAAAAATACAGAAAAGGAGAATGATTTCATCAAATTGCATGAGAATGAAAATAAGATTGAAGTTCCTAAATAACCTGAATAAGCGGAGGAATAAAGTAATCACAAATTAGTATTTGATTTAAGAAGTTATGAGGAGATCGCCTTATCTCGAAATACTTAGAGAAAAAAATCTCATCATCATGAAAAGCAATAGTCCTAAGATCTATAAATTGAAAAAAAGGAAATATCAGAAATTAAAGAAATAAAGAAATCAAAGCATAAAAGAAATGTAACTGAAGTTACAGCAGCAACCTTAAATACGAATAAAAAGAAACAGACTCATAAATTAAACCCCTTTGAAACCACAATTAAATCCTCTAAGAAATGACATTATTTTATATGTGAATTTTCTTACCTTTGATATTTATTGAATATGATTAAAGAGAATCTTTAGATTTATTCACATTTCCTTTTTTATTTAAATATTCAAAATATTATTCTTTTAAAACATCTCCTTTCTTCTTGTATCTTTGAATTAAAATACCTTTTTTATATATATTACAACTTCCTTTAAGTTTTCAAATCCTATAAGTTTACAACTGTCATTCAGTATAAAATTATCAGAAATTGATTTTTAATAATATTTTTTTTAACATAAAACTCAATAAATGATTTTGATTATTTTATTGAGAAGTATATAAAATCAATATATTTTCTTATCTAATTTAATTTTGGCTAAATGATGATCTCTAATATTTCAAAGAGTACAATCACTCTAAATCAGTTCAAAAAGTGTTACTGCAGAAATTTACTATTACCATTATTTTTCTCTTGAAATATTTTTGTAAAAGCCTTCCAAGATGATTTTTTATTCTTTCCATTATTAATTACTATATAATTGAACTTTTATGATTTTCCAATTAATGAAAGCCAAAGGAAAAATGTGTCCAAAATGATCTCTTTACAGGTATTTACAAGTATTCTTAATTAAAGTCAATTACTCCTATTAATTCTTTATTATTATCAAATTATTCTTAATTCATTAAGTGATTTGTTATCTAAAATTTAAATGGAATGTAATTTCCATATTTAAAATTTACTCAGATAAGCAGTTTACAAAAGGAAACACATGGGATACAAATCAGACTTGAATTGATAATGAAAATCGAGAGACTACAACATATTCAATAAAGTTAATAAATTCATTAAGGTATTGATGTTATCATATATTAAGAATCATTTCGAATTTCATACTAAAACAATATTTTAGAAGTGACATGGCTTCCTCCCACACTTGATATTATTGTTATCGAGCTTTTATACTTAATTATGGGAACTATTTGGCATTCATTTTATTAAGTAATGTTGACTTTCTATTTGATGATATTTTTTCGGTGATAAATAATGATTGATTTGGCTGCTGGGTACTTGATATTGAGTCTTTTTGCTGCCTTGAAGATTTTTGAATGAATATATTACATGTTTTATTTTAAAACCCTTAATAAATACTAATTGTATGAGAGAGTTTCTCAAATAGGAAGGCACTTTTTCATAGGGTCTGCAAGCAATAAATTATTATTTCATTAAATATTAAATCACTCTTTAGATATTTCAATATTTTAAAATGTCAGGTTATACCTAAAATAGAAGAATTGAATCTTCCAAAGAACATTGATTCTGGACAATTAAACCAATGTTGCTTATGATTTTGACATTCTATTTTTGATATCAATTAAAATTTACCAAATTGAAGGCTATATATAAAATTGTCATGATCTAAACATACAAACTATAATTTATTTAGGATATAAGTTTTTAATTATTTTCAGTAATTTTTATATGTAAAAATTAATTTTATAAATAAACTCTGTAAAAATATGTAAACTCTTATATTCTGATTTTTGAATAATGAATACCTAAAATAAACAAAAACTTAAACTATGATGTTAACTTTATCGAAATTAGTTGATCTCTTTTAGAATTATTCATAGATGGATTACTTAGACGAATTGATGTATGAATATCTAATGAAATGAAAAATTTATGAAATTCTTCTTTTTTTTATCTATAATGTTCTTATCTCCATTTTATATTAGATTGAATTGAGAACTTTAAATATTTGAGATTGAAATAATTACAAAGTTTTTAAATTAATCATTAATAATCTGAACTTAAAATCGATTAATAAGATTTCAGCTAGATTATATGAATAATAATCATTAGATTAGCTTTATTTTAATAATTTATTTCTATTAAATTTATGCGAAGTTTGCATTAATTATGGATTTATTAATAATTAATTTTTATTAAAAATAATGTTTTGGAATTGTAATAGATAATACAAATTGTTTTACATATAATTAATCAAGTTTGATGAAATTTGGATTTGAGATAAACAAAAATGAATGAGAAATTTCTTTTCAATAGTAAGTTTTTTTATTTTATAAACTTTTAATTGTAACATTTAATAATGATTAATTAATATTCATATATAAATGAATAATTGAAAATGATTAATATTGCTTTCTTTTTCCTAATACTCTGTTAAATATATACTATCTTATGTTTATTAAATTTTATCTTTATATATGGGTTTCTCTTGTGGTGTGAAACAATTGTTAAATAATAGAAATTATTACTGTTTAGAATGATCAATAAATATTTTTCTCTTGGATGCTGAAAAAATTTGTGTCCTTTTCTGTACAAATTAATTAGTTTTGCACGATTGCTTTGTGATGTCACTAATAAATAAAAAATTGGTTATAATGCAAATATAAGGAATTTTCTGAATTGATATGAATTGAAGTCAATATTCTTAGGTTTGGCTAAGTTAAATGGGGAGGGAAGTGTGCGAGTTATCATTAATAAAATTCAGAAATGGACAACCTATTAAAATTAAACTCATATTTTTGAAAAAAGTTATGTAAATTCCAGAGTTGGTTGGTTAATAATTGAAGTTATTCATATAATAACTTAGAAATAAAATCATTCTTAATTCATGGTGGGGTATTCAAATTGGAGTTGTCCAACTACATCTCCTCCTAGTTTCGATACAATATTGAATTTGCACTTTTTTGATGAAAGTGGTGCAATCTTACATTCTAATTTGGAATTGATTTAAATTTTGGACCTCATAACATTGTTCCTATAGTAAATTATGTAAGTTTTGGCAGCGGCATATTTAAGCTTTAATTTTTTTGCTGCCTAAACAGAATTATTATATAAAATACGGCCTTTATCTTAAAGCCTAGAAGGCAAACTAATTTCAAGAGTTTTTTTTTCTATTCATCAGATATCTTTTAATAGGTTCGAGAATTTCTGATATTTTTCTTCATTTATTTTCTCAGGATTTAAATAAAATTTAATTTTTAGCTACTTGATAATTAATTATCATTTATAATATCCATTAAAATCTCAGTTTAAAAAAGAGATTTAATTAGTATAGTATTTATTTTCCAAGAATTCAAATAAATTCTCTAATTTTAAATTTCAATATTACTTTGCAAACTCCTTATTTCTTAACAACTGATATTAAGTCTTTTTTTAGTTTTAAGACTATTTTGGGTTTGTTAAGTTCTCCCTTTTTGAAAATTAAAGGACAGAAACCACAAATGATCATAAAAGCAGCGTAGATAATATGATGTCTATTATTGATATTAACAATAGAGTTTAAAATGAGGAAATTAATAAGATGCAACAATTGAATGTATTTCTTTATGATAAATGATATTATTTGCTAATTCATAATTTGTTTTTGTAAATAGCTAATCCTTTGGCTCTGAGTTCTTATTCCCATTCACGTGCTTCTTTTTCATAAAGATCTTTGAGCATACAATTTCTCCTTTTCTTCAATTCTTAATAAGCATTTTCGACTTCTTTAGAATAGCTACACATATTAACAGATTGCACGTTACACTTTATTCATGAATTTTAATTCATTGACTTTATCATATTTAGATTTTGATTCATGCCACCATGTATTTCTGCTGATTGATTTCAAGTTCTGATCATACCTTTCTGCCTCAGTATATTATTAATTTAATTGAATATTCCTTTTTATTTATTGCATTGTTTGTTATATAAATTATTAATTTAATATTCATATTTTTTCCAACTAAATCCACAACATTTCCTCACCAATTAACCATTTCAACTCCTTTTTCTGTATTATTGATTTTGGACATCAATGAAATTTCCCAATTTGTTGGTACATTCCTATTCAAGATCTGTCAATTTTATGATGCTTATGATAGCTACATTAATGGATATCAATGCTCGTAAGAAGATGAAGAAAGTACCAAGGCATGTCAAAGTTGATTTAAAATCCTCATTTGAAAACCCAAATACAAACAAGATGACTCAATCTATGAATAAGACCAATGAAAATGTAACTGAGATAGATCATATTATAAATACCATAAAATTTCTTAGAGAGTAGCATACTTTAATTCTACTTTTTCACATCCTATCTTTAGCAAATGCGATTAGCTTAAAACACTTTCTCAGTAATTGAATCACCAGACACTGGCATAAAAGGAAGTTTGATAGGTAAGGATAAGCCTAATTTATCTGCCTAAACAGGGAGAGTTAGTATATCTTGAGATGAGTTAGAGATACGCGAAAGATCATATTTTTATTTAATTACATTCATAAATTACCATAATCAAAAGATTTCTAAATTTTGTAACAATTGTACTTAATGATAGTTTTCTTATCTAAGCGTCTGAATTTTATTCAACACCCCATTAGCACCTAACAATTAATAATCTTAACACAATCAATTAATTTATTAAATTATTAATTTAAATCATTTCAATATCAAAGAGAATAGTGTTTAAAGTTTAAATGTTAGACTCTGAAGGATGTTAAACTCATTTGCTAATTAATTGACCTAACCCACTCAATGACTTTATCATAAGGATCCATTAATTCTTTTTCATTCCCTCAACAATATATTAAATCTCTCCTTTGATATATTGGATGAATTAATAAATTCTCAATAGGATAAATCTATATTACACATTCTGAAATTTGAATAACCATTAATAAATATCAAAGTGTTAAGTGAAAGTATTCATTCAATTGTAATACTATTAATTATAATTCAACAACTTTGTTTTATTTTTGGTTAGGATAACCGACCGATGAGACTTCTCTAAGATTATTAAGTTCTTTTGAACTTTTCTCTAGCAATTGGTGGCAATTCATATCTGTATTTGGGACTTGAGAAGAATTGATCAGAACTTCGAAGCATGCTCTTGTAATTTTGCATAGGAGAGTACTTCTCCTACACATTTAATCTACATACAGGAAATCATTTATACAACACATAGGTATCCCTACCAGTTCCATCACATTAATAGAATAAACGTTAAGGTACTTCATAAGCTCTAGAGGCAGGGGTTGGCATCATATTCATTCCTGTTCTATTTTGATGGACAGCAAGAAATCTGAATTCTGTTCCAAAGTTGCCACCATTATTGTATGAAATGTAAGTGTCTCTTCCAAAACCATCATTATTGTAAGAAGTCGGGTTTTTTTCAGGTTTTGATCCTCTATTTAAGACGGGTTGTTTCATAAAATTTAATTAATAAGTAACAAATCAGTTTATAACTCTTAAGTTTTTCTTCGATTATTCTCATTGATTTCACTGTCTGCTCAATAATCTACACTAACTGAAGCATAGCCTTAATTCACTAATTCATAATCTCAAATAACAAGAATATTCATGTAAAGTTGACACTCTTCATATTATTCAAAATATATCCAAATTGTATAGAGATTACGAAACCTTATGTTTAGATACCATTTAATATTATTTTATAATAGTCCGCATCAAACATTTTTTATCTGCTCTAAATAACAATTTCAATTCCTGAAACATTATTATTAATAAGAACAACAATATTATTAAATAGGCAATCAATCAATTAATTCTAGATTTATATGAGTATTGTACTTAAAGCTCTAATGTTCATTATTTTAAAACAAACAATTCTCCCCTAATAATTATTAATATCATAATAAGATATTTAACAAGCTCAATCAAATTGCAGTTTAAATCATTTGGTCTAGTGAATCAAATACACATTGTTTAAGATAACGGAGTAATTTCGATATCAAACAGAATAGTAATGATATCATATTTATAGAAAAAAATGAATTCAACTAAATAACTCTAACCTAATTATGACATTATTTACTGATGCTAAACAATCTTAAGCTATTTGCAAACTGATGTGTGTATCTTAATTGTTCACTCAATCACTAGTTATAATTTCAATTATTTTAGCTTGATAATGCATTCATTATATAAAATAATAATACAAATAACACTTCAATAGTCGAGTATTATTATTTAAAAATATAAATTCCTTAAATCTCTAAAGAAAACATTAAAATGTAGTTTAAATTTATCAAAATAAATAATAACTTTGCTAAACTCAGAATTTTTGAATACTTTTTCTCTAATTATAAATTAATAAATTATAAATTCATATATATATCGTTATTAAATTTTGAATTTAAATAATAATAAAATTTACATGAATAATTCTCCCTACATTGTGAAAAGGAAATAGAGACAAGGCGATTGGGTTTGCGCAGTTTGCAAGAATCTTAATTTTTCATTCAGAAGCACATGTAAGACATAGTTTAGAATGATTTTTAGGCAATAGATGTAATAAACTTCCCAATAAGACATCCTCAAAACATCAATATAAAGGGTTTCGAACATTGGTTCTCATCCATTATGAAGAACCAATAGAGAGTATGGATGAACTTCTTGAAAATTAAATAGATCCAAATGTCACATCTAGCCTTTTGGTATTAGGCTTAGATCAATTTTGAATTTATATTTTTTTATTTTTCTTTATAAAATTTTCCAATCCAAAGATATTACCTTTAAAATCCTATTTTGATCTAACTTTATTAATCATGCTTATGGACGTATACAATGGTGCTTTGAGAGACATTCTATTCAAATAATTTTATTTGTAAATCAATGTTAACTCTAATCTCACTAATAGATACCAAGGTGTATATGATATAGAAAAGTTGAATTAACATCTAAATTCCTTTTGTTGATCTATAATTGTAAAGATTTTAATTCTTCTTAATCAATAATAATATTCATTTTAATGTTATAATCATAATTTTGATCAAAAGACTAATCAATTTGCTTCTATAATCATCGGATGTACTTTTCCATCGTATTTTTCTTGTCCGTTTGAATTTGGATTGTCTTCTACTTTTAAAAGCTTTTCATCTTTTCTTTTAAATAAATTTATTAAAATTACAAATTTTATAATGAATTCGCAGTTTTATATTGTTAAAAGACGTTATATTGATTGTCTAGTACATTGAGGCTAACAGCATCAGACTCCTGCTGTTTGTTTATAGCTTCCTTAAATTGAATCAAACTTTTAACCTACTTCATTAAGGTACTTTTGATTTTTTTGAATCTCTCATTTACTCTAGTTCTTTGCTCTTAACTATTTGCAAGTAATCTTTTTAGAAAGGCATAATTTGAAGTCCAAGGAGCTTTGGATCTAATGAGATCCCTAGCCTTATCCAATTACTCTTCCAATTCTTTACTGTAGGCTTTTAACAGTTCTTTCAACAGAAGAAGTAAATAATAAATATTGAACACTGCAAGGAAGATAAAATAGGGAATCTAAATTTCTAAAGATCCGATCTATTGATCAATATAGATTCCGATTCCCAAAGCAATTGATATAATACAAACATTAGCTGAATATGAATCTAGTCTGTTCAGATTGGGGGATGAATATGGTTTGAATTTGATATTTAGCTCTTGATAGATATAAATAACTAATAACACCAAAATTCCTTTTTTAACTACATATTCATCATAATAGGATAGGAATATAAGGAGCAATTCTTTTTCTATGATTTTTACGATCTCCCAAAAGTATGCTTAATGAGTGTATTCATTATATAAATAACCCCACTATTACCTTATTGATTTATCATCCAGTCTCTTCCTATTGTAGTAAATAGCACAGAAGAAAATGGCTGGGATCAAGAAAGCTATTACAAGAAAACTAGGTAAAACGAATCCCAAAAGCCATTTAAAATGAATCCAAGTATCATATCTAAAAGCAACATTGGCAGAGATCCATTTATAGCTGGATATGGTTCTAAAGGATATCAATTAGATAAAGCCACCCACCAAGTTTGGTTGAAGGAAAATGTACATGTAAATAAAAGTAGTTGTGACGACACTCAAATTGTATTCTTATTTCTTGACTTTGAGTAGGATCAAATACATCGACAGAAATAAAAATATGTAAATCATTGGCAAAATCATCTGCCAGACCATTCTAGAATAATGAATGCTGAAGTCGAACATATCAATTAGGAAGCAATCAAGTGAGAATGCCATAGTCTGCATAGGATTGCCTGATGCCTTGATTGCATCACCAAGTCCAACTGACATGTTTAACTAGAATGTAGTTATCGTTGCTAGAATTTAGAGATGGTTGGTCAACATCTTAATTAGGACACCAGATTAATCCTCCTGCATATTCGAAAATGCTCTATTCTAACCAAGTCGAACTCTAATGGCTACCTTTTTTAATAATTCCACTGTGCTTTTCACGGAAATCAAGATGGAGATTAATGTCCTAATTAAATATAAGTTGAATCATACCAAAGTGTAATCGCAGTAATAATAATGGAATTCTTATCCTTTTCTGTGCAAGATCCACATGAATATTTAGTGCTGGTTGAAAATTGTCCATCCCCTCTTATATCATATAAATCACATTCTTCACACAATGCTCCAATGTGACCTTAATAACAGGAGGTATCTCCTTCTTTCCATCCTCCAAGACAATTTTCAATTAAATTGATACATTCATCAATCTAATCAGTATAAAAGTAAGGTCTCCAGTATCCAGCCTTCAGTCTTAACTAGGCCGATTTAATCTCACTAGTAGTAGAATCGTCCTTATATAGGCAGGTTTTTGAATTAACACTGAGAGAAAATTAACCTTATTCAACATCGCATGGGACACAAGTGGAATCCACTGAACTTTTGATTTCTCCCATTTAACAAGGCAATGTCTTAATGTTGATTCTCAGATAGTAATTATTGTGATAACTAACGATTTCCTTATTCTGATCATATATTGGAATGAAAATAGAATTGCATGAAAATTACAATTATAAAGTCATATTGAGTTGATCATCTAAATAGATAATTAAATCATCTAAATTATAATCACTTTAATTGAACTCCACTCTCTTGATGTTGGTAAAGTTCTAAGTGAATTCATTTTCTCCACTTTCCATTAGTAATCGTCCGCTTATGTCACAGTAGGTTTTGTCTAAGTCTTATTAGATTGAATTGAGTTTATCCAATGCAACAATTCTAAAATGCAGATTGTAAGGTTCATATTCCCCTTTAACCCAGTCAAAGTATTGATATTCAGATATCTTCTACCCATTAGGTACATAAAATGCATCTGAGAATTCATTGGCAAATACTTGATATGGTTTTATTAAAATCTATTCTATCATTAATTGTTCTTGCTCCACAATTGTGGTTCTAGGAAGAATATCAATTTTATTGATAGTAATTGATAATGAAGATGGAACTTATGAAGAATCATTGCCAAATAATTGAGCCTTGTTATTTGAAATGATTGACCCAAACCTACTCATATTCTGACTCATCTGATCTTGTATTTCTAATCCTCCCCCATATTTTGCAGTATTGTTAGACACAAGACTTTGAACTAGGTAGAATATGTCATTGCCATTGACTTTAATTGATCCCCCAGATGCTATAGCTTAATTGTGTTCAAATATTGATTTTTAAATCAAAGTTTTGATGTTTTTAATTTGCAAACATGTACCTTCATATGCTTCATTGTATTTGCATAAGTAATCATTTATTTTAAGCTCAAATTATTTATCATTAACTTATGACTCTAAATTGTAAAGCAATCTTTATACGGAAGTCATTTTAATAACATTCACACAACTTGATTGGCCACAGATATTCTACTTAAGTTTTAATGTTTGGATTAATAGAAATGAATGAGTGTCTATGAAATTCACATTGATTAAACCATTCTAACATATGGTGCAATTGATTTATGATAAAGTCACTTGAGAAATACTCATATTTGTGTAGGAAGGATGAATGTCTATGATACTCAATGATTCCTTTGAAAACAATTACTTCATCTAATTAATAATACAGTAAGCATTTGATAATGAACTACTATCATATTTTTAATTTAATTTAGTGGGTGATTGTTTGATCTATGATAGACATTTATATTGCGAATTATATTTCTTTTGTACTCTTTAACAATCTGATTCAATATCTATTTCATTAAGGATGGCTACATTTTCAATTTGTAAATTATTTATGAAAACTGCAGAATTCTCTTTCATATCATTTAAGACCATCACTCTATGAAGGAAATTTGATCTTGATACTTAAATTGATTTGATTTAAACAGCTGTTGTGTTTTATAAAAACAAAAATGATTCAAAATTAATGTCAGATATGACTATGTTCTCCATTTAAATTGTTTTGGCATTATAAATTAAAATCAAAAATCTTGATTAAGTTAAAGCTTTTATTTGAGATTAACCTCCCAGACTAAACTTATTGAAAAATTTTATCTAGCCATCTAGAGTATTATTGATTTTGGCAGCAGCTATTCTGAAATTCTATGATTAAGATGTAAGAGCAGAGAACTCTGAATAGATAATGGATCCAAATAAAGCAAACACATCTTTGAAAGAAGTATTAAGGAGAGTTAGCTAAATAGTACCTATTCCATTATAAAGATACACAAAGCCTCCTCTATTCCCACAATAAATATTATTTGCTGCTACATTTTTAATTACTATTGTAGTTGAAACTGAATTAGAAGAATCTAAATAAATAACTCCTCCATTTTCACTTTCTGATAAAAAATGAGTGCTGATAAAACTGAAGATTGAGTTGGCAATCGTAAGCTTAGCATCATTCTCCATTCTGATATATAACCCAGAACCAGATGAGTTAGATATTACTACATTTTGAATTTTCAGGTCAGAACTGATCAGTTTTGCATTTCCAGTAGTCACAAAAATAGGAAACATTTCCATTATTTATTCAAGAAACACTTCTTCTCCATTATTGTATCCCCAAACTAAATAACGCTGTATTATGCTATAATCAAATATGCTATTGGAGGTAAAATTAGAATTCTTGAGTGTCATCTTTTTTGCCTTTATATAAATAATGCCATCTGTAGAATTTGTAACCAAATTTGATTCGGCTATTACATTGTCCATGTTAATTGTACAATAAGAACAATCAAAGTTTAATAATAATCCAGAGTTTATGAGATCATTCTACCTATATTGATGCATAATATTCTTTTTGAATATGGAGTCGATGATATTGATTTAGAATTCTTATTGGGTGGTGATTTAAATCAGTGAGATCTGTTTCATTTGATCAGTAATTAAGAGGAGGTTATTCAGAAGACTAAGATCAGACAATAGTATGGAATTGTCATTCGTAGCTTAAGAGATGGAAGTTTAGATATTAATGATAGGATAATCAATCGATTCTGCAGTTGAAATTGTTAATGATTTAAATTCTATACTTGTAGTATCATAAATGTAAATAGAAGTTCCATAATGTTAAAGTGTTAAGCAATCTATATACTGATGAAGTCCTTAGAATAGTGAAGCGGCATGCTAGCTGATTGTTGCTTAATTGATTTTTAATGAATTGATGCCAATAAAGCTAAATTCTTTGATACCTTATGCTCTCTCGATTTTCAGGGATGTAATTTCGATTTGTTCTAGTAATAGATATATCAATGTGATTTCCTACTATTCTAATTATTTAATGTTGGATAGTGAAGTTAATTGATTGCCTATTACTTATATATCATTAATGAGGATATGCTTATTGGGAGATAGGTTTTATTAAATCTAAATAAATTTGGAATCCTCATCATAAGTGTTTAATTCAAAAATAAACAGTTCAAAATTGTATTATTCAACATTAACCTTCTAATTTTGGATCACTTTAGAATTTTTCAAAAGTTAATTTGCGTTAAATCTCAGATTGGTTATCTGAGCTTTTTAATTTAAACAGAAGATTGTAGAGGTTATAACTGAAGTTTAGGAAATTTGGATTTGATTAAAATCAATCTAAGTTAAAGATTCCAATTGAAGTAAATTAGTTACTTAGTTTACCTCACTATTCTATATAGAGATTTCATCCATAATTAGGCTACCTGACTATATATTTAATAATTGACTAGATAAAAACTTAGAGTTGATTTAGAAATTTCTTATCTTTACTTAAGCTTAGGCATTTGTATTCAACATCAATAGGATTGTCTACTTCAATTAACATTACATTAAGCGAATGTTTTATATTTGTATAATTTAATCTGGATTAATCTACTCAATCTTAATAAAAGAATCAATGTTATTTATGCTTAAATTAGAGGATTCAAATTCATCAATAAGGACATTCTAAGCATTCTTGATAACAATTTAAGATCTATCTAATTAAATTGAACAATCATATTTGATATGGATTAGTTAAATACTTTAAAGGAAGGCACTTTAAAATAATAGTTATTTAATATTTCCAGTTTGAATTGGATTCAATATGATACCTTCCAGTTTGACATTTTTAAAGTTGACTATGGATATGCTTCTATCGTATCGAAATGTTGTAAATCCATTTCCTTAAATCAGAAGTTCCACATTTCTTGAATATGATATATTAATACATGGCAGAAAAGATATTCTAACTAAATATTTGTTGGATGCTCTTGTTGCCAGAGACTACACAAACTTGACTTTCTTGGCTCACAATCTTAATGGAAATATTTTAGATAACCTTTTGATTGGCCATCAAATAAAACTATTGAGTTTCAAACTATTTGATTAAATAATAGATAATACTTCTTTAAAACTAGAGGGTGAAAACAACTCATCAATTAATATATTGGATTATAAGAACAAAATTCGTTATTCATCTGAATCTTAATCCAGAAAAGCATAACTGAATTTATTAGCATCACAAAATAAATTTAGATTGATCTCCACACTCTTAACACAAAAAGGTGATGAGCAATCTACATACACTCCTAAAGTGGAGTCAAGTATTCCATTAAATCCTCTTAAACATTGATTCGATGAGTACTAAAATTCTTGGCTGTTGAAAATGGGATTGATTGCTGCTTTCTCCTCTTAGCTTCTTTTACGACATAGTGAGCAGTTAATAGGACAGACAATGCATTGATTGTTGTCTAAACTTAAGTTTTGTCCTTTGATTGTTCTCGGACATTTGATACAAACATTTTAATTGTCTATCAATACACATTCAAGACAGTTATCTGGACATTAGAGTATGCATTTATCATTTTATAGTTCGTATCCTGATTGGCAATTAGAACATACAATTTCATAGTCACGTTTATTTGGACTTGTTCCATATTCAATAAATGAATGACGTTAAAATTAATCATCTATTGTGGCCTTATAAAAGGGACGAATCTCAGTTTTCCACTCATCCTTAGAGTATTTATTTTATTAATAGCACTTAGAACAGAATAGGTCTGCCGGACATGGTTCACATTGTCCTGTAATTTTATTGGCAAAAAATCCCTCTTCGCAACTCAGACACAGGTAAGAGATGTCAACATTCGTCTATCCTAACATACATATAAAGCAGTCCTGATTATATCCAGAGCACTATTCAGTAAATGACACAGGGCCTATATCAGATGATGAATCTGGAATAACATCTAAAGTTCTGGGTCCAAATAAGCATGACCATGAAAACATATCCTCAGGTGTGTAAATGCAATAAGAACATTCAGGATATTCTGTTAACTCGCATTCCATAGTAAGTACATTATAACAATATGGTTCATCGCATTTACTACATTTCGTAATAACTTCTCCATCATAAGGTACAAAGTCATATTCAAAAGAATTGATTGCATTATTATCAACAGCTTATTCAAATGCCATTTAACAATTTTCAATTGTATTTTCAATGCAATCAACCGCATTTAATGATAAATAATACTTGTTCATATCTACACATTTTAAGCATTTCAAAAAGGGTTGATTGATTGAGTAGTTCATTTATTATTGACAAATAGAACAATTCAATCCACATTTTATACATTCAGCTCCTACTGGTACATAGTTGGGTTGACAGGAAAGACATTTAAGAATATCATCAATTTTACAAGTCAAACATGTACTTGGACATAATTCACATTGATTATCTGTAGACAAGTAATATCCATCTTTGCATTTCCAACATTTTGGTTTATCATAACTAGTTAGTAGGCATGCATTGTCAGAGAATTTACACTAGTTATTTTCGTAGTAATGATTATCTTTACAGGCTACATAGACATCTTCTGACAAGTGAGTTTAGAAGGGAATTTAATAACACCCTTCTTGCGCATTCTCAGGATTACACAAGTCCATTGCTCCTTGAATCAATTACAAATTATCATCTTCATTAATCACATATAAGTCGTAATCTATACGAGATCTTAAAGATATCTGATATGCATCATCATCGTTGTTTAATTGATGCTATTTAATGTAATCAGTTGTACACAGAGGTTTTAAATACCAAGCTGCAGAGTTGAATAGACAGTCAACACAGAGAATATCTGAACTCGATTATTGAGGACTATATGGATTAATTTAAAGATTACCATTAAATGCAGCCTTTTATTTTTGGAAACATAAAATATCCAAATTCACATGTCTGTTACTGAGGATGTTAAATAATATCGTTATAATTTAATGTTGGATAGACTGAACTGAATGATAAACAGACTTTGTCTTTTTCAAGATACCCAAGATTACATGGGCATTCATGTTTGTCTTCTATTAGTATTCTATTTTAATCTCCGTCACAAGTAACACAGTTGTTTTCTAGTGGTCCATTACAAGTGGAACAAGAATAATGGCATTCTAATAATGATATATTATTATACAAAAAGAGAACTCCTTATCGGCATCATAATTATAGGTAATCTTAAAGCTGCAAACCTATCCCTTTAGTCTCCTTATGTTTGTCATATCACTACCAAAGATGGCATAATATTTGGTGTTTATGAATAGTCCTTGATGAGTGTCGTCTCCAAAGGAATCTGTATCCTTATCGAGATTGCCAGCAAAGTATTTTATATTCAGCAGAGACTTTGGTCCTGTAGTTCTTCCATATTCGAATTGAATATAATGCCATGCTGTCAGTGCATCATAATACAAAATAGGAATTTCATCAATAAAGATCCAAGCATATATTTTTGGATCTGGCATGACATTTTACTACTTTACTGGAATAGCATAATGAATAGAATCTACAGTATATGCGGAATATTGTTTGTTAATCCTATTCAATTAGGCGGTTATCTTCAATATTTCATCCCCCATATTCAAATAATTGCCATAATTTTAATTGGTTGTCAGCCTAAGCAACAAATAATAAATTGTCTCAACTGCATCTATACCATCATATTTCACCCATCCGGAAATACAGAATCTCTTACCCACCTAGTCAATACTAAATATCGATTAAGTATCTCCCTTGAATGTAAACAATTCTGGAAATAACATTTCTCCACCTTCTCCTTCGAATAATGGTGGTATTTAACAATTGGCCTCAACTTCCTCATATTTCGATTCAGAATAATCTGTAAATTACATCAACTTGGATAATCTCCCTCTAAACACTCCAACTGTGAATATTTGAATCTATTTATAATACACTTATAATATTTACATATCCGGTTCCTCCTATTATAAACTTAACTTTGTTCAACTCTAATAATATATCTCCAATATTATTATTTGTGACGTAATTGCTTGTCTCAAAAATCACTTATGTTTGTTGAATAGTTATCATCGTTAGTATCCAACTACCCTCGTATTCTTTTGCATCATATTCGAAGCTGTAAGTACCAAACCCTGGCCAGCCCCAACTATCCAATTCTTCCACTCTTAATTTATGAATTACTGAATTCTCATATTCATCCAGCACTGCATACATGAACATCACAACTCTATCATCATCAAGAGACTTCAGCAAGAACATCAATTAGTATAGTCTTGTATCTGTAGTCGCTTGCCATTCTACTTATGGGTAGCTTTTTACGTTCCATAGAGGAATAGAGAAGCTCCAAAAGGCAAACGTTTAAGAAGGACTCATTTACTCTATTATTGTCTCTTGTATTGGGTAGTATTCACTAAGCAATGAATTTTCATAATCATTAAACGGGCAACCTTACACCAACCCCTGGAGCAAGATAATTGAAATAACAATCATCATTTTCAATCTACTGAGATTTTGTGAATTCATCACAATTACTTAACTATTTAATTAATTAATAATTGAAGAAATGATATGAGCCGAGTTAAAAGTAATAATGTTTCTATTTATTAAATTATTTGATCTCAATATGATCATGATTACAAAAATAATATAATAAATTTTAATATATTTGATATCAATTTTTTAATTCATCAGTTGTTACTCATTTTTACTTTTTAGAGGATCTCATTGTTGTTTTAATTATTATATTGTTGTCTATTTTTAACTCTTAATTATTTCCAATTTAGTATTTCGAAAAATATCAAAAACTAATATTCATTCAGCTTAAATAATGTTTTCAATGCACATTAAATAATTGTTGATTAAGGGATGAAATGATAACATATTTTAAAAATGTAATTAATTTGAATAGTAAAATAGTTTCACTATTTCTATGCCTTAAAATTAACTAAAACAATTACTAATAATGCAAAATCCAATTATTCATATTGAATATTTCAATTAATCAATAGAATAATGACATATTTTTGGGATTTTTTATTAATTTATCTTAACTATTACTGCACCTCTAATAAACGACCAAATTAATCATTGCAAACTATTTTTAATATCCATAATATGTTGTTTAAATTATGATTCTTATTGTGGTTCACCAAATAAATTGAAAAAACCTATTAATGCATGGTTTTATAACTTGCTTTTGAATTAATTTTGTTAATTACTCAATAAATTTGTTAAGACATTGTCATTTAGCTTCTGTATGTCTAATTTTATTGCTTAAATAATTTTATTTATTTCTTTACTCAATAGGTTTTGTTAATAATTATAATAATTAATAATAATAATCAATATTCCAAAAATAAATATAAATTGATTCTCCAACATCTTTAAATATTTTGAACCTAAACATGAAATTTATTTATTTTATATTATCTGTAGAATATTGAATAAAACTCTGCGTTATTCCTTAAATTCAAATATAAAAAGTTCAAAATTAGCAATAGTCTAATGACGCTAATTATTAATTATTATTACATAATCACTACCTTTGGTTAGATGGGCTTGTGTATTTCAAAACAGGAAGGGGAACAACATAATACTTTATAAAAGGAAGGATTATTATATGATTAGGATAATTTTGAACAAAATATTGAGTAAATCAGAATTAGTGATGAGGAGAAAATATCTATACAAGATTTTTAGTTTTTATAAGTATATTATATATAAAACGAGGTTCTTGGAAGAGGAGGCTATGGAAAGGTTGTTTTGGTGAATTATAAAAGCTAACAAAAATTATATGCTATGAAAATAATCAGAAAAGACCTAATTTCTTAAATGAACTCCAGACTCTACATGGAGACTGAGAGAAACATTTTAGTTATGGTCAAAAGTCCATTTATTGTAAATCTGCATTATGCTTTTCAAACTAAGTATAAATTATACATAGTAATTGATTTTATGATAGGAGGTATTATTTATAATTTATAAAAAAAAGGAGAACTATTTTATCATTTGAAGCGTCTTGGAAAAATGGAAGAATCTTGGGCCAAATTCTATTGCGCTGAATTGATATTGGCAATCGAATATTTACATAGCAAAAATATCATCTACAGAGATCTTAAACCAGAAAATGTCCTGTTGGATTCTGAAGGTCACATAAAGATTACAGATTTCGGATTGTGTAAAACTGATATCAAGGATGGAGATTTCACAACGACCATTTGTGGCACATATGATTATATGGCTCCTGAGATCTATCTGAAAAAGGTATACACTTAAATAATCCATTCAGGGACATAATCAAACTGCTGATTGGTATTCCTTAGGCGTTCTCCTGTATGTAATGTTACAAGGAATTCCTCCTTTTTATTCTTAAAACAAACGCTAGATGATTCGAAGTAGATTGGAGAGGCAAATTGAATTCAAGACGCCCATCTCAGATGTTGCCTCTGATTTAATCAAATAGTTGCTTAAGAATAACGTATGAGAGTTCATTTTAATCTTTTAATTAGCCTAAGGATCGTTTAGGATCTGATGGAGTAAATGAAATCAAGTCTCATCCCTTCTTCTAAGATTTGGATTGGGATGAGGTATTGCACAAGAGATTGCCTGCTCCTTTCAAACCAAAATTGCTTAGTGATAGAGACTTAAGAAATTTTGATGATGTATTCCTCATAAATTTCTTAGGATTTCACCAAGGAAACCATTCAAGACACTCCAGTCTAGTCTATGATTCAAGAGGATATGTATGAGTAGTTCACGTATCAAGAACCTGATATGTTTGTAACTATGAATTAGAATTTCTCCCTTGATAAATGATTTTATTTATATATATTGAATTACAAATAAAAAAATTAGCAGCATCAGGGATGGATAATGGAAAAATAATTAACTTTTAAGATTTCGATGAGATTGAATGTGATTAAGAATATATGGCTTTAACTTTTAGCAACAACAATAAAAAGCTCAAGAATTATGAAAAAGCTTTAGAAAAATTCAAATCTTCCATTTAACAAGGCTTTATCTATATCAATAGTAATTTGGATTTTTTCAATCTAAACTCATCACATGATGGCATCCTGATTGATGAGTAAAATAATAAGATATAAGTTATTGATGAACCTATCATTGGAACTTAACTAGTGCTTAAAAAAGATAAAACTCAATTATTGAATGATAGAAAGAGACACTTAATCAATATCGATCCTCATTCCTATAAAATAGATGTTAAGACAGAAGAGAAGGATTAAGATAAAAATGGTCTATTGAATAAAATTGATTAAATGATTAAAGAAGAAAAGGTTAAGGCAAAGAAAAAAAATTTATAAAAAAAATAGTGAAGAAATTAACAGTGTTTTATAAATAAGCTTTTATTTTTTTAGTTTTCTATATACACAGAATTTATCACTTATACGTTATATTATTAATTTTTACTTCATTTTAACCATCTTCTGCATAATTAGAACATTTTTTGAAATATTTAATTTTATTTAATATTTGAACTAAATTTAATGATTTTCATACTATTATGAACTTAGGAGATGTCATTAAACATATATCCTAGCTATCAAAGTATAATTCTTAATAAATTTTATAAATCCAAATTATTTAGTTTACAAATAAACAGGAATAAATTATAATCTAAATATCAATATTGATAGCCCTTATTGTTTTTTAGTAAAAAATTATGATAGAAAATAAACTATAGTTTATTAATTATAGGACTTAAAAGAAATTCATCTACATATATAAACAACATAAAGTAAATAAAATTATTAAAGATAATCATTCATAATATCTAATCCTTCCTCCATATTAATTATAAACAGTATCAACTCTATATAAAGATTATTAAAGTTAAGAGTAATTTGAAGAGAAATAGTTATTAAATTACAATGTCTAATTCCTCAAATCTGATTCATAATTCTAGTTTTCAAGCTTATGTTATTTATAATGTTCCCTCAGCTTATCCATATAATCTAAATCTAAATAATACATACTTGAATCAAATAATGATTTTGGTCTCTCCTCCCTGATTAGATCAAAACCTTTTCTATACTTCTAATGATCATAAGTCTATGATTCTTTTTGTTTTTTTGAATCCGTTGTCTCTTCTTACAAATATGAATTAGAGACGAGAAATACTGGAGGAGAAATAAGACTGTATAATTGCTTTTATGTCAAGTAATCTTAATGTTATTCGCATTTTAAAATCTTTATTAATGCCTAAAATTCTTCTCTACTAAAATGGAATCCATATTATTCAATTAGATCTCTAATTGAATCTTCTGCTAAATATCCTGTCTTTTTCGTTGGATATTTGATACTAATGACTTTCCAAATTTCATGAATGTCATAATAGACCCATTAATGTAACTCATATTTTAATTGATTAAGTTCTCTTGTTGAAATAATGATTCTTTCAAAAAATCTCAATATAAATTCCCTATTCCATTGTGCCATAACTTGATTAGTACTTTCTTTAACACTGGGGGTGGTTTTCTTTTAAGATGATTACGGTAAGATGAAATTGATAAATGTTTCAAGATTAACATCATCAATCTTAAAACAATAGGAATGAAGGAACTCCCATTCTTTAAATGAACAATGCACTTGGCCTTCTGTAAGAAAATCATGAAATTTCTTCTTTGTAATATAGCCCCTCCCTAACTTGTCTAGTTATTCGAATGCTAATTGAATATCGAAGTGATGATGTTCTGTTTCAGCGATTCTATAATTCTCAATCTAAGATATGGATAGTAGATTTCTACATGAATTTCCCAAGAGGCGAGAGCTTTTAATAGATGTGCTAAATCTCTTTCAATTTTTTTATTATTAGTCTTAATAGTCGTTATCATAATATTGTATAAATTTAATTGAAATATATTAATCATTCAGTTTTAATATTTTCGAAATAGGATAACCAATTTATAATAGATGTAAGTGATAAATAATGTAAATAATATAAATTATGTATAAATTAAATACAATACAAGGACATTCATTTTTAAATTTCCAGGCTCCCTTGAATTACTTTTCAAAAAGAAAACTCTTTCAACTGGCCAATGAAATAAAACCAAGAAAAAGAGATTCTCTTGGTAGAGTAGTACTTTCCTCATCTCTTCCGAAAAGTTTCTGGTTCAGAGATTACGACTAAGTGAGAGTAGTTAATAAAAAGTTAAGAGAAAGTCGTCCTAATAATCACAGAATACAGAACCCCGTTTATTTCAAGAGAAAAGAGGTTCAAGAATGTCTACTACATTACACAATCAAAGCAAGTACACCTAATCCTTCTAAGAAATGGAAAAAGTATAGGAATTTAATGTTGGAGAATAACTATCATGTTCAGATGTCTCGAGAGTAAATAAAATAAAAATTTTAAGACACTCTTAATTTTTTGATCCCTAATAAACAATCTTCGCCTCCTAAGAGTCAACGTGGATCATTCATGTATTCGTAGTAATAACAATGTTTATTTGAACATCGAACAAGTTAACAATCCAAATTGAAGCGTGTTAGTAGACAAACATCAAATAGGAAGGATGATAGTATGAGATCAATTGATAGACACTTCCAAGATATCGATTGTTAATAAAGCAATTTCAATCATTCCTATATTCAAGACAAAATGATTCCATCCAACCAGATTACTCCCAGAAATCGATTCTTCAAAGATTGTTTCAGGTTATATGGAATAGATTCTTAAGTATTAGCACCAAAAAATAAATTGATATTTACTGATTCTGTACAATTAGTGGAATCTTAAGAAACTAGATGTGATAAAAACGAAGGCATTTAAAGTTATCGAGAAAAATCAAACTAAAAGTAGAATAATTTACTAAATTTAATTAAGAAGTAAAGATAAAAGAACTTATAAACCAAAACAATATCTCCTAAGTAACCTAAATTAAATACCTCAACATCTAAAGATAACAAAATTGTTAATATCTATTTCCCATCTCTCAAAAAAATTAATGTAAGAAATCTTTCTTGATTGTCTTTTTATTTATATTTATTTATACTTCAATATATTATTAAATATTTGTTAAACACTACAGTTAATGAAATAATAATAATATTAACAAACTTAGAGTATTCGTGGCTACTCACCTGCTACAGTGCCACCCAATATTCAGCATAATCACAATAGTAAGGATATTCAATTAACTCTTAGATTTGCCTCTTTCAAATTAGTTTAATGAAGAAATTTAACATAGAATAAAACTCAAGTATCAAGAATTAGGATTGAAACAGCCCTTGTATCCACAATAAACCCAAATTTTATCATCTGAAAATGGAATCTACAATTTCAGAAAAGTGTTCGATCCTGTAAGAGATGGTCGACCTGAATTCCACATGGACCCAAGTAAGCGACATAATCATAATTGTTAGAGTATATGGATCAGCTCAAAGATTACAAGAGCAAGTATTTAGCACCCAGTAGGAACTACGATCTGCAGTACAGGAATCCAACCTTGAATATTAAGAATCATGACTTTTATTTCTAAGATTTCTATATGAATCTATACGAATAAGACAAAGAGGAGATCTTTTTTAATAAATATGGCAAGAAGTTTGTTTATCAAGAATGATTTATATAAAAATATTGAATTCAACTTTTAAAGATATCTAATTATAATAACTAATGATAGACAAATATAAGATACTTCTTTAGCTGTAGCTCTCTGATATGGGTCAACCACAAAAATGCGAGACAACAATTTTTAGACCTCACGATCTTGATTAGTTATATTCGATTCATTGTTTCTTATTTTTTTAAACAATTCTCTTTCATTCTCTCCTTTGAAAGGGAAGCTCCCTTGCAACAGAGCAACTAACAGAACACCTGTAGCCCATATATCTGCTCCTCTCCCATCATACTTAAGTTTAGAGACTACTTCAGGTGCCATATAACTAGGTGTACCACAATGACAAGTAATAGGTTGGTTAGTAAATGTGCTGAATCCGAAATCAATGAGTTTAATTCGTTTATTTTGTATCAGAATATTTTCTAACTTGATATCTCTATGACAAACATTCCTATCATGTATATAATGCAAGATTTTGAGTAACTGATGAATGATATGAAGTGCAAATTCTTTGGGTATGGTCCTTGTAGAATTAGATTTGAGCAATTGATATAGAGATTCAGTACCACAATATTCCATCACTAGATTGATATAAGTGGTGTAATGATAGACATCATAAAGTTTAGTGATTTGATCGTGAGAGAGAATTCTGAGAGCATTAATTTCTTTGATTAGGTTGTTGAACCTTTCCCCCTTGAGTTAAGCCTTATCATACATTTTGATAGCAACTTTATTGCCATGGCGGTCAGTTCCCATTTTGACTATGGCATAACTACCCTTGCCAATAATAGGCCCAATAGAATAGATCTTATCATCACAGGTAGATGGTATCTATTTATAGAGATTGTCTTGATGAATGGTGGAATCCTTGGCACTCAAATTGCCTTGGATTCTCTTCCTTTATATTTTGGAAGATAATCTTAATTGTTGTTGATGCGTGTTATAGGGTATTGTATTGCATTATTGACTCTCTTTGGTACTTAGATAGCGTTATTCATTGTTTGAGTTCTTGGTGTTGAAGTTGTCTTCAAGTTTGGCTAATTCTCTGCCTCGACTGGGAGTTCTAATTTTGAAGTAAGTAGTAAGATTGTTGATTCTATGGTTGGCCAATCTGGAGGGAGGGGGTTTGGATGAGTTATCAGGGAGGTTTTCTTTGTTTTCGATGGATCGAAGGGCTTCTCTGGGTGGTTTGCGAATATTCATGAATCGGTTAATAATTAAATATAAATTGGGAGTTCATTATAAAAATTATAGTTATACACAAGTGAATTATATATGAATAAATAGAGAGCATATGATGATAATTATATTAATAATGCGTCAGTGATTAAATAATAGAAAGAAGTGTTTATAGTGAGAGACTCATTAAATATGATAAGAATTCAATAACTGGGATAGCAATTTAATGCAACCAAATCAACATTGACAATTCAGGATTCAAGATCTGGAAAGAAATACGAGATTCCCATCTCTAATAATTTCATTAAGGCAAGCGATCTTGAGAAGATAAAAGATGACAATGGTTCAATCATTCGTTCTTATGATCCTGGTTATATGAACACAGTTAATTGCGTAAATTTTGCATTCATACAAGACATCCAAAATTAGTTTCATAGATGGAGACAATGGAATTCTCGAATATCGAGGTTATCCCATTGAGCAATTAGCTGAAAAAAGCACTTATTTGGAAGTGGCCTTTCTACTCATCTACGGTGAATTGCCAACTCAATTGCAATATGATAAATGGTGCAAAAAGTAAGCAATTATTTATTAATTAATTTTAGAATCCAAACTCACACATTTGTCCATCAAGACCTATATGGACTCTTGTCATAATTCAGATATGATGCACATCCTATGGGAATGGTTATCAGTTCATTATCAGCTGTAAGCACTCTACATCCAGAAGCCAATCCAGCTTTGTCAGGACAAAATATCTATGCAGTATCATTTAATCTAATTCAAGGATCAAAAATCTAGGAACAAATAAATTCACAGAATGATTGGATCCATCACAACAATAACATCACTTGCATATAGAAATAGAATAGGAAGACAACCAAATCAACCTCATTAATAATTAGGATATGTTGATAATTTCTTATATATGATGGATAGACTTAATGAATCCAGTTACACTCCACATCCAACAATTGCAAAAGTCTTAGACATTCTCTTCATCTTGCATGCAGAACATGAATTGAATTGTTCCACTTCTGCTGTTAGACATCTCACTTCAAGTGGAGTTGATATTTATACAGCTATTGCTGGAGCTGCTGCTGCTCTCTATGGTCCTAAACATGGTGGTGCCAATGAGGCAGTCTTGAGAATGCTTGAAAAAATTGGATCTAAACAAAATATTCCTTAATTCATTGAAAATGTGAAAAATAAGAAAGCACTTCTCTTTGGATTTGGTCATAGAGTTTATAAATCTTATGATCCCAGAGCAAAAATTGTTAAATAATTAGCTTACTAAGTCTTTGATTTGGTTGGCAAAGATCCATTAATTGAAATTGCTTTGGAATTAGAGAACATTGCATTAAATGATAAGTATTTCAAAGATAGATCACTATATCCAAATGTTGATTTCTACACTGGAATCATTTATAAAGTAATCAGTCCTTCTTATTATTTAAGGCTCTTGGATTCCCCACTGATATGTTTCCATTGTTATTTGCCATCCCTAGAATCTCTGGATGGCTTGCTCATTGGTGTGAATTCCTTGACGACCCTGAAAATAAAATTGTTAGACCAAGATAAAACTATTAAGGATACAAAACAAGAGAGTACGTCCCTATTGACTAAAGAAAACAGACAGATGCATATATTCATGCACCATCAACTTCCTTTTCAACAAGAAGAAATGTTTCTGTTTAAAAATGAATATGAAATAGTATTCACGGAATTTATAATATTCTAAAATTAGATTTATAAAATCAACTCATTGAAAAAATTAGATCCTTCAATATTCCTCATTCTAAATCAATTTTAATGAGATCAATTCTTTCCTAATGTTGATTGTAGAGTATTTATTGTAAGTTTAACTTTAAATCTTCATATTAAATTGATAAAAATTAATAGCCAATTGTTGTTTGCTTAAATTATAAATTGCATATCAACTATTAAAATTTTAAACTACATTTTTTAGTTATCTTGTGTTACTATTAAAAACCATTTTTCTAATTCTTAAATAGACTTTAAATTTTAGTTAAGTTATTACAATTAATTAAAATTTGTATATTAATGTAAACGATTGATTTGCCAATTATAAATTTGTATATTCCAGGTTCTTAAATTATTTAATTGTTGAATTCTAATTTTATAACTATTGAAGGGTTATCAATTGCGTTTGGATCATCTTTTTGAGTAATTTATGCAGATAGCAATTTCATTTATGTAAAAATTGTTGTAAACTATTTAATTACAAATAATTCAGGACTGATACATGGTGGAAAAACTGCAGGTACTGCAAATGTTTAATTTTATATATACCTACATGATAAATGGTATAATCAAAGCTTAAATCTGAGTATGTAGTTGTGGGTTCCTTAACTAAATGAAATGAATTCGAAGTGTCATAATTAAATCCTAAATAAGTAGTTAAAAATTGAAATTTGTCTCCCTAAATTAAATCTATATTAGAAATGTGGTAAGCAATAGGTCCAGTAGGAAATCGCGTTTTTTTATATGGAATCGTTTCTTCAATACCTATAAGTATCTAATAACCGACTTGATTTAAATTTTAAAATAATAATGGATCTTTAGTAATACCTACAGCAACGTCACTTTCTGAAATTTCTTCTATCTATTTATAATTTTAAGACATACAAAGATTTCAAAATTAACAGGTCCTTAACATCCAAAATTCACGAGAGAGATAATAGCGTTTTATGTGTTAGCATTTCTTAAGGGATATGTTAAGTTTATTGGAGGTATCATATTAAGATTACTTATTATTTGAACTCTTTAATCATCAAAAGCTTGGAAAAAATAATTAATTTATGTAATTTTTCCGAACGTAGTCTAGATTTATAATATAAAGCCTAATATTCTAACAATAAAAAACTTTTAGTTGTTATGTCCAATAATTCACAATAGAATTGAATTCCTCCAGCTTAAAATTATATTTCTTGTATAGTTAAGAAAATTTATGGTGGATTTTCAAAAGTTCCTTTAAAATACAAGGTCTAAGAGACGGTAGGGTTCAATGGTTAAGGAGAATCAATCATACCGTTGTCATAGGTTATATAGGCATATGTTCTCAAAAGGAAAAAACAGATTATTATATTGAATTACATATATATAATAAAAATTTACAAGAATTTTCTGAAAAGTTATTGTTCAAAAATATAAAAAATTACATATCTTTAATAATTGAAACAACTTAATTAATTAATCATGAGGAGAATCTCAACACAGTAGTCCTTAGATAATAATGGGTTTGAAATAGATAGTTTTAATTTAATCGATTTTGGGTGAGGGTTTAGTTTAAATAGATAATTATTCAAATTGATGATTCATAGAATCGGATTTATATGGTCTAAATGCTGATTTATTAGGTACTTGAATTATAATAATTAATATTTACACAAATTTGCATAGAAGGCAGTAGGTTACTCTTCTTTTTCAGAGTCATCATAAACTTGAGTCAGCTTACGTGATAGTTTTTGTGTTTGCTTCTGTAATTTAATATGCTTAAATGAATTTTGATTTTTGTTGGAATGTGTTTGTATTTAAATTAAGTTCGACTAAATGTAAATTTAAAATTTATACATTTTTGAGCACTTCTTTTTTGATTGCATAAACTAGTTTCTTCATTTGTTTAAGTACTAGATTTGTGGGAGCAAAGGGATAATTTCTAAGAATAGAAGGTTTTCTCATTATTAGAAATTGATAAGTAGTGTAAATGATCTTGGCTCCATTCTGTTCTTTCATAACTTATTCAGGTGTGATTCGTTTGAGCAGAGATTTTAACTAAGAGTATAAAGGAGTGTTTACCTCTTCAATCAATTAGTCTTCATTCTTTTGCATAATTAATTACGAGAGTATTCGTTAGAATTCAATATTATAAGAGACTTGATGTGTTTTTGTAACAGATTTAATTGCCTTGATTTATTGCTCATTCAGGTAGAGTCTTAAATTAATGATTGTGATTACTTCTCGTTATTTGATGTTTGAACTACATATTAAATAGGTGTTCTATTTGTGAATATGGTGGTGATCTAAGATATAGATATGATGCATTTACAACTCCATTTTCCCAACAGGATTAGGTTTTACATAATTGAAATTGGATGGTCTGATTTACTTCGAACTGTGGTTCCATTAGATTTTGAATTTGAATAGTAAAATAATTAATATTTTAATAACGATTTTTATAAATTATATTAGTTTGCATGAAATTAGCAAGTTCAAGTTTTCATAAGACTCAAGAAAACACTACTTAAATATTCGAAATTGCTAAATGTTTGAAATTAACTGCCTGCATGATTGATTCCAATGTATTAGAATGAAATGGGCTATTCATAGATAATTTTAACATCACCTTTACATTAAACCTTAAGCAATTCAACTATTACTTTGGATTAAGTATTACCTGCAAGATTAGAGAAGTAAATCACGCCATTTACTCTAGCTACATGATGGTTGCCATTGAATAAGAGTAAAATCTCCCAAAATACATTTCAAATTTGTCACTCACTGAAATTTTCAATCAAATTCAGTATGATCAAATACTTCAATATGCAAAGCCTCTGGGTATTAATATCCAAATTGTTTAAGCTTAGTGATCGAGCAGAATGATCAAAAATAATATCAAATTATAAACTTACAATCTAATAGACAAATAGGATTCCAATAGGTAATAACCTTATTATGACTAAAGAAAAAAACAGATGGATTGCTATCCAACTAGATTTTCAATAGTAAGATCAACAATACTAGATCAATCAGTCCATAACCTATTAGTGCAATATTCAATAAGACCTAAACCGACACATAATCTTAAATTCCTGTCGTGTAAGCAGAATCTTAATTTAAAAATGATTAATTTATGAACTTTAACCCAAATTAATCTTATCTTAGTAGCAATAGTATATTGAATGATACACCTTTATAGTATGAGTTCAATAAATGGAGTGACAAATCCAAAGAAAAAATATTGTTTCAGGACCATTTTAATGTAGTGGAAGATGCTACAAAGTAGGCGAAATCAAATAAAATAATAATTAACAAAAGCGAAGATCCTTAATTTTTTTAATAATTGAAAAATGCTAGAGTTGCATCTCCGAAATTGAGATAAATTAAGGGATCAGGCTTATCACCAGAAACATATCATAAAAATAAATCTAAATCTCCTGAGGTTCTATAAGTAAATTTGGCACATTATTGTAAAAAATGGGAAATCACTTAGAATACTAAATAATAATAATATTAAGTTCAAAAGAAACTACCTGAATAATTTAAACAATTATTAACTGACAGTACTAAAAGATAAAATATTAGTAAACCTTTTGATTAAAATAATACTAAATTTGCTCTTATTTAATGTAAATCAACTGCTCAAATGAAAAATACTAAACTACCCAAATTACTAGAATATTTAGATTCTACGACTGAAAATCAAATGAATGCTATTAAAAGTGAAAAAACACTTACTCCTAGAATTGCTAACTAATAAGATTATATTAATTATAATATTTAGATGATGTTAAGTGAATAACAATCACTCCCAAAAAGTAGGAGCCAAAATAGAAAATAGGATGAAATATTGAATGAGAATATTCAACATCAGAATTTCAATTTTAGAGATTAGTTTTCGTTTAAACCGTAATTTGAATAGAAATATCAGGAATTCGAAGTTAAATAGGAAATACCTCAACAAATTTAAGTTTAATAAGTTGTCGAATCAAAGTCAATTAGAGCTATTTCTCCTTCCAATAGATTAATTCCACAGTAATTTAAGCAATAATCGGCAATCATCCAATAACCTCAAGTACCATCTAATCAACAGAAGGAACCCATATAGATACAATTAGATATCAAATAGTTCATGAATACAAACAGACCGAAAGATCAATAGTAATATATCAGTTCGATATGTAGTTAGAGATAATAAATAGGTAATTTATAAATTAAGGTAGGAATGACTAATGAGAATGGTAAATCTTATTTTGTCAATGTTAATTTTAGAAACGAATGATTAATTAATTATAAATGAATTCACAATTAATTTTACTTCCTTTACTTAAGTATGAGATAGGAAAGAGTTAATTTTAAAATTATGTTGTTCTTTATATTTTACAATTTACATGTATAAAATTACATATTTATTAATTATATATAATAAGATGTTTCCAAAGTAAATTTAATATAGTCAATCTCAAAAGACGAGTGATTATAGCTTATCTAGTCAACAATTTAACTAGCGACCTTTTCGATATGATAACCAATAATCAAGTAAAGCACCTTGGTAGAAACTTAAGTCAAATGAAACCGACAATGATCCAATAACAAGACGTGACAGAACAGTTAAATCAATAGTAAACAATGGCTGTTATATTAGACTGTCATATAAGAAATATTTAGTTGCAGCAATTAAAAAAAACTGATAAAATTAGTTAGTTCATTTCTATAGTAAGAACAGCAATTAACTCAGATTGGTGAGCAATTTGACAAATAGCAAATAGTTTCACTCTTCTTAAAAATTCATCAGATGCAAAGTCCATAACTTGTGTAATTTTTACATTTACTTTATGATTCTCTGTTTTCTTTAGATTCATCAGTTAGTTCTAAGATTTACACATATCAAGATGTTCTTAAATATATGCTTCTATCAAATTATGAATAAATATAAGGGCAAGCAGGGTAATTGACCAGAATACTTGAGATTTTATCAGAGATGCAGATTCTGAATCCTGATTTCATAGCATTTGAGGAAGAGTTTCAAATTGATATGGAAGAAGTATAACATCACATTATAAATTAGATTTCAAATTCATTTAACAAAGTCTAATTGCGAATCCTGTTTTTAGTAAGTTCAATAGATATACTAAGAGCTTTGAAAGGTTCAGTAGCTTTGTTTGAATAATTAGAATCGTTTGTGTTTTCTTAACTCAAGAGTAGTTAGATGCCAAATATTAGTGATATGCAAACTCTTGTATATGCTTATATTCTCTTAAGTGAATAATTAGATATTGCTAATAGACTTGGCTATTCAAAATAAGCAGTAGAGATTATAGGTAAATCTTCAGATTATTCAATTTATGAATTAAAAAAGAGATTTATTAATAATGCAATGAGATTATCATAAAAATATTTAGGATCTTAAGTTAGCGATTAACTAACAAGTATGAATAGATCATTCAGTCCTGGATTCAATAGATAACCAACGACTCGTTTCAATTAATCAGATAGTGCATCCTATTAATTTCTAGTTAATCAATTGAAAGTGAATTACACTTTAAATAATGAAGAAAACTTTTAAATTGATTTTAAATGCAACAATTTATTGACAAGTCCCATGATCTATTAATTAATGGATAAGTAATTTAAAAATAAATATTTTAGGTTAGTGCCATAATTAGTAAAAAAAGAAAAAGTGAATTCCATTTTTACTGAGTAAAGTCAAATGGAGAAAAAAAGTTAGCCACTTATTGTAAAAAAACAATTCTCAATTAAATAATTGAAATAAGAGAACATGATTTAATCTCAAACTCAAAATTAAGTATCCACTCCTTCACAAAAGAATTCATAGCAGGTAAAAATAATTAATAAAATCAGATGTCTTAAACCTAAGGATTTCAAACTTCCTAAATCAAATAACAAGCCAATATCAGTGTCAAACCAGGTTTAGATTCTAATGAATTTGAAATTCTATAAAATAAATTAGGTCGTCAATAACAAGAATTGGAAGAATTAAAATAATTGTATAATACTAATATGGCTCAAAAAAAAAATGAACTCAATTAATCAAATTAGCAAAACTAATAAAACGATTAACTGAAGAAAAAGATTGAAGTTCTAGAGACTAATTTAGTATAATTGAAAAATGAAAACACCACTTATAAAAAGGAGAAAGACTAAAAATAAAGTGAAGTCAATGAGTTAAGATCCTTTATATAAGATTTGCAAGATAAATAGCTAAAATTAGAAAAATCAGTTTAATCACAATAATAATAATATCAATAGTAATAATAATAATTTTAATTGTAATTGCAATAATAATAATAACAAGCATCACCATAACTACCAAATCCAAATCCTTCATAACAATATTTAAAGAAATAACAAAGTAGCTAATCAACCAAAGCAAATACGTAATTATAGATGAATATTTAAATTCCAAATAATAATGATGACAAGAACAGACTATTTGTGAGAGCCTAAAGTTAAATGAGTCATTCTCCAGGGGAAGAATTTAAAAATGAAATGGATGATACAAGTCCTAGAATTATAAAATAGAATTAAGCCTATTTACTTTAATTATTAGATATGTTAGATTTGAATACATCTTTCACTAAAACTTATACCAAATTTCATTCAAATAATGAAAATAATTCTTGGGAAAGTGATGTATCAATTGTCCATAATTTTAAAATAGAAGGGTTAATAACAGATTCAAATGAAGGCAAAGCACTTATGCTCAAAGCTTATAATCAATAGAATCTATTATGCTCAGAATAGATATCGTTTGATCTCTTAAAAAATCTTCTTGGCTATGTTGACTTTTAAGATACTCTTCCAACAAATCTACCTAACATCAGTACAACTCACTAATTCTTTAAATTTTTAATGTTACCATATACTGCAATTGTACAGGATGAAAACACTTAGCAATATAAAATTTAATTATGGCCTAAACCTTATGGATTATTGAATGGATTAAATTTGAAGGTAGATTTCTTAGATCTTAATTGTCTAGTCTATGTTCATCATCTAGAAACTGATCAATTTAGAATTATTATATTTGACCCTTCAAGTTATGATTGTTTCAAATTAGATTTAGAAATGGACTACTCTTCTATCGACGCTTTCTTTGTAGATGCAAAATCAATTAAGGATGAATTCAACTATTATTGTAAGAGTAATTTGTTAAAATTGACTGAAAAAACACCTAAGTTTGGAGATGATGATGTTGCTGAAGCCTTAGTAGAAAGACATTTTTCAAAAGAAAAAGTAAAAGCAGTTTAGGCTGAAATTAAATAAAATTAATCTTATGGCCAAGAAAATCTAGTCTTAAAATAGCCAGTTGACTTTCTGAAATTCATAAAATCAATTGTTTAAGTCTTTGAATAATAGCTCAAATAACAATAAATTACTTTTCCTAATAGTTTATTTGGTATGAAATATTTCAGATGCAAGACTTGGAATGCTGGCACTAAAAGTTAAATACAAATTGTAAAAGAACAATTAGATCAATAATAAATTTCTATATATTTGGCTAATTGTTTTGAATCTTTTGGACCAAACAAATCAAAACTTAAGGCTAAAGGAAGCACCCATATTAACTTTTCGGCTATTCAAAGAGAATTTGCTGTCTCCTATGATAAATTATAAATAGAAGAAAGAGCAACTATTTTATAAACTATTTTATATTCATTCAACTTGAATATTTTTGAGAAGGTATGTGAATAGGATGAATAACAGTTTGATAAAAACCCTATTGTCTAAAGTGTTTATGATTGCGGCTCTTACCGAAGGTATTAATATTTAAAATATCTATATTAGAGTCATCGCCTTTGATAATGGCAAAATTGCTTAGGTGACTATCTAAGTAATTGGATCAAACAGAAGAATGTGCGGTATTAAATTTTCTGTTTTCAATGTTGATGAAACCATTGAGAATGGAGTATTTTTGCCAGTTTCATAAAGCGAATGGGATACTAGAGCGATGGAAAAATAAAAAATTAAAGCATCTGTTCAAAATGTCCCATTTGCAGAATACTTATTGACTTAAATTCTTAAGTGTCCAACAACTTAAATTGTAAATATTATAATTGATTCTTAGATTTTGTTTAAAAAGATATTGAATGCTGATTTCAAATCAAATTAAATTAATAGTAATGAAATTAAGAAAAGAAAGACTTTCATTGAAAGAGTGGACAATCTATTAACCTGGCAAGAAGTAATTGCAAATTTATGAGTATTAGATTAATTAATATCAATTCTAAATCACTAATATTTTTAATTCTTAGTTCTGTAGAATGATCCAATTTTGCATTTAATAAACATAATTTATAAAAAATTATTAATCACAATAAATCAATCTAATTTTACTATTTTTTAACAATTTTTGAAATCGTACTTCCTTTGTTGACAGACTAGAACTATGAAATAATGACAGATTCATTATAGTTTTGTGATTTTAGAATCTATGAATTCTAAATGTCTAATTTTAATTGATAATTTTCCCTTTAATAAAATAAAAAAATACGATTCTAATTATTGAATTCTAGAAAGTTTTGCTTATAAAGTTTAACTTGAAGTTTATTGATGGGATCTTCTTAAGGACTCTTCTTAGATATACTTTTTTTAGAGATCTTGTATTTATGAATGCAATTTATAATTTTCTTCATAAACACCAACTTCTTCCAAATTCAATTGTTTTTTCAACTTATTAAGTTAATCGTATTGGTAATCATATTTTTCTTATAATTCTGTTACTTTTAAAATTCTATTTTCTAAATCCTTAAGAAGTCGATTGTTTTATGTTGTTAAATTGAGCAATTCACTATTATTTTTCATAAGTTGTAATTAATAATTTTTAACATCTTCATTTAATTTAGATATTTCAGCTTCTTGGCTTTGAATTTGTTTTGTATATACTAAGGTTTAGCTTTCGTAGACTTTATTTAACTACTTTATCTTATTCTTCTCTTAAAATGCCTTTGTTTTAAGCTCATCTATTTCTTTAAGTAAATCTGTCATATTTTATGTTTCTATTTTTTCAATAGAATGTTCACTTAATAATAGTTGAGCATTTTAAGTTTGTGCTCTTTATAAGTTTTCTAAATGTTTAGATAGTTATTAAATGTTTTCATCTTTTTATTAGAGTTGTTGTTTAAATACATCAATTTAAGTATATAATTCTTGAATTTCATTTTCTCTATTTATTTGAAGTTATTCAATTTATTATTGATAACTCAAATTAGATTATTATAATCTATCTGATTCCAGCAATGAATTTTTAAAATTTGTTTAAACTTCTTAATAGTCAATAGATCTCATATCTAAATCAGTTATCAATTATGAGTTTTACTCTTTCAATTATTAATTATCCTTTAACAACTGTAAGATTTATTCTTCTAATTTAATAATTTTAACCTTGTTATCATCCTTTTTTAATTGATCAATAATATAGTTCTTTTCTTCCAATTCCTTAGTTAATTTATTATTTTAGATTTCTAATTCTTTGATTGTCACTTCCTTATTTACTTTTGGTTATGTTTTAATCATTTTAGCTCTAACTCCGAATCTAAGAGTACTGACTGTCTCAGATTCATTAGTAATACAAGGACTGCAAGTGATAATCAGGGAAGTCATGGAATTTTTACTTAATCCGTTCCATAACAGTTTTGTTAGATTAGATTCTCTAAAAGGTACATGTTATTATTTTTCTGATAATCCATTAATTACATTAGACTAAAATTATAATTAATAAGATTTACTAAAGTTAGCAGACTCTTATTAATGAATGCTCCTTCTTGCAATGAGGTACCAGTCGTTCCTGCTTTGGATGCATTTTCACTACCTGCAAGATCAGCCATAATCAATTACCCTGTGTAAGATGTCCCTTCAATTTCATTATTCATAATTACGGTCTAATAGAATTTTAATAGTTTTTACCATTTAAAATAACAGATGAGATCTGGAAGACATATCATTAAGATTAGTATATCCAACTTATCTGTTGACCAAACCTTTTTATAAGGCATTGTAAATTTCATCTTTATCGCTGACCCATAATTATGTTACCTATTGAATATAGAATCCTTAGTTAGCCATCTCTCTTACTTTTAAATCTTATTTATTGATATCTAAAAGATCCTTAACCTTTTCTTTATATATCTCCACAATTGAGATTTTAATTCGAAATTCAGATTCTGTTGGAGAGCTCTCTATGGCATCAAACAAATCATTGATGGTTCTTTTTATGATTCCTGGTTATTATTAATCACCAATCATTGTGTATGTTTTACCAGATGATGTTTGCCCATACATTAGCAAAGTGGCGTTGAATCCTTAGAGAATTTAATCTATAATAGGTTTTCCTATTTCATCATACACCTATTATTAGTTTGCGTTACTATCAAGGATTTTATCAAAAGTAAACTTTTACTCACCTAATTACATTGTTTAATCCCTAATGTTGTAGTTAATTAGAGATGTTTCTTTCTGATTTAAAGGTCGGATTCTGCAGAACACTTTAATATTGCTCATAGTTTAGATTAGTATTAAATCTGATTAAATATTATTACAATAATATTAAATAAAATTAAATCATTACCATCTAAAATATTCATGTAAATTATTCTTAGTATTTTCATCATCCTCTTAATTATAAGGGTAAGCGAGTTATATCGGATTATCTAGAGATTATTATTAATTTAAATAAGTTTTGGATTTTGAATTATTTACTTTCTAAAGTTTTGGAATGCCTTTTGCCTATTAGGTCTCAAATTTAGTGTATATTGTCTTTAAAGAAATCTAGTCGTAATTCTAAATTTTAAGCCTTAGTTGAAGTAGTTATTAAAGTATGAAATACTTTTTGTTTTAATTCAGGTCTAAGATTAAAAGATATAGAAGTTATAATACTGTGTTACTTCTTGCTATACAGCAGTAAATTTAAATTTAGAAGTATTTTTCATTTAATTTTGCCTGAATAATTCTAAATTTTCAAAGATTCTTGATGTTATAAACAATAATTCTTAATAATTATATTACCATCAAACTCTTTTTCTTAATAACTATCTATAAATGATGGTTTAATAATTGGCGAAATAGGATTACTGCCTTAATTTAAAAGTTTGCTTAATATTTTCGTTTAATTTTCTTCCAATATTTCTACTTGGTTAGTGTATCTGGTTTTGAATTAAACCGACTTAATTCTTCTTATTACTTTTAATTCATTCTCTCTATATTGTTTATAAGTTAATGTTGATCTTATACTTAAGAATTAATTATTCTTTTCATGTTTCAATTGACTTTTACTTAAAAATAATTCAATGACATTTTATTTTTAATATTTAATTATTAATATTTCTTATAATGTCTGACGATAAATTAGCTTTTCAATTAGATGTCCTTGAGTACGATTGGTTAATACTAGGCACTGGATATGAAGAAACCCTTTATAGTGCACATCTCAGCAAAGTATCAAAATAACAGGTAATTCTATAATATTCATTCAAAAGAATCTAGTCCTTGACTTTGGCAATACTTATTCAAGCAACATTCGAACAATGAATTTCAAGGAATTCCACAAATTAGATTCAGAATTACCCACCGAAGAACAATTTCCATATCTTCATAAGAGACCAGTCTTTAGAATCCTTGAACTCGATTAAAAACAAGAATAAATCAATAATTACTTTGCTACAAAAATCAATTCAGGATAGGAGTTCAAACATTTTAACATCGATATGCAACCAAAATTGCTTTTTAGTAATAGTCCTGCTGTTTCAATAATGTAATAAGCAGATTTAGATTAATATATGGATTTTAAGGCTGTCGAATCCCAATTTTTCTTTGATTAAACTACAAAGACATTTAAATTAACACCAACCTCTAAGAGTGATATTTTCAAATGCTAATTTCTAAGTCTAAGTGAAAAAAAATAATTTTTTTAAGTAATCTATTAATTAATGAATAGCTATTACATACACTTGTGAAAATATTTCATAAAGTAATTAATTATTAAGTTGATCAAAATTCAACACAAGAGTTTGACCAAAATACTACTCAATTAGATGAAGATACCTACTAAAAGTATTTAGAATTCAAAGATAAATAAGCAATACTATTTTTGAATGAAATTACATCTAAATCACTGAACAAAGACAAGGTCTATTCAATATTATTTTATTCAATTTGTTTCATTACATAGAGTTTTCATAATCAAAACAATCTCATAACAACCTAAGAATTTATTACTAAGTTCGGTAAATGCATTAAATCAATGGGTATTCATAGTAAATCTCCCTTCCTATACACAAATTATGGAACTGGAGATATTCCATAAGGATTTTGCAGAATATCAGCTGTTCATGGATCAGTGTTTATAACTTAAAGTTAAATAAGAATACATAAAATAGAGAAAGAAGATAATCAATATCTAATATCATCTAATTTACATGAAAATAAGATTAAAATCAAATAAGGAATAATAATGAATAAATAGATCTATGATTCTTATGTTAATTTGAATTAACCAAACAATGAGTAGAATACTCAATAATAATAAAATTATGTTTTGATGAGATTGATATTGATTACAGCAAAAGATTAAAATGTTTTATGTGAAGAAGTGAGATCTTTAATACTTGATTAATTAGATGAGTATCAAAGTACTCTACATTAATTGGATCCAAGTATATATGTAATCCCATGTAAACAATTCAGCAGCAATCCTATATATATATTTAGAACAGATAGTAACAGCAACAGTGCTTATAAAGACTATGAATTATTTTATGTTTGGACATTGCTCGACAAACATGAAGGAAAGGAATTGAAAGAGACATTGAAGTAAATTGTTGTGGATATTGATTTAAAATATAACGAAAATGAGTCGAAAAGCATTAACTACATTTGTTATGAAAAAGTGTTATTGTAAGAGATGACCAAAAAAGAATATAAGTTTCAGCCAGACCCACAGGAAAATATGTAATGAATGTAATTTATAATTAGTTTTGTGACCACTGAAGATAACGATGACTTAGATTTGGATGCCTAAACGAAAGCCTTTATGGGAAATGTTAAGACAGTGAATAAGAATTTTGAAGAACAATACTATATGGTTGAAAAGGTAGCTAAATAATAATAACAAATTGAGTAAGAAATAGATAATCAGCAGTACATATTGAACTAATTAATGAATATAAAACAAAAGGAGTGATTATTTTAATTATTATTATTTAATCTCCAATGAAGACTTCATCATACTCCTTCATTGGAATTCGCAAACATTTTTGGAAGGAAGTTTTTTATAATATCTAACTATACTAAGATGCCATAGAGATGACAGAAATTGTAATATTCAATTTTTATTCAGAAATCTAAATCGCCAAAATACATTCTGCCATTGAAGCTGTCAACTGTTATAGAGATTACAGGATAGGTAAGCAAAAATAATAGGAATTTCAGTGGATTCCAGTTTAAATACAAAGACACGACTAAACTAATGAATTGTAGATCATCAGATATAGCAATGTAAGTATGCTTATTATGATTAGTTTTATGGATATGGTAAGCAACTAAATAACTTTCCTAAATATCACTATGTTTTATTAGGCTATTGAAATCATAGGAAGAGGCAGTTCATCAAGTGTTTCTGTTTTGATCGATACTTATTCATAAGAACAATTTGCTGTCAAAAGTATCGATAAAGAATACTTGTAGAAGAATGATAAGCTATAGGTAATGTTTGATATAATGTAGATCTTATTTGAAAATGAGGTCAAGATCTTGTAAGAATTGACAAAGTACAACAATCAAAATTATTTTGTGCATTTATACAGAGTATTTGAGAGCAAAACATCTTACTATCTAATCTAGAATCTCATGAAAGGTAAATCACTAACAGCCTACTACAATAAAATCAAAGTAAGCAATAATGTTAAATTGTTTGAAATTAGAAATAATCAGATACCAAGTTATTCTCTTCCGACATTATTAAATTAATCATGAGGAGACTCCTTTCTGGTGTTTCACTTCTGCATTGTCATCGAGTATGAAATATTTCTATATCAGATAATCCACAGGGATCTCAAGCCTGATAATCTCTTACTTCTGGAACCAAATAATGTAGATACCCTAGCCATAGCTGATTTTGGACTAGCAACCTATAGTAATGTAGAAAAGTAAAATTCTTAACTATCCAATAGATATTCTTATCCAATTTGTGGAACCAAAGGGTACATGGCACCAGAGATCACCCATTACAAAGATGGATAGATTAAATACGATGAACAAATTGATATCTACAGTATTGGTGTCATTTTTATTTGGCTGTATTTTTTTTATAATCCTAGACTCACTGGAGATATCGATAGACATAATCCTAAATTATTAAAGTTAGATTCCATTACTTAAAATTTAATGAACAACCTTTTAAAATCAAATCCAAAAGAAAGATTGTCAGCTCAAGCAGCACTTGATCATCCTTATTTCTAAACTGATGAAACTACTAAGAAGACTTTTCAATCCTAATATGGATTTGTAACTCCAATTTTATATTCTAGGAAAATGTTGATTGCGATAGTATTATACAACATGAAGATTTGAAAAACTATTATTTGCCTATGATGAAGAAACCTCAAAGATAAATATGAAATACACTTTCTCTATCTAACTATGTTAATCTCTTCGAATTTATTAAAATTTATTAATCACTCATTCTTATATTGATAGATAGTATACATAATAATTTATTTTAATGTTGAAAAAATATCTCTCCTACTATCCATCTAATGCATAACAATTGTAAAATCCCACATAAACTAAAATAAGTTTCATTATATTTCTACTATTGAAGTTGGGCTTTCAAGGATTTTTTGGTAGTTATGTAAGTGTTTGAAGTAATTGGTTATTTATTTAACCTCTCACTTTAATTGAATATATCAAAGACTCTGATCTTTTCATGAGATAAACACGATATATCCCCGTTTTATCGTCTCAATTGAAGGTTTTTTCCATTTTACGAAGTCGATCGAAATTTAAGGGTATCATCTCTTTACGTTGTTTGCAGATCCAAACCGTATTGATTGAAACCTCTAATAGACGGAAAATTATCTTATTCTAGTTTGACCTTATTAATTACTAAGTTTATTGTGTTCAGAAGGCTTACTTGATTTAGGTGGTTATGAGATAGTCTATTGAATAGCTAAAGGACTATTTTAAATTGATCTTAGATTTAGTTACATTTCAGGAGTACCAGACCTAATTGTTGTCGAAGATATATCTAAATTTTAAGTGAATATCTATAAAAATAAGTTGAAAATCTCTCCAAATAATGTAGATAATCAAGACCAGAATAATACATTTCATAGACAATCTGGTAAGCCATCATCAATTCATAGTAAATTAAATGAATCAAAAGATATTCTCCAATATATGATATCAAATTAAACAAATAAATAATAAACTAAATGGACAAACGAAGCACAAGGGACTTAAAAAAAAAAATATTTCTTTCATTCCCCATAACATAAGGAATCTGTAGAGTTTAGTTCTAAAAGTATAATAAATCACATAATAAACTATGAAAATTCCCAAAGCTAAAATATTCTAGATTTACTGTTACTTTCAACTTAAGAACTTAACAACAAATTAAAAAAGAAATCAATTCTCAGAAATTAATCAGAAGAGAAAATACCTATAAAAATAAAAGTTAGAGCAGGTAGTGGATTCCCTAAAGACTTCTTTGAATGAATAATTACTATGTAAATTATCAATCGCAATTCAATCTTCTTTTCATCACATCTTTAATTTTGTCAACCCACAATTAAGCCGGATGTTCACATTCCTTTATTTATATCATTTAATTTACTTTAAAATAGTACTTCTTTTTACTAGGCACATCAATATTAAATTACCCTTTCAATAATTCTATTGTTACAGATTTGTCTAAAATAATCTAACCCTTTTGTAAAGCTATAACAGATTCTTTATACCTTTTTTAATCCAGTATTAGGATCGAAATATTCTAATTTAGGAATTTCGAAATCATACAATATCATATTTCGTAATTTATAGATCATCCAACCTAAATTTATCAGAATGTCTAACCTGTTTTCTTGTTAACCAAACCAGTTATCACTACTTCTGGTTTCAATGCGGCACTTGGCTTTTTTTGAGCGAATTCCTAAGTTGATATCTTTTTTAAATGTATTTAAACATCATCAGGTCCTTTTTGATTCCACAACTGTTACCAGTTGATATCCTTAAAGAATGGATGACCCTTTAGTTCTCTATATGTGTTTTTAGAATCTAATAATAATAACGTCTTATTACTGGGCAATCCTCCTCCTAATCTGCTTAATGGATCTCTGACTAACAATTTATTTATTAAATCCATTCCATCTTATGGAATTTTATTATTTTTAGGATACTGACAAGATCGAACCTTCTAAAATACTAAATATTCGGTCTAATCACAAAACGGAGTTGTTCCAGTGAACATTTTATAAATTATGCAGCCCAAAGCCCATAAATCTGCTTATGGACCACAAATATCATCTTCCAAAAGTTCCGGTGATACGTATTCTGCCGTTCCCACAAAGGTAGCCTTATGTTTCTATTGGTATTAGTCTATTTCGTCTAAAAATCTCTCATCCTATTTGCTAATCTCTCTTAATTCATTCAATTTATCGCGAACATTATCTGGTAAATTATGCTCATCAAAAAAGCTAGCTGTCCCAAAATCTATCATTTTTATATGTAAATTATTTGCCACCATTATGTTTTCTGGCTTTAACATCATCTAAAATTTATTACTTTCACATCCCTATGCGCAATCCCATTAGAATGCAATTGTTCCAATATTGTTACTATTTCTGCAGTATAAAATACTATAGAATTATAAGACATGTTTCCTAAAATCACAATCTGCCATTACTATTTATTTTTAAGAAATTAGCAAAATCTCCTCCTTCCATAAACTCTAAGACTAGGTATATTTATGCTGAACTTTGAAAACTAGCTATCATATTAATCAAACCAGGATGTTTAATCCTTGACAACACTTCCTTCTCAATAAACACTTGATATTGTTTTTTTTCCTAGTCTATGTTTACATTATTAACCTTAATCAGCAATCTTTTCTCCATCGCTTTTATTGCTACTAATTATCCATTTGCTTTGCATTTCGCTAACATTACATCCCCATAAGAACCAGATCCTAATTTCTCTATAATTTCATAATCATTTAGAGTATTCATTTTTATAAATAAAATTAATTAACAAAAACATAACTCGTATAATCCAAAAAATTATTGTTATAATAATATTTTTATCATTTAATTTTTGATTTCTTTCAATTATTTACTGTTATTTCTTAGTATTAATAATAGAATAAATATATTAGACTTAAAAAAATTATATAAATGAATTTATGTTAAAAGAAATCAGAGAGATATTCAAGAGTCTGGTGACAATCTTTAGAGTTTAGTAGTGATTTTTAATGAAATTAATATAAATACATTAATTTCTAACATCATTCTATGATTCTTGTGTTCAAATTTTAACTCTAATTAATGAATGATAATATAAGCAATCATTTAAGATTTAAATAAAAATATTCCCAAGTTTGTTCAAAAAATTGAATGATTAGTAATAAACATTGAAAAATTAATCATTTCATTCAATTTTGATAATTTTAAACTCAAAATATAGTAGATTATAAAATTGTATTGGATTTAAAATGGAAATATATGACATTTTAATCTAAAAATGCATAAAATATGCATAAAAATGTAATTAATATATAATTTTGATTATAAAAATAAAATGAAATGTAAATGTTTAATTGAAATTATCTGAGTTTCGAACTCATCTTTGAGAAAAGTTCTTATAGCAATAGGATTCTTAATAAATTCGACTAAAAAGTACTTCTTTTCTCTCTATTATTTTAAAAAAATGTCAATTCTTTTTCTTTTTATAATAATTTTTTCATGAAATAGTGTTAAGATGTATAAACATTAAAATCAAATTTACTTTTCAATTAACCAGGTTTAAATTTGATTATTATTAATTATTTACTTTGACTTAATTAATTATATACATCGAGCAAGACAAAAATAAAGTAATCTCTTTTTATTCCTATAGATAAGAGTAAACGTATTCAATTCATCATTTGATGCTAATAATTCAATTAGGAGATTTATATCGATTGTCGATTTGGAAGATCTTGATAATTCATTTGATTCATCATATTAATTGCAAAATTAAAATTATCTATATATTTATAAATATGATTAAATATTTAGAGATTTTGGCGAGTAGAGTTCAGAATATGCTTTGGATGGATGCAACTGATATTCCTTATAGCAACCTTATGTGTTGTTAAATTCACTTTAACTAAACTTGAATAAAAAGTATTTTTTAATTCATTTAATAATTCATTCTAAAATGCGAGATATTTTGCAACTGGATATATATTTATTAACAGCATTTTTTCAGTCTTATAATATAAATTCATTATAAAATGTTTATAAAACTAATATACCTCCTAAAATGATGATAGTCATAAATAATATCTTGTATTTATAAACAACCAGGATTAGAAAATATGTCGACCAACCTTTACTAATCTATAAAGGAAATAGTAAAAGATCATTCCAAAAGTTTCTATAAACATCAGTGTACTTTTATTTACTTTTCTAAACATTCTAATCTCTGAAATTTAGATTTGGATTATAATAACTATTTTAAGATTTTAAATTTCTTTATAACAAAATAGATACTACACCAGAGATATTAATTATATTTCTATTTTAAAGCAGAGATATAACCTATTATTAATTTGACTAGAGATGAATAATGAAATTTAAACTATTTTTGTTAGTAATGCAAATCATCTCTTTTACCATAGTACTAATTCTTATAGATGTATAATTTAATAAAAATATTATAGATATCAACAATATTTTTATAAAATAAGATCACATAAATATTAAATTAACTAATTCATCTAAAAATAAATAATATAGTGGGCACTATTAAATTCATGAAATAGAAATTCCCTCACATGACTGATATAATTAAAAATACATTCACAAATCATCAATTAATTGCGAAAAAACTAGTTTACTCGTAGACAGATCACATCCTAATATTCAAAAATACAAAACGAAGTATATGTAAATTGGAATGATTAATCTTAGTATACAATATTGATAGTTGATCTAAACCAGAATTATGACTTAATAGAGACTTTAGATTCATAAAGCATCAGCAGTAAATTCTTGTAATCAATTATTGTAGAGAACAACATTTTAACTCATTTAAACAATTCTAAACAATATATCTGAAGGATATGTTGAAAAAAGAATAATTACTAAAGAAGGATTAATAATAAGGCTGATGAAAAAGGATAAAATAGTGATATAGCTGAGAAATGCAAATAATCGTATAAAGGGGACAGAAGTCGATTTTATAATCCTATTAAAGGGCTATTATTTGAATTAACAAAGAAGAGACAGGGATATTTAGCTGTTAGATAGATGAGGACAACATATTAGATTCTACGAAGGATACATTCACAAATTTTTTCAAAGTTCTAGGCAAATATTCTAAACTACACAAATAAGAGCCCACTCCGATTCCTATCATCTAAAAACTAAGTTAAGGAAATATGAAAGAAATTCAAGGTTATTGGATAAGTGCAAAGCCATCTCTTAAGATGGGCTAACACATTAATTCATCTGCGACAAGAATTATCGAGCCGGATACCTTCCAAATAAAAAAAGGAGATTAGGACATTTTATGCTATCTCTAAATAAATGCATCTAAATATGCCTAAAAATGACTAATTTAGGCCCTTAATAATATTAAGCTCTATATACACATTTTTCGATTTAAGATCAATTCTATATTATAAGATTAACTCAATAATGGTATAAATTAGCCTAAAAAGTATTCAAAAATTGACTTAAAACTTAAATAAACATATTTATGATAATTAACTGGATCAAAAATATCAAGGGCTTAGATAACATGATACTAATCTGCAACTATGGAAAGTAATAATATTTAAAACAGAAATAGCATTTGTATTTTTATAAAAATTCAATAATTAATTTGATTCAGATTATTGAATTAAATACAATATCATGAAAAATAGGAAATGTAGAAAAAAATTTTATAATCATTTAAAAATTTGATTTAGAATATTAAATTCTCATCCAATTATTCATCAAAATAAGTAATATTATGAATATAATTTAATAAACAACAAAAATGTTTCATAGTATATATCAAATATCAATTTTAATTCAATAATGAACTTAGTATAATAATTTAAATATCAATTTTAAAAAAATATCAAATATATAAATATCAAATTTTATATAAATATATTATTGCTTTTAAGCTTTACTTAACAAATTATGTTTTGGTTAATTATGATATAGTTTTTTTATAAATTTTTTTAGATTTAAGAAGTATTAAATATTGAAAACATATGTTTGTCTATCTTTATTTAGATGAAATAAGAATTATCATTTTTTTCTAATGTTATTTTATGAATTTTAGACTGCATCTTAAATTACATCTTATGGCTTTTAAGAATCGATCTTCTCATCTTTCTCTTATTTTTATTTCTCATTTTTCTTCCCATTCATTCCCCTAATCATGGCTTACATGAAAAGTAAATAAATATTATTTATAAATTTATAATTGCGAATTCTTGTCTTTAAGGTTATCTCAAATGAAATTTCAACAGAAGTATTGAATTAACAATTAATAATACATTTAAGACTATTACTAATTGAATAACATGATTAGGGATCTACAATATAGGTCGTAATGATTCTAAGGAAGAGTGAATGAATATTAAAATTATTAATATATTAAGTAATTCTAGGTTTTCTCTTCTAAGGATTATATCCAAGCAGATTAACTAATAAAATAGAGTAAATTATAAATGAGAATAATATTAATTAATATAAATGGACAATATATATAAGTTTAAGGCAAGTAGTTCAGTGGGGCATTTAAAAAGTCTGAATAATGATAAACAATTCTATTCAGAAGAGGAAAGTAGCAAGAAGGAGGAAGAGGAAAAGCAATTGAAGAAATAAAGCAAGCCTCCTAGTAAGATGTCTTAATTCAGTAAAAATGCCACTGGATATTAAACTGATGATTCTGACAAAGAGACTCCGAAAAATAATAAGGTAGGACCTTCAAGTAAAGATATATTGAATTATTTTAGGTTAGAAAGTATCAAAATTTCGAAATTTGGTAAATGCTAAAAAGATTGAGGGCGACAATGATGATCCGAATTTTGATGATGATGACGACAAGCCAACAACCATTTAATAATAGATTCAGCATGTTTAATAGCAAAGTGAAGATTAATATGATGTGGAACAGTAGGCGAGTAAAATGCAACAAAAATATGCTAAGAATGAGGTTGGGAAGTCTCCAAAAATGAAGTAAGTAAGATGATAATGATTAGACACTCAAATACTTAATAGAGTGTTGGATGCGATTTCGGATGTGGAGCAAATGAAGAATAAATAGCATTAAGAAAGGGGAAGTTGAAGAATCATCCCTTTCGACACCTTATCTATGGTCCAAGTATAGGAGAGAATTCTTTTAAACAAATTTTTATAATTAACTCAAAGAGGTTTGGTTTATGCAAAGAAATGCTTAAAAGGGCCTTCAGAGAAATTCATAAAATCAAAAATGGTTTAATTATAGGAATGTGCAGTTGTAAAGGCAAAGACTTTATTGTTGGATTTGGATGAGACTTTAATTCACAGCTGTTCTTTTAGAGAGAATCCATAAGTGACAGTTACAGCTTTTGGAGAATACGGAGAGGAAGCAAAGGTATTAGTTTAATATAATTTAGATTCATTTTAACATTAGACCATTTTGCACATGGTTTTTACAATAAATGAATTAATTGTATACAATTTATGTATATACAGCTTCATCATCTGCATATGCAAATGCAATAGTCAATTATTTAGATCCAAAAAGACAATGGATTATGGGAATTTTATCAAGAGGTAATTGTATGGAAACAAAGAATGGGTTTTTTATTAAAGATCTAAGAATTATTGGGAATAAACAATTAAAGGATATGGTGATTGTGGATAATCTAGCTCACTCGTTTGGATTCTAAATAGAGAACGGAATCCCGATATTGGAATGGCACAATGACTAAAATGATCAAGAACTTAAATATATGGCAACCTACTTGATGGAGGCTGCTGAACAAGAAGACATCAGATAATTTAATATACAAAGGTTGAAGCTAGATCAACTTATCGAATATAATTTAGATTGATTGATTGATATACATAATATATATTAATTTATCAATGGGTTCTTGCTGTTCATCTAATAAGATTGTTAAGGAAACTTTTGATTATCCCGATGGAGGTGTCTATATGGGAGATCTCGAAAACCATCTACCAGTATGTTCATTTAAGTCAAGTTTTAGCATGGAAGAGGAACCATAAAGTGGCCCAATGGAGCATCATTTGAAGGTCAGTTCATTGATGGCAAAAAGACTGGCAAACGCTCGTTTAGATGGAATGATGGTTCTTATTATGATGGATATCTCTTAAATGATGTCTTCCATGGTTATGGTGAATATTGTTGGACTGACTTAAAAATATATAAAGGAAACTGGTAAAATGGAGAAATGGAAGGAGAAGGTGAGCGAGCCGGCTATGTAATATCCCGAGCATCGAT